CATCAACCTATCCGACTATTTTTTTATCTTACTTTTTCACTGTATTATTTTTGTTTATATTATTGTTGTTTTCTTATTCTTCTCCTTCTCCTTTTTCTTTATTTTTTAGCTTTTCTATTCTTTGGTTTTTCCTTCTTAACTTTCATTGTTTTTGATTATTTCTTCTTATGTATTTTATTCATCTTCTTTGACTTCTTGATTTTTTTCATTCGGTTTTTTTTTTCGTTTTTTCTGTTGATTTTTTTTAGTTTTATTTGTCTGCCCCTTCTTCTTTGTTTTATTTTATTGTCTTTGTATTCTCGAAATTCTTATTCTTCAACATCTTCTATTATTCTTCTTTTGGTTTTATTAGCCGTTTTTATCTTCTGTTTTTTACTTCTTCTTGATCATTTTTGTCTTATCCAAACATTTTTTCTTTCTAATTTTTGTTTGTCTTTTTCGCATCTTTACTTTCTTCTTTTTTTATTTTCTTTTTCATCGTCGGATTTTCATCTTCTTATACTTTACTTTCTTCATCTACCATTTTTGTTCTTCTTTTTCTTTCAGTTTTCTTCTTCAACTTTGAGTTCTTCATCTCCTTATCATTTTTCTTCTTCACTATTTTGTGTTACCCATCTTGATCTTATCGTTCATGGTCTAGGACTTTTTGTTCATTTTTTGCTCATTTTTTTACGTTTTCGTTAACTCTATGTTCTTCTATATGTTTCAATTTATTTTTTTTTCTCTTCTTTTTCTAATTCGTTTTTCCCTTTTTTCCTTTTTCTGTTTTCTTTTTCGAATTTTTCCTCTGCACCCTGCTAGTGTATTTGGCCTCTCTTACATTATTCCAAAAATAAACAGAATTCAGAAAGCCGTACTTAAAACAAACAAAAAAAACAAAAGACTTAAAACCTGTTCATTAGACAATGAAGATGATTTATGATATGTTGACATGATTTTAATCACGTTAAGTAAGGAAGAATAACTGACAACACAAAACAACAACATATAATCGAGGAGCACTACTACTGGTACTGAAAAACGGAAAAAACAATAGAAAAAACGAAAAATTGATTTATAAAAAATAAAGATGGTAAACAATACAACGAAAAGCCGACCAATGTAGAAACCAAACCACAATTGAGCTTAAGATACATTTAAAAAAGTAATATATTTATATATAGCTCTCAACTTAAGCTAAGATTTTCCACATCATATGTATATTTTTTCCTAATAATCTTGCTCAACAGATAATCCGATTGAAATTATCTTAATATTATCAAAATAACTAAAAGTGGCAGCAAAATTGTTATACAAACTACGAAAATAAATAAATTAATTAGATATTTAAAAAAGATTTTATTAACGAAAAAAGGGAAATTAGTTATCTAGATTGAATGAGAGACCTTATAGCGAAAAATTTACTTTGCATATATTATATATGATATAATTTTTGATTTTTGTTCATTCTCTTTTTATTTTCAGTTTGCATTCCAATTCAGTTTATGATGGGTTAGAAACTAAATCAAATAAATTGATTCTGAATAGTTCAAAGTTTGGTTTGGCTTCATTTTATTTATACGCAATCTAGGCATCCTAAAGCTTAAGATCAGATTATAAATATAATAATCAATAGTGGAAAAATATATCTTGTTGAAATAAACTATATATACTGATGCTGTTTTATTTATCTTGGTTTTAAGTCAACAATCGAATAAGCTAATGTAAGAGTATTGACCGTTAGATCTGAATTGGTATTCGGATCCGACGTTCCAGGTTATATAGGTTCCCTACTGACAAACGGAGTCGTGGCGGGTCCCACTGATTTTCGGTAGCGCAGTTTTTCAAATCTCTCGTTTCGTCCCTTCGAGCCAAACCAATGGCAAGAAAAGTGCGAAGAAATTAAATCCTCACACAAAAAAAAAAAGTAAAAAAACAAAAAAATGTCCGAGACAAAATAGGTAAGAAAAAAAAAAAAAACTGCGTGCAGGGATCTACGAGCTCGAGATTTTGATTTCTGTCTCTCTGTTATCGATTCTGAGCATCCACATTGTTCGTAGATCTGAAAGAAAGAAAAAAAAAAATCCCACGGATTTGGTATTACGATTTTGCGCGTTTCGTTCTGTGTAAATTTTGACATCAGGATTCGATTGTTTTGTTCGAGGTCACGACGAGCAAGTGAATCGATTTGGATCTTCTGCAGTTTGGCATTCTGGATCCACACGGATCTAATCTGGGCGAGTCGATTCGTGGTCGACATTTCGAAAATAAATTTGGTGGATCTGAAGAATAGGCACTGTTGTCTTTGTTTATTGCATTAATTTTTTCTTGCGATATAAGAAGTGATGGATCCAATATCGGCGGTTAGCGAAGAGCTGGCTGAGATCGAAGGTCAAATCAATGACATTTTCCGTGCTTTGTCGTGAGAATCTCTTTAACCTTTTTCCATTTCTGATCTGTGGTTTTTTCGATTTTGTGTCCATAATGTTTCATATGTTGTCTCTTGTCTTTTTTTCGACCAGAAATGGGTTCCAGAAGCTGGAGAAGATCAAAGATGCTAATAGGCAGAGTAGGCAGCTTGAAGAACTCACTGACAAAATGCGTGATTGTAAAAGGTTAACAATTTTTTTCAACTTTCCTTGTTGATTTCGTTTTTCTTTTTATAATATGTGGTTTTTGATGTTGCCTTCTTCTTTTGCAGCCTTATTAAAGATTTCGATAGGGAAGTCAAAAGCTTGGAAAGCGGAAATGATGCCAACACTAACCGGATGTTGAACGATAGACGACAATCTATGGTAGGCTTATTCATCTGAATTTGACATTCTTGTAACGTCTATTCAATAATTTTCAGAGTTTTCTAATGTCAACTGATGTTGTGTTTGTGCAGGTTAAGGAACTAAACTCATATGTTGCTCTTAAGAAGAAGTACGTGACACACTTTGCTTATTCTATTGATGTCATGTTTATGGTTTTTGATGATAATGAGGATGATTGTACAGATACTCATCCAACCTAGCGAGTAATAACAAGCGAGTAGATCTTTTCGACGGACCTGGAGAAGAACACATGGAAGAGAATGTCTTATTAGCTTCAAGTAAGGCTTTAAATCTCGTCTTTGAAGGATCTTGCAACCAAAAATGAGATGTTTATTGCACATATATTAGATCTAGTCTTTTGTTATGTGAATATACCTATCTAGAGTATTTACTAGGAACTTAATCACTCTCAGACATGTCCAATCAAGAACTAATGGATAAAGGAAACTCGATGATGGATGACACAGATCAAGCCATTGAGAGGGGAAAAAAGGTCTGTACTTTTTATATCCATCTGATAACTTTTGCTTATTTTCCATTCTGCTTATTTTCCATTTTCATAAATGCAAAACCTCACTCAAATTGTGTGGCTTTGACAATAGATTGTTCAAGAGACCATAAATGTGGGAACAGATACTTCAGCGGCTCTCAAGGCTCAGGTTTGTAGTTTGGCCACACTCCTTTGTTACCAAACCATCGGTGCTTCTATCTGAATCTCAGTTGTTCTTTACAACATTCCTTGTTATGAGACCTAAGATAGTTTGCCTTTACACTGTTCAGACCGAGCAAATGAGTAGAGTTGTCAATGAGCTCGATTCTATTCATTTCTCACTCAAGAAGGCCTCCAAGCTGGTCAAGGAAATTGGTAGGCAGGTCAGCCTCCAAAAGCTCCGTACTTCCTCTTTATACCGTTCCTATTTATCTGCTCTCTCTTGTCCCTTTTACATACATTCTTCCCTTATTCTCCTAGGTTGCCACGGACAAATGTATTATGGCATTTCTCTTCCTGATCGTCCTTGGTGTCATAGCAATCATCATCGTCAAGGTATCTCTCAACTTCTTTCTTATACACACACTTGGATACTTGTTTATGTATTTAGATTTATCTGTTACATGATTATTTTTCTCATTATTTTTTCATTGTCTACCACGACATAAATTCATATCAGTAGAGGTTTTTGACTTTTCTGGGAATCATGTTAATCGAAGAACATATCAAAAGCATTAATACCCACAAATTTTCTTTCTCCAAATATTCAATTAGGGGACGGAGTCTTATCCTGTAAAGTTGTCTCCTGTATGATTGTTAATTTCATTTTTCTTCTGTACTCATCTTCACTATCTTTCCTTCCATATGCTATTTGCGTGGTTTGTGTTCACATATCATTCGTGTAACAACTTATTTTCTCTTTGTGGTAGATTGTGAACCCAAACAACAAAGACATCCGTGACATACCGGGCCTAGCTCCACCAGCCATGAACAGACGTTTACTCTGGAACAATTACTGAAAGAACAAAAAGAAAAAGAAAAATCTCATTTCATGCCCCTCAAAATACTGATACGTTACCGTACGCTTCTTGGTCCTTCCCCATAGTCCCTTGTTGCTCTAGATGAAACCGCCTCAAATGAGAAATTAACCAGTTTTTATCCCCATGGCTCTTGGCTTCTGCGCATTTGAGAAGTCGCAGGAAGCAAATTCCCTTCCGTTACAATCCCAGAAACAGAACCATCTTTTTTGTTCATGTGTTTGTATAACGATGACTCTTTCTGTGTTATATCATCTGTATGTGTATTTTTATAACGTCGTCTCTGTTTCATATTCTGGTAATAATTACTTGTTCCTTATTTTCACTGGTTTATGTTGAAAGTGGCGGCTGTATCATAATCGATAACTTGTATGACTAGTAGATAACTCTCACTCTAAGTGTGTGGAAAAAGTGTCTTTGATTTCTTCGAAGACCCATGATGTTTTTATTGTCGGGACAATCGTTGTAACATACAAGGATTGAAAGTCAAAACACTAAGAGATTCCGCAAGCCCCTGGTCTAGAGTTTTAATACAAGATCTTTACTTGGTTATTGTTTATTAGCATGGAATAACTCTAGTCCATCTAAAGGATCAGCATTACAATCCGTTTATGGGTAGGTTTTTGAAATCTACATCCTTTCTACAATATGCTTTCCCTTGTAGTCTGCTTACGCTCTAATACACAATATTCAAGGTTTATACATGTCATTTTGAATTTGGCCAAAAAGCATGATTGTTATACGAATTTCCGAATTTATCACTCTTTGACATTCTAGCATCTTTTGGCGTAACATGTTATAATTCTTAGCATTTCACGTGGCCCCATTCTCTTTACATTGGCACATCGGCTTCAGTTATGGAGAAATGCACGTCTTTATATTTTTTCTAAGTGTCTAGAACCAATCATTGATAAGTTGATAATACCAAATGCACCCTTAATCAATAGAGTTGAACTAGTGATTTTGATTCTTGATTACCCTCAAGAACCAGTATATCACAGATCACCACCTATTTGGTAAAGAAACGTATAGATGGGGTTGTTTTTATATTTGATAATAATTGGGTTACGTGTGTGTAAATCAGTGAAATGAATAAGGGCTATTTCGTTAACGGGCGTATCGATAACCAAGGCATAAAACTCGGCGCTGCTCACTAAACCAACTAACCAAAGGTTAAGCAGAGTGGGGCTTAGTGGCTTAATCAAAATAAAAATCCACTTTATAACCTCCGCCTTTCTCCCACTCTTGTGTTTTGGAGAGAGCAAGCGAAGGAATAATACTCTCAATGGATTTGCGTTTCGACCACCAAGCAGGAGGAGGCAACGTTTGGCAGAAATGCTCAAGACACGACCTTTCGAAACGCCGTTTCGTCTGCGGTGGCGGCGTTTGTCCTTTCTGCCTCCACGAACGCCTCTCCTCCCTCTGTCCCGATTGTGCCCACGACCTCCCCTGTTCTTGTACCCCACGCGCCTCCGTCTCCGCCGGCGAAGGCGACGTTCCTTTCGCCGGTATCGGATCGGTTGGTCGCGTTGCCAACCTGATCGAGTGCGAGCCGGCGTTTCGGAGATCGATGTCGATGGCGGTTCCGTTTCTCTGGTCTGCTAAACCGGAACCGGTTTCGGAAACCGGTTCGGATCTCCAACCGGGTCGTGGGCGTTCGCTTTGGAGACTGTTCAGAGGGAACAGGGGAGTGACGAAACCGAAGGATGATACGATTATGAGGAAGTCGAGATCCGTCGCAGTCTCCGACGCAGAAGAAGTGCTGTTTTCTCCGACGCCGGTGACGAGCAAATGGTATTTTCCAAGTCCGATCAAGGTTTTCCGACAGTCAAGAGTCTCCAAGATGATGTTTCAACAACGATCTCCTTTGTACAGAGGTTGAAGTTTAGCTTTTTCATTTTTTTTTTTGTCAATTAATAAATTTATTTTATTTTCAACTGATAATGAAAATGCTGATTTTATATACATGAAATTTTTCCTTGATGAATTTGAACGTTCTTTTTTTTCTTTTCTTCTTCTTATGCCTAAGTTTATTTTGCTGGATACATATTCATCATGCTGTTCAGACCGATAGTTTTCTCTTTACCATATCGACTAACTTTTGACATTTACATTACCATCAAAGTATGAGTATATCTACACATGTTTGACATTTTAAAAGTGAAGTGTTGTGTCACCACTCACCAACTAAACTCAAATTCAATAAAAATGTATGTAAAGTATAATGTTATCGAACTAATAAGGTTAATGTTTTATTCTGCAAAGACAAACTCTCAATTATCAAGTAAAAGAAAAGGTTTATAACTTTGTAAAATATTTTTATATTTGTAACAAAAAAGAGAAGCAGTAACATGGTTACATGTGCATGGAAGCCCTACCAAACACGTGAATGAAGCCGTCTCCATTTTAAAAATGTTTGTTTCTTTCTCATTTTTATAAAATATAATTACTATCTTTGAAAAGAAACCAAAAAAGATGAAAAACGAGAAATAGGGAAACGTGAAGGAGATGGAGAAGAGACCCGACAAAGAGTGGCGACAGACAGACATACGCACACGGTTGCACCTTCTCTCCTTTTGTCATCAATCATCATCACCATTCACCACACTTATTAACTTCTCTCTTTTCTTTTCTTTTTTTTTTTCCCACAAGAAATCCCTCGACCTTCTTTTATTTTTCTTTAATTGGCTCCAATTGAATATTTTCTTTTGATTTCCTTTTGAGAGCTATATGGACTACAAGATAGTAGTAATATGTTATAAGTAGTTTTTTTTTTTTTTTTTTGTAAAAATAAGTAGTTTCAATAAGGTTTGACTTATATGAAGTCCTGAACTATACCATTTTATTTTCTTTGTCTCTTTGACAAAAAAATTTTGTATTTTATACTGCCCAATCTCGAGCTTTTCTTTCTTGTTGACTTGTTATGGCTTGAGCCAAATGGCCCATATCATCCGAATTCACCCCAACCATTTCTTGGATCTAATGTTTCTGTGAAATGTAAACTGAAAGTGATACTTCATTAACCCAGCAACGATGGCTTTAAATAACCTTACAGGAATCAAAGGAAACAACAGAAACAACCTAAAAACTATGAAACAAACTTCCACTACACACTAGCTCAACTCCATGACTCAACTACGTAGTCTCCTAAAGACTCGGACATGTATTGACTGCAGAAAACAGCCAATGACTTATTCAACTAAGGACAACGACCAATTCAAACTTCAACATACCCTCCCTTAAGCTAATTCCTCTGAATTCAGCTTACTTCAGACAAGTTAACCATTCCAAGCAATGCTCGTAGCTTCTCAAATTGCTCCAGCTTCAACGGTTTGGTAAAGATGTCTGCGACTTGATTTTCTGTTGCACAATACTCCAGCTTGACAGTTTCAGAATTCACCAATTCCCTAAGATAATGAAATCTTACTTCAATATGCTTGCTTTTCCCGTGAAGAACTGGATGCTTTGACAATTGAATGGTGGAGTTGTTGTCACACTTAATTACAGTCGCAGATTCTTCCTCAGCTCCAATCTTTTCTAGAATTCTTCTAATCCAAACACACTGACAAGCACAAAACACTGCTGCTATATATTCCGCCTCAGTGGTCGAAAGTACGACGACAGACTGTTTCTTTGATGCCCAAGAAATTGCACCTGATGCCATCATAAACACACATCCCGTCGTGCTCCTGCGATCGTCCACGTCGCCGGCATAGTCACTGTCCGTGAAAGCCATAAGCCTCGGACTGTTGCTTTTATTTCTCCAATAAAAAATCCCAAGCTCAGTCGTACCTTTTAAGTATCGTAGGATCCTTTTCCCAGCAAGCCAATGCGACATCTTCGGATTCGCCATGAATCGACTTAGGAGACACACTCCATACATCAAATCGGGTCTGGTCACTGTTAAATACATGAGACTCCCAACCAATTGTTTGAACATAGTTTCATTCACCTCCTCGCCATTTTCATCTTTTGTGAGTTTCGTTCCGGGCACGATGGGATTTCTTACTGCGTTGCTTTCCTCCATCCCAAATTTCTCTAATACCTCACGAGCATATCGTCTTTGGCAAATGAAAATTCCTGTCTCACTCTGCTTCACCTCAACTCCAAGAAAATGCTTCATTTTTCCTAAATCGGACATCTCAAATTCCAGCATCATCGACCTCTTAAACTCATCACACATAGCCTTATTATTCCCGGTAAATATCAAATCATCAACATATAAGCTGACAATGAGAATGTTACCTCCTTTTGTCTTAGTAAACAAAGTATGTTCGCTAGAACATCTCTCAAACTCCTCCTTCAGAAAATATCCTTCGATTTTTCTGTACCAAGCTCGCGGAGCCTGCTTGAGTCCGTACATCGCCTTTCTCAGCTTGTATACCTTTTCCTCTTCTCCTTTCTTTATGAATCCCTCGGGCTGGCTCACGTACACATCCTCCTTCAATTCTCCATGTAAAAACGCACTTTTAACATCCAATTGAAAGATCTCCCAATTCAATTGTGCAGCGACAGCAAGTATGGCTTGAATTGTGTCGAGTCTCGCGACTGGAGCAAAGACTTCGGTGTAGTCTATGCCGTAACATTGAGCGTAACCTTTTGCGACCAACCTCGCTTTGTGCTTATCAACTTCACCATCCTCATTCAGCTTAGTTTTATATATCCATTTCACTCCAATTGGTGTGACGCCTTTGGGTAAAGTGGTTAGCTCCCAAGTGTTGTTCTTCACAATTGACTCGATCTCACGTTCCATTGCTTCTCTCCAAACACTGTCTTTCACTGCTTCATCGAACCGAACTGGGTCACCTTCTGTCATCATCATCAGTAGCATGACAGACAAGTTTTCATCTTCTCCGTCTCCTACAACAAAATCAGCCAAGTATCCTGGTCTTTTCCGTGCGCGTGGCCCTGCATATGCTTCTATTTCACCAGCTCTTGGTGAATTGTTGATTGAGTTTGGAGTAGACAAAACTGGACTTGGTGGAGATGAATTACCACCCGACGCAGAAGACTCACCACTCGACACGATGGGACTTGTCACATTTGTCGTGTCATCTCCTCCCTCTTCTGCGATATTATTATCTTCGTCTCCACATTCCAGAATTTTTCCTTCCACACCAGCTTGATCCCAATCCCAGCTTTTGCTTTCGTCAAAGACAACATCGTTGCTTATTACGATCGTTTTCGTAACCGGATCATACAGCCTCCATGCTTTTGATTCTTCACTGACTCCAAGGAAAACACATTTCTTGCTCTTGTCGTCTAGTTTTCTTCTTTTCTGATCGGGTATATGTACATACCCTATGCACCCAAAGACGCGAAAGTATTCCACAACAGGTTTCTTACCACTCCAAGCTTCTTCAGGTGTCATATCTTCAACTGCTGCTGTAGGGGATCGATTCTGAATGTGCACACTCCATCTGGTGGCTTCAGACCAGAAAGTTTTTGGAACTTTCCTCTCACTTACCATAGAACGAACAGCATTCATTATCGTTCGATTCTTCCTCTCTGCGACTCCGTTCTGTTGTGGCGTGAATGCTGCTGTCAATTGCCGAGTGATGCCATGAGTTTTACAAAACTCTCCAAACTCATTAGAGGTAAACTCTCCTCCTCGATCTGTCCTTAAGCTAGTGATCGCCGTTCCAATCTCCTTCTCCACACTTGCTTTAAAAAACTTGAAGATGGTGAACGCCTCTGATTTCTCATGGAGAAAGTATAACCACGTTTTACGAGTGAAATCATCAATGAACGTCAGTATATACCTCTTGTTGCTGTGTGACATTGGCGTGATTGGTCCACATATATCTGAGTGGATCAACTGAAGCTGTCTCGATGCACGCCAAGAACTCTTCTTCGACATTGATACCCTATGTTGCTTCCCGGTCAAACACACAGCACATATCTCCTTCGTGGGCTTCAGAGTTGGTAGCCCAATAACCATTTTCTTTTGTGATAGTAATTTCAGCCCTTCTTGATTTAGATGCCCAAAACGACAGTGCCACAGATTCATCTCCTTCTCAAAAACTTCTTCTGTTTGCAAACACAACGAATTCTTCTGCGGTTTGGTGGCGAGAAGAAAGAACATTCTGTTTCCACTCATGTTGGTGTTCATTATTGCACCTTTGCTTGGATGAAACACCTTGCAGGTTCCGTCGCGAATCAAGATTGCTAAGCCTCTTTCTTGCAGTTGACCAAGGCTCAACAAATTGTTCTTAAGCTCCGGAACGTAATAAACATCAGGTATAACTTGAGTGATGCCATTAACTTGAACTTTTACACTGCCTATTCCCACCACCGACATCCTTGTGTCGTTTCCGAGCTTCACCGTTCGATTGATTCCTTCTTCCAGGTTGGAGAACCAATCTTTACTCCCGGTCATGTGATTGCTGCATCCTGAATTCAAAAACCAAACTTCATCTCTATTCGCTTGATGTTGTTCCACGTAAGCCATCAAGAGCAATTCTTCTTCCTCTTCTAATTCAGCGTAGTTTGCTTTCTTCTCCCATTCGGGACACTCATACTGAAAGTGCCCTAATTTGTGACATTTGTAGCACTCTACAATTGCACGATCAACAGCACTTCTTCCTCTTCCTCTGCCTCGGCCTCCTCGAAACGATCTGCGACCCCTTCCTTTACTTGGTCTCTCATCTTGAGACACTTTTAGCGCTTGCTCTTCTTGTATGTGTCCATTCATACGCTGCTCATGGACAAGTAAGCTCCCGTGCAATTCATCGATGCTCAATGTGCTTAGATCGTTCGATTCCTCAATCGAACACACAACATAGTTAAATCTCGGAGTGAGGGATCTGAGAATTTTACTCACAATCGTGCTCTGCTCCATCGATTCACCATTCACCTTCATCTTGTTTACCACCGCCAAGGTTCTTCCCAAGAAGATATCAATCTTCTCTCCCTCTTTCATGGCCAGCAATTCAAACTCTCTTCTCAATGCTTGTAACTGTACCCTTTTCACCTTTGTAGAACCTTGATATTTCTTTCTCATGGATTCCCAAATCGCCTTAGAGGTGCTTTTGTCAAGAATAGTTTCCAGAATCTCTCTATCAATGGACTGGAACAAGAAATTCTTGACCTTCAAATCCTTAAGCTTCGCCTCTTCTACCGACTTCCTCTGCGTCTCACTCGCTGGTGTTGTTCCGACAGCCGCCGTCGGAATTCCGTCCTCCACTAGGCTCCATAATTCTCTGCTTCTGAGAAAATTCTCCATCGTCATGGACCAGAAATCGTAATAGCCATCAAATTTTGGTATGGCTGGCTGCACAAATTTTTCTGATTTCTCAGACATCTCTCTTTTCCTTTCTCTTTCTTTTCTTCGTTTTCTCTCTCGATCACTTTCTCACACAGGATTTTGTTTTCTTTTCTCTCTCCCCTTTTTTTTTTAAATGGCTCTGATACCAAATGTGAAATATAAACTGAAAGTGATACTTCATTAACCCAGCAACGATGGCTTTAAATAGCCTTACAGGAATCAAAGAAAACAACAGAAACAACCTAAAAACTAGGAAACAGACTTCCACTACACACTAGCTCAACTCCATGACTCAACTACGTAGTCTCCTAAAGACTCGGACATGTATTGACTGCAGAAAACAGCCAATGACTTATTCAACTAAGGACAACGACCAATTCAAACTTCAACAGTTTCATCTGCGATCAACTCTTCTTAACCTCCATTTTCCAAGCAAGCCTTTATATTGTTTGGTACAAGCGAAGCTCATGCATCTTCACCGTTGCCATAATTCGTTCCAATTCATTTTCGATCATGAAGTTTACTAAATCATGGGAGACGAGCTTAAATCAATCAACAAGTTTGGACAAATCAAGAATCGTTTTTGGCAGTTATAATCACTCGCGCGATTTTTATATAATTGAGGATTCCATTAATGTATATTTCAGAATAATGTTGAAAAAGTTTTCTTGTTTAAAATATCGTATTGAAATGTCAAGATAGAAAACCTTTTTTTTTGTCCGTCAGATAACCTTTTACAACTGCCTAGGACTCTGTGAGCTTCTCATACATGTGTCAAGGTTAACCAAAAACTTACAAGATAAAAATAGGTTAATCAGTCTCCTTATAGCTGCCGGTAGAAAGAAGAAATTCTCTAAGTTTTTCACTCTTGCTTATAAAAATATAGAGTTTATGAATTATAATTCTTATTTTACACGATTTAATCCAAAAAAAAATGTAAAGGTTAATGACGTTAAAAAATTTATAAAAGGGTTAATTACGGATGGAAAAAAAGAAAAAAAAAACCAGTAAGGGTCATAGTGGGGGTAAATGGAAAATTGGGTCGTTGGGTTAACTACCTCACCTCTCGTTACCGTTAAGAATTCTACAAAAATCAAAACGCGCGAGATAGCTTAAAAGGTTATTTCAGTCAATTCGCAGAACCACCTTACGGCTGGATATTACGCAATCTTATTTATAAACCCCTCGATTTCTTGCGTAAACTTCGATTTTTCTTTTTGAAATCTCTGTTTCCTCTTCCCTTCGATTCATTTTTTTTTTTCTTCCATCTCCGGAAATTCTAATTTTCTGGAGAGAAAAATGGCGTCCGAGAATCTGAATGATAAGATCTCTGTATTTAAGAAGCTCAAATCGAAATCGGATAATAAGGTAATGTTTTCCACTGTTCCACAGATTCAAAGATCCAATTAAGATCTACAACTTCAGCGATCGGATCTGGTAAATATTTTTGGATTTTATCTTTCTCATTTTTTATATTGGATATCTGCAGATTTGTTTCGATTGCAATGCGAAGAGCCCAACATGGGCCTCCGTTACTTACGGGATCTTTCTCTGCATCGATTGCTCTGCTGTTCATCGAAGTCTCGGCGTCCACATCAGCTTCGTCAGGTCACTAATTTCATTTCAGCTTCACATTCCAAAATTTTGTATGCTTCATTAAATTTTATTTGATGACAAATTGTGATAAAAATAAAAATTGATTCACAAACTGAAATCTGTTTCCTGCATCTCCCAATTTTCACCTGAATTCAAATTTTTCCTGCTTGAATTTGAATTGAATCGCATCTATGGTTTAGAGAATCTTCTTCTGATTTTTTTTTCTAATCTGGTTTTTGACTGTTGATCTTCATCTTTGTTCAGGTCTACAAATTTAGACTCATGGAGCCCAGAGCAGTTGAAAATGATGGTGTATGGAGGAAACTGCAGGGCACAAGTCTTCTTCAAGCAACATGGATGGAGCGGAGCAGGTAAAACCGAGGCCAAGTATACCTCGAGAGCTGCTGAGTTGTACAAACAGACTCTTGCCAAAGAAGTTGCTAAAAGCAAATCCGAGGAATTCGATTTGCCTCCATCTCCTGATTCTACATATTCAACACAAGTTCGCAATAGTCTCTCCAGCATCAAAACCAGTGAAGCTCCCAAAGAGAGTAATAATACTCTAAAGAATCAAGAAAAGCTTGAAGTTACCGTCTCACCAAGAGTGTCTAAGACCGTTAAGAAACCTCTTGGTGCGAAGAGGACAGGTAAAACTGGTGGACTTGGCGCACGAAAGCTAACTACTAAGGTCAGTAAATGCTCATGACTCCTTATAGAGATTGTAGAAAGATCCATCTTTTTTGCGTTTTGAGAATTTACGTAAGAAGTTTTGGTTGGAATCGCAGTCGAGCGAGACTCTTTATGATCAAAAGCCGGAGGAATCTGTTGTTATACCAGTGACTTCCCCAGCCAACAGTACATTATCAGCTAAGTCAGCCAGGTCATCGTCGTTTTCCTCTGGCTTTGATTACTTCGACAGTGTTCAAACAAGAGATCAATACATGAGCAGTCCTCAAGTGGTTGGTCATGTAGCTCCACCAAAATCGACCGGTTTCTTCGAGGAGTTCGAGATGAATGGAGGCGGGTTTCAGAATAAACCAATCACAAGCTCGTCAAAAGTTCAAGTGAGCTACTCTTCCTCCTTCTTATGTCATTATTTCAGATTCTTTTGTACTCACGCTCTCTAGCAATTGACCAGGTTCAAGAAACAGATGAAGCCCGGAAGAAATTCTCAAACGCGAAATCAATCTCCTCTGCTCAGTACTTTGGAAATGAGAACAACTCTGCCGATCTTGAGGCCAAAAGTACATTGAAGAAGTTCTCTGTACGTTTCCTCTTGATTAACCTCATTTGCCTTAACTAAAATACTTGTGTTCTGTTGGGTTTGAAAAAGTACTACAAATTAGAAAAATTCTCACTTTTATAAACAGGGTTCATCAGCAATCTCTAGTGCTGATCTGTTTGGAGACGATGACGGGGATTTTCCTCTGGATCTCACCGCCGGTGATCTTTTCAACCGCCTCTCTCTCCAGGTCTCGCCTCACTTTTCATTCCCTTACTGTCTAGGCTCGTTTTTGCCATGATTCAATTGAGAAACTATGTCGTCTTATATTGTGTATCAGGCTCATCAAGACATGTCGTCGTTGAAGAACATGGCAGAGGAGACAAAGAAGAAGCTCAGCTCTGTTGCTTCCAACTTATGGGTCTGAAAGGTTCATGTTTTCTCTCAAGACCCAACATTTTTTTTTTTCTTCTTCTCTTATACCCTTTTTTATTTCCAAATCATTTATTCTATTCTTTTTACTAGGGGGTACAAACATAGTAATATACTGTAAACTCTGTTTGTTTTATTAAAAAATATATCAATAATTTTGTATCATTGAGATTCTGCTTTGTATATTGTCATCAAATATGTGGTGTTCATGAACAAACTCTCATAGTCTTATTGGATTGATGAAAGTCAACTTGCTCGACGTTTATCTTCTTAGATGTATCAAACTTACTCAGAAACGAATCTTTATTCATATAAGACACTCATGTCCAATATAATTATAGGCAAAGTCTTCAAATTTTTTTTCCAAAAACTTACATTTCCTTGACCTCTTCCCAAGAGACCCGACGTATTGTGCACAAGATACTCTTTACGCTGGCTCAAGTCACTTTCGGGTGTGGCTTAAAGCTTGAAAATATTTGAACGATTCGATATCATTAATTTGCTAGAGATTTATGCTTGATCATTGAAGTATGATCGGCGAGATTGAGTTGTAAAACCTAGTGAACTATGGAAAGATTGAAAGTTTGAAACTATAGAAACTGCTGAACAAAACTCAAAATAGTTAGAATATACTCAGAACTATTACCACATATTTTGTTATAATTGTTGGAACATTTTTTGTTGGAACATTCTTTAAAGTTAATTTGGATTAAATTACTTCTCATTCGATCTTAAGAAAAATATAAAGTCTCAAAGTGAATAAGAAAGTTAAAATATGCATGAAGAAGAGAATAAAGATATTTGGAAATATGATAAGATATATAAACATTACACATTGTTTAAAAAGGAATAACTCATAATGCTATTAAGAAAGTTGTTAGCTTCGCAAAGTAAAAGGGACACAAATCTCCAATATAAGATGAGAAGTCATAAGAGATAAAACAATAATTGTTCTATAGGAACAAAAAAAAATGCTAATTCGTCGTTTTCATAGAGAGTTTAGGAGCTATTTTTTTTTCATGAAATAGAAAATCTAGAGTTAGTCTTGAAGCTGTAAGATAAAAACAGAATGATGTCCAAAAAAAGATAAAAATAGAATAACCATAAACAGCATCTACCGATAAAAAAAATAAAATAAAAAGTCTTTCTTTATCCACCAAACGATTAAACACCGAACTTAGAAAACACCCGACCCAAAAAGGTCACATATGTTTTAATCCTCTACCTTCAATTACAAACAAAGTTTCGGTTTTCTTTGTTTTTGTCAGCTGATACCTCAACAACAAACAATTAATCAACCCCATTAAATAAGGTATTCATTTTGTACTCTAAATCTGATTTCTTGTCAATCAAACAACCGAAGCCCTAGAAAGCAACATCCCCAAAAGGTTGTCATTTGGGATTTGAGTTCTCTTTGTGATACCACAAAGCCTAATAGCTTTCCCTTTTTCTTATCAAGACAAGCAAATCAAAACGCAGAAGACATCACCCCTCAAATTAAAATCTCCCATTCTCGATTCGATTTCCGTAATAAGCAAGTAAGATGAGCCTGAACTGCCTCGCTTGCCACATCTTGCAAAGATCAGACTCGGACAGGGACATAGGAAGCCGTAAAGACTCAAAATTTACAGAAAATATTGTAACTTCAGGGTATGAACATATGGTAAGGAACAGATCGCCGTTGCCCGTAGTGAGACGGGTCAAAACGGGACATCGCAGGCTCTACAGCGCTGAGGTCGTGGTCTATGGGGATCTTGACGAGCCTAAACTAGTAAGAAGCAGTGGGATTAGAAGGGATTGGAGCTTTGAGGATCTAAAGAAACAAAGAGATCAGATAAGAATTGGAGAGACAATAAAGGAATGAGACCGATCCTTGCCTACGTACGGTTCTTGTAATGTTCTTGGTGTTATTACGTTGTAGTGTTGTACCGTTCCTTTCGGACAACCCGCCTAAATGTAAGATTTTGAAAAAATTTCGGATGTTTGCTGATCCGACAATAACAAAATCTGTGAAGGTTCATATATATAATACATTCATAATCCTAATGAAGATTCTACAAAAACTGATCTGAAATCTAAGAGGTCTTTCATAGTCATATGCCTTGAGAGAGTTTTGAATATCTACAGAAAAAAAAAAGAAGAAGAAGAATGGAAATATCCAAAACTCATCGACGAGATGTTTTCTTTGTGCTTTAGCAAATCTAGGAAGATATCTCTTTGAATCTTTGCGGAACTAGCTGATATAATTGTGATAGATAACCTTTTTATTGTCAATTGGGGTGGTGGCGCAGTTGGCTAGCGCGTAGGTCTCATAGCTACTGAGTGATCCTGAGGTCGAGAGTTCGAGCCTCTCTCACCCCATTCATTTTTTTTTGACATGTCTTTTGATGATTTTTGTGTTGTTCTTCTCAAATCAAAAACACTGCAACTATTATTCCTAGCTATCACCAGTTGGGAAAAAAAAAAGGCTTTTATCAGAAGAAAGATAGAAAACTGTTTTCTTTTCTCCAATATATTAGTAACGTTTTATGTTTTATATTTGGTGATTTTATCATGTTCTAGAGGTAGAACTATTATCCAGGGATCCAAAATTCAATTTGGGATTCGCTCCAAATATCTAAGTAAAATTTCGGATGTGTCAAAACCGAATCTAAATCCCTTTAACTTGGCGAAGTTTGTATTAATAAGCTCTGACGTATCCTGGATTGGGGGTTTTTGGCTTAGGTCCTTCTGTGTCATCTAGAGTCTTTGAATTTTCTTGTTTTTCTAACTTTCCGATACGTGAATTTTTTCGATTCGTGAAATTGGCTCTTTTTCATTCCGGCATTTATTGCTTCGGTATTTCGAAATATTCTTAAATCTTCTTACTTTCCCTTTCCCTCTCCTTGCTCTTTCCTCTTCCTGCTTTCCTTTCCTTTATCGAGCCTTTTCTTAAGCTCCAATTCTGCAACATCAATGATTTCCGCAAAATTAGTGATTGAATATTGCATAACTAAAGGCACTTTCTCCTCTCTCATTATTGACCTGCTCCCCAAACTTCCGGCCTTTCTTCACCGGAAATCTCTGCCCTCACTGTATCCGTTTGCGATGTCGGAAAACCTCAAGCTGCGATTCGTGCCATGACGTTGTGTGATGAAGAACCTCTTGTCCTGCCGGATGAACCAAGATTCAAGGTTTTTGAGGAAAGCGCAATAAGCCTCTTGGGGCGACTTTTAAACCCGGATTGTCAGCCAATGGACAAGATGATCATGGATATGCCTCGAATCTGGAGGGTGTATGACAAGGTTAGAGGTATTGCGCTGTCTCGAGACAAATTCCAATTCATATTCCAGCGTGAGGAGGATTTGCTTACAGTCCTGAAAGATCGGCCGTGGTCATACAATCATTGGACGATGCTTCTGGAATGGTGGACACCGTCTCCCCCGAGAGATTTTCTAACCATGGTGGATGTCTGGATCCAAATTAGCAAAATCCCGGTAAACTATTACAAGTTGGAAACTATGGATTTTCTAGCTGATAAAGTTGGGAAAGTTATTGAGATTGCTTACGATCCCAAGGCTTCCCAGAAGGAGGCGTTCATCAGAGCTCATGTGAGATTGGATATTGCCAATCCGGCGATATGTGAGAAGGTCTTGACCCTGCCGACAGGAGAGCAAGTTCTGATTGAATATGCCTATGAGAAACTGAGGAAACGCTGCTTCCACTGCCAGAGACTGACTCATGAGAGACCAGCTTGTCCTTGGACGAGAAAGAAGGCTCCTCCCTCAAAGCCGAGACCTCTCATTGAGGCTAAAACCAATACTACTGAGGCTTTCGTGGTCCATGCCCAGTCATCTACGGGTGTTGCTCCTTCGGTACCCCTGGTTTTCCTCCTTTGCTTGCTAATCTTCCTCGTGAAGAACGACAAGTTGCGATTCAGTATATTTCCCACAGTAATGACACCGAACGTAATGCCCGTATACTTCGAGTTCAACAGGCCTTGGAGTCCGATCTTGACACGACATCGGTGAAAATGCCTAAGCTTACTACTGATCTGCAAAAGGATAAAGGTCACGTTTTTGGGTTTGAAGATCATCATCGTGCTGCGAAAAAACGGAACCTATTCATGGATAGGTCCGTGGTTTCAGAAACGGTTTTCAATGATCAAGAGGGGTCTTCTTCCTCATCTCCTTTGGGTCCAACGGTTTTTCGAATGGGCTCTTCTTCGGAAACCCTTCCTTCCGGTACCAGGATTGATGGGAAAAAACCCGGAGTCATAGATCCCTGCTAAGGGAGTGTGTTATGTGTCTTGGTTTTATTTCGGTACCTTCTGGTATTCATTTTAATGAATAACCCCTTTAACTTATAAAACTTCTTTTAAACCAAATTATAAAAGTTAATCAGTCAAAACGCCAATTTTTGTTGCAATAAATACTCGTACGCGTTATACATTTCAAAATAAAACGTATGATAATTGCAAAGCGGAGATGATTTTCTCATCGATTTTCTTCTTAGTTTAGAAAATTACTTTTGACCAAAAAAATGGTTTGGAAAATTACTAATTTACTACTGTAACGAATAATAATTTTATAGAAGTAAAAGATATTTTCTGCATTCGGAAAATGGCTTTATTTGCATGTAAAAACAATCTTTCTACTTTTGATATGTACGAATTTTTTCCTCCCTATTATATACTACTAATCCATCCATTTCCCATAGAATTTTCTTTTATAAAACAGATATAAAAAGACTCTTTCGGAAAATGTTCGTAGGAGACGAGTGTGACGACCTGGACACGTCAGCTCCATGTCACTCCAGTCTGGCAAATCACTAATTAAATATAAATAAGACAAAAAAAAAATGAGGAATCTAATTTCATCTCAAATCTTCATTGACAAAATTAGGGTTCATTTTAATTCTCCTTCTCTCTGCATCGTGTTACTCAGGATCTGATTGAAATTAGGCTCTCGGCTCTTCTAGGTGTTCTCAGATCCGAATTATCAGGTGAAAGGCCTGAACTTTTGCTCAATCTTACAGTTATCACTTTTTTTCTTTGGCTGGTCTGGTGGGAACACAGAGAATTGAGAGCTCCAGAATTGTGATACTAGGAGTGTTTTGCTTTAGTGTTTGATCGAGTTTGTGAGCGAGTAATCTTGGGCTTTTGATTTAGGGGAGCATAAAGTAGCTCAAAAACTGAGGATCTACTTTCTTAGGCTAGGCACTTTCTGCTGAATTTTGTTTCGAGATTCTGGACTCATTAGTTGGATAATGAGCACTTTCTTCTTTGTTGGATTAGATAATCAGTAGACAGAGGATTAGCTGCGAAAAGTTTGGATTTTGGCTGACTAAGGATAATTCTCCGGTCATATTTGGTGCTGGGTCTGTTGGATTGGTAGTGAAGTTTTGTGAATAGAAATAGTTTTGGAATTTGCGGAAATGGATAGGCCTCGACAAAATGATCATTTGGGTGTGAATAAGATTGGGAGGAATATCAGAAAAAGTCCTCTGCACCAACCGAATTTCGCTGCGAATGCTAATGCCGCTGCTGCTTCAAGGCCTCAAGCGCAGCCTCAGGTTTATAACATCAGCAAGAACGACTTTAGAAGTATTGTTCAGCAGCTAACAGGCTCTCCTTCACGTGAAAACCTTCCTCGCCCTCCTCCTCAGAACAACCCACCAAAGCCTCAGAATACACGGTTGCAGAGAATCCGACCAGCACCCTTAACTCAGATAAACCGGCCTCCGGTTCCTCTCCCTACCATGGTTCCTCCACAACATCATCCTTACTTAGTTAGACCGCATCCACCACCCCAGCCACAAGTCACACAACAACCAATGATGGGTCATGGGGACCAGTTTTGGTCTAATACAGCTGAGTCTCCCATCTCAGAGTATATGCGTTATCTTCAAAGCTCACTTGGAGATTCAGGTCCCAATGGTAACCAAATGCAGCCAGGTCATGAGCAACGTCCATATATGCCTGGTCATGAAAATCGTTCATATATGCCTGGTCATGAAAATCGACCATATATGCCAGCTCAGCCTCAGCCTCAACCACAGTCCCAACCTCAACCTCAGTCCCAATCTCAACCTCAAGCTCAACATCAACCTCAAGCTCAGCCACACATGATGCCTGGATCACAACCTCGAATGAATATGCAGGGGCCACTTCAACCTAACCAGTATCTACCACCACCCGGGTTAGTTCCTAGCCCAGTGCCTCGTAATCTTCCTTCTCCTCAGTTCAATGGTCCTGTACCTGTCACGCCCACTCTGCCTTCTCCCAGGTTCAGTCAAATGTATGGTGGTTTTCCTTCTCCTCGATATAACGGTTTTGGACCACTACACTCACCTACATCCCAGTTTGTTCTGCCATCTCCTACTGGTTACCCGAATATGTTCTCTCCAAGATCACCTTACCCATTACTATCACCAGGAGTTCAGTATCCTCAGCCACTTACCCCAAACTTCTCATTTTCACAAATAGCTCAACAAGGAAGTCTCGGACCCGGTGCAGGTCCAGGTCCAGGTCCTCCTCAGCCACCTCCATCTCCAGGTCTCATGTTCCCGTTATCGCCATCCGGGTTCTTCCCTATCCCAAGTCCAAGATGGGGTGATTACTAGGTGGCTCTCTCCAGTCTCTGTCCGATTTATTGGATTACGTAAATCTTATCATGTTTTTTTTTTTTCAAGTCTCTCTAGGTTAGTCTATACTATGAAAGAAGCTTGGTCTCCAGAGCCTACAGTAGAATAGACGCAACAGCATAGATTTGTAAACGCAAAAGGCGCTTTTATAGAAGAAAATTTCTCTGTTTTTGAGGTTCTATAGGTAAAAGGTTGAAGCTTTATTTGGGAATCTTGGGATGATGATGATTACTTTTCTTTTGTTTGTCACAGAATTAGCCGTCTTTTGCGTAATTTGTATACAGGCTTTAGACAATACTCTGTCAATTTATAAGATTTTTGGTTGTTTTTCAAGCAAGTACCTCTCTGTATTGTTTTATTATACAGAAGATATCTTCTAGTGACAAAAGAAAGAGTAACTAGTGACAAAAAACTTTGTACGCATTTCTCTCTACATATGCAAAATTTGAGATAAATTTGATATCAGCTAGCAATTAAGCTTCACAAGCTCCAAAAAAAGATGGAAACAACATCATCCATAATACCATCATCAACCATTATTCGCACAGAATAACCAAACAAGACGAAGAAAAGAGGCTATTAGATCGGAGTTCAAAGGGAGAAAGGAGATTGTGTTTAGGCATAGACTCTGAGAATTAGAATCAGCGCATGTTCTCTCTCCGTCGGACATTTCTGGTTCTGTCATTGTACTTTGGTTTATCCGATCCTCTTTGAGTCGTTAACTCCACCATCCTCCTCTGTCTCTCTGGTGGTCGCGGAACTACTTCTCCGTTCACAAACAACTCAGCTGCAATTGCAAAAAAAAACACTCATCAAAGACTTCATCAGCTAATTATAACAAGAATCAGCGCGAAATTTTTGACATACATTGGCCACAGAAGCACTTACTAAGTTCAATCTTTCATACATATGAACAAATGAAAATATTTTGCTTGAAAAAATAGCAAGTTCAAGTTTTTTTTAAAAAAAGTTCTGTTTTCTCTGTGAGACCAACTCATTGAACTACTAAATTCGATAATATATTGATGAATTATGACACAGGACATCACGAGATGATAAAATGATACGTAAGTTTTGAAAATGCAGAACAGTGTTGATGAATTTACCTCCGTAATCTTTGTACTCTGGATCAACATAAGAGTCCGGAAGCACGAACAGAACACCAGGAATCCCTGAAACTCACAAGAAACAAGACACATGGGTTACAATCACATAATCTATCTCATGTGGCCTAATTATTCTAAAAGTACCATAATACACATCCAGTGACCAACTTGTGCTTCGAAAAGAGAGATACCTTCGAGTTTGTTTGATGTCTCCTCATCGATCTCACAGCCAAAACCAAAATACCTCTCGCACGAAACATTGTATATCTTCCTCTTAGCTTCTTCCTCACTGATTAACGAAACAGCAGTATCAGTGTGTATGTTATATAGCGAACTAGTAGCGTAAAATGGAGATCCGAGTTACAACGAACATGGATTTTGAATCCACAGCAATTAGATCGTAGGAAATGGCAGAATAAACCACGAATTTGGTTGCTCTTCTTTCAGGTTATAAGAAATGGGAAGAAACAATAACTTACCTTCCGACAATTTTGGCTAGGGTTTGAACATAGCAATCGATCATTTGCTGTCTATTAGCGTTTTCGCCGCCGGGCTTGTCCATGACGATGAGCCAATGCTCGTAGTCGCATCCAGGAAATAGCGGCGCCATCTCAGTAGGTGGTCGGTCGCTGAAATTCGATCCGGATTTGAGCGGCGCATACGATCCACCGGACCTGTCCATACGGGTCCGGATCGTCGTCAAACGTGACGAAGCGGGGATGAATCCGGCGGCGTGAAACAGCGTCGGTGAGGATCGACAGGAAATGAGGTGAGAAGGAAGCGGAGAAGGAGAGGCAGCTCTGGAAGTGGAAAATAAACGATTAGCGACGCGTGAGGCTGTGGAGCGTGATAGGGTTTTCGCCATTGATACTGGTGCGCTTCCCGGCGATGATGACAGATGAGACTTTTTTAAAACTAATTGATCGTTTGATGAAAGGAGAAAGGGGAAAAAAAACTGGACTTGGAGCAGATGATACAAAAAAAATTTACTAATGGGCCTTATCATATCTAAAAATTTATGAGTCTCATTTGAATGATGATCAATGAGGATTATAGAAACCATCAAAGTATGGATGTTTTTTTCACACACTGCTTATTTTGCGGTTCAAATTAACGCAAAGGAAACTTTATTTTTAAAATGAACTTTTAGATGATTCCGAAGCTTCACGCCAAGAAATTTATCGTCCGTCTCAGAGAGGAAATGAGGTCTTTGATCGTGAATCCTCTCGCAGGAGTGGTTTATCTCCATCTAACCAGAGATCCTCTCAGAGAATGGACCCAAGCTTCGACATGTGGGAAAATCCCCGCCCTCATGTTCGCCAGACAAGTTTGAGAATCTCTGAACCAAGCTCCAATCCGTCTCCACCTTCAAGGAAGGCAGAGATTGCCGTGGAAGGCAAAGGCAAAGCCGTAGCGGAGGAGGATGAGGATTTCAGCGATAATGATGACTTGGAATCCTCACCAATGCTCTTTGAAATGGGCTCTGGTTCTGGTTTACACTCTTCTCCACCTTTTGGTGAGTCTCTCCTCCCCATTGAGAATCATTTGGACCCGCTGCAAGAGAACAACACGGACGCTGAAGAAGGGAAGAGTGTTTTCGGTAATGAATCTATCCCCACTGATTGGGAGGACCGTGTTGATGGCCAGGAGGATGATACGGAGCTCACAGCTGAGGATTTGAGAATTTTGGAGGAGTGTGAAAAGACAATGATACTGGAAGCGATGATGGAAGAGGATGATTTACTTGGTGAGGAGTTGGCGGAGGATGAAAGGAGAGCAAATGAAGCCATGGTGGAGAGTTTGGAGAGGACCATCTCTGAAGATGTGAGACCAATTGTCCATGTGACAAGTGGAGCAGTTCCGACCTCTTCTCAGTCGCCAACCAGCAAGAGAGAGAGATCGCCTCCAAGAGTGCAAGCGGCAAAGGCTGGCTCAAAGAAGAAGACTCCCAAGAGCCCAAAGACGCAGGCTGCGGCATCCAAGAAGTTGAAGGTGTTTCAAGGAAAGAGTTCACCGAAGAGAAAAGCCCCTTCTTCGTATGCAGATTCCACAAAAGAAAAGAGAAAGACGAGTGATCCTTCTATCCCTCCCACTGAGGTGATTTTCGTTCCTAAAAGTAAGTTTTCCAAAGTGACCAAGAAGAAAGATGGCGATGTGGAGGATCAGAACCCTCCGAAGCCACCTGAATGAAGATTCTAGCATGGAACTGCCAAGGGGCGGATGCTAAACTCACTAAACGCAGACTGGAAGAGTTATCTCGAAAGTACTCTCCAGGTTTCATGTTTTTATCTGAAACTAAAAATGATCGGTTTTTTCTGCAAGACTTGCAAGTCTCTCTAGGATTTGATAATCTCCAAACTGTTGACCCTGTAGGAAACAGTGGAAGATTAGCTCTTTTTTATTCTAAGGATTTTCCGGTTAAGATTATGTTACTTGATGACCGTTTGGTCGATGTTGAGACTATTATTGATGGTAATAGAGTTTGTATGACTTTTATTTATGGAGATCCTGTCGTTACAAATCGTGATTATGTATGGGAGAGATTAAATCGTATCGGGATCTCTCGATCTGGCCCGTGGTTTATTATTTGCGATTTTAATGAAATCACAGGGAACCATGAAAAAAGTGGCGGTAAAAAAAGATCTGAAGCCTCTTTCCTTTCTTTTCGTGCCATGATTCAAAATTGTGGCATGGTCGATTTCCCTTTCCAAGGAAAGTCATTCTCTTGGATTGGCCGACGGAAGAACGGAGTAATCAAATGTAGATTGGATAGGGCTATGGGTAACGAAGATTGGCACAACATATTTTCCCACACTTATGTGGAGTACTTAAAACTATGGGGTTCCGACCATAGACCACTCCTAGCCCATATCCGATCCACCCCACAATCATTTACTCGCAGTTTCATGTTTGATAAAAGATGGATCGGTAAACCAGGTCTAGAGGAGGCAGTGAAAGATGGATGGGGAGTACCAAGTACAACATCACGGAAACCTTTTACATGCCGAATCCGTACATGCCGCAGTGCAATTTCCAAATGGAAAAAAGGCACCCAAACCAACTCGGAAAAACTTATAAAATTCCTTCAAGATGAGATAGATAGATCTATGATGGACGATAAATATCTCATCGGAAGAGATTCTTGATCTCAAATGGCGGTTATGTGAGGCTTATAGAGAGGAGGAACTCTACTGGCGACAAAAGAGTAGGGTTATGTGGCTCAAAGAAGGCGATAAAAATACAAAGTTTTTTCACGCCTCCACCAAACTAAGACGGGCAAAGAACCGGATCCTTGGTCTTTTAAACCATGATGGGGCTTGGATTGATACGGAGGCAGGAATCGAGAAACTTGCGGTAGACTATTTTTCGACCCTCTTCACTTCCTCAACTGAGCATGAGCCAACCAACGCTCTCCGGGATGTTCCCGAGATAGTTTCTGAAGCTATGAACGAAAGTCTTACTCGGGAGGTGACAGAAGATGAAGTTAAACGCGCTCTTTCTCTCTTAACCCTGGAAAAGCGCCTGGGCCTGATGGAATGACAGCCCTCTTCTTCCAAAAGTTTTGGAGAATTATTAAGACAGATCTCCTGAAACTGATCCGTGATTTCTTTAGCTCCGGGTCTTTTGACAAGAGAATCAACGAGACGAACATTTGCCTAATCCCAAAAGGTGATAAACCTCGAGACATGGGTGGTTTCCGACCTATCAGCCTCTGTAATGTATGCTATATAGTAATCTCGAAAGTGCTTAGTCTCCGGCTCAAGAGATTTCTTCCAGAGTTAATCTCTGAGACACAATCCGCCTTTGTGGCGGGAAGACTAATTACGGACAACATACTTATAGCGCAAGAAAACTTACATGCCCTTCGATCCAATCCTGCGTGTTGGAAGAAGTTCATGGCAATTAAAACTGATATGAACAAAGCCGATGACAGAGTGGAGTGGTTGTTTCTACGACGTTTAATGGAGAAAATGGGATTTGCTCCTCTCTGGGTGAATTGGATAATGCAGTGCATAACTTCGGTTTCTTATAGAGTTTTGATAAACGGAGTGCCAAAAGGTTTCATTAAACTTACCAGGGGTATTAGGCAAGGGGACCCTCTTTCATCATACCTCTTTATTATTTGTACGGAAGCACTCATTGCCCAACTGCGCCGGGCCGAAGCATCCGGGGATATATTAGGCCTCAGAGTAGCAAGGGCGAGCCCTCCCACATCCCATCTCCTCTTTGCGGACGATAGTTTATTTTTCTGTAAAGCAGATTCACAACAGAGCCAAACAATTATTAGTATTATCCGCTCTTATGGCGAGGCATCTAGGCAGAAAATTAACTTTCAAAAATCGTCCATTATGTTCGGAAACGATGTCCCAACCTCCATACGACAGGAAATAAAGACATCAACGGGTATCAACCGAGAGTGTGGCATGGGAACTTACCTAGGACTTCCGGAGAAATTGCATGGCTCCAAGGCACAAGTGTTTGCCTTTGTTCGAGATAGACTCCAATCTAGAGTCAATTCATGGTCATCCAAGCTGTTATCGAAAGGTGGGAAAGAGGTATTAATTAAATCGCAAGCCCAAGCCCTTCCGACATATGTAATGTCGTGTTTCCTTTTGCCAAAAGTGATTCGTTCTAAGTTGAGCTCGGCTATTGCTAACTTTTGGTGGAGTTCGAAGGAGGATAGCAAGGGTATACACTGGATAGCGTGGGAGAAATTGTGTACCCAGCTAGCTGATGGTGGACTCGGGTTTAGAAGCCTTGAAGAATTTAATCTTGCTCTTTTAGCAAAGCAATTATGGAGATTGTTGAGATTCCCGGATTCTCTACTGAGCCCTCTAGATATACAAGTATCAAATCGTCCATCTTATGGATAGAGAAGTATTATGGCTGCAAAGCCGCTTTTGAAATCCGGGATCCGCAAGACTATTGGCTCGGGTTTTGGGACATGTGTCTGGACCAAACCCTGGATTCCCGACACTCCGGCCCGACCCCCAAAAGAACTCCTGGCCGAGCGTGATCCTCTCTTGTACGTTAATACTCTAATTGATTTTGATTCAAAGTCATGGAAGATGGATCGTCTTCGTGAGCTTTTCCCACCCGAAGATATTACCCTAATTTTAGGGATACGTCCGAGCCAATCGGCCTCGAGAGATGGATATAGCTCTTACAAAATCAGGCAACTATACAGTTAAGTCCGGTTACTGGGCCGCGAGAACCTTATCTCGTCATGCTTCTGACCTCCCTCTTCAGGGTCCATGTACCACGGTACTGAAGGCGCAAGCATGGAAATTAAAAACCACGAGAAAGCTTAAAAACTTCGTGTGGCAATGTATTTCAGGCTGCTTGGCATCATGCCATAACCTTGCAGCCCGCCATATTGGTAGAGATAGGGGCTGCCCTCGATGTGGTGATGAGGCCGAGACGATTAATCATGTGATCTTCGAATGCCCTCCTGCGAGACAGGTCTGGGCCCTTTCGGCCATCCCATCAGCTCCTGAGTTGTTCCCATTACCCTCTTTTTATGGTAACATTGATCATCTGTTCTGGAGAGCAAAAGATCATGGAGCTAGAGACGAGGATTTACAGGCTTTCCCTTGGATGATGTGGTTTATTTGGAAAGCACGTAATCGAAAAGTTTTTGACAATGTCGAAGAATCTCCTTTAGATACGCTTAATCATGCAATAAGTGAGGAAGAAGCATGGCGAAAAGCACATTTGCTGGAAGAGACCTCAGCCGAGCCCCGAGCGGTTATTACTCCACCTCGTCCCTCATTGCCGACTTTACCGATATGTCACGTCGATGGTTCATGGACAGAGACGGGTGTGACTAGCGGACATGGATGGATTGTGACCTAGGTGGACTGTGTGATCTCCATGAGGTTAAAAGGATCACGCCGGAGCTTATCCCCGCTGCATGTTGAGTTGGAATCGCTATTGTGGGCTATGAGATGTATTCTGGAGTCTTCTATATGCTGTGGCTGTTTTGTTACGGATTGTTTTGATCTTCTTGCCATGACGGAAAATCCAGAGGAGTGGCCTAACTTTGCTTCAGAACTTGAAGATTTTAAAATCTTTAAAGCTTCTTTTTCTTCTTTTAGGATTTATCATGTACCTCGTAGAGAGAATGCCCGTGCGGATTTCCTTGCAAAGAAAGCAAGAGCACGAGGCTTTAGGGTTTCCCATGTAAGTTCGGTTGCCCCCGTTTGGCTCTCCTTAGAGGAGAATCTTGTACCGAATACTTAATGAAATAGTGTTTTTGTAGTAATAAACAAAAATAAAAATAAAAAAAAAAGAACTTTTAGATCTCCCATTTTTATGTAGATATATATTTTTTATTTATTTTTCTCTTTAAAATTTCTATACTGATGGTTAAAAGGAAAAATGCAAAAGGATTTATTTTTTTTTGTCGGGATCTTGGTGTTGCACATCTTCATGTGATGTTTTTTTTTTTTGTGTGAAAAAATGCCCATAGTTTAGTACCATATAATTCTCATTAATAATGTTGTTGATACATATACATAGAAGTCATCAAATATCACAATTTCCACCTGGACCTCCAAATGAGAAGGACACTCCATTGGATTTGCTATAACCCCAATATGTCACCCTATAGCAACTATGATTATCAGCATAACGTCTTAATTTTCTATCTTCAACATAAACTTTTTTATAGTTGGAGTTTATGATCACGACATTTTTGAAATGTGCTGATTTCTTAAAATCAAAAACTGGAAAATGTCCATTTCCCATTGGAGGGCTGATTCGGTCAGGGGATATAAAGGTATTCCCTCCATATCTCACCAGAGAAGCACCTTTGTTTAAGTGTGTAAATAACTCTTTGGGCCAGTAACCAATTACTTCATTACCTATTTTAAGTGCCCAGTTTCCGCTAAAGCCATCCTATTACACATATGAAGCAAAAGAATTATAAACTTCCAAGTTCAAGCAGTATATAAAGTCATAAAGGTCAATTAAGAGAAACCTACCTGAAAAATTTCTGTTGTAAAGAAAAGGCTCGATGTACCGTAGATAGAGGAGCCCCAAAATCCTCTCCCAATTCTGGGATTTCCACTTACAACAACAAAACCAGGGCATTGTGTGTTGTAGCACCCTGTTTTTCCATAACGATCTCTCTAAAACAGGAAAAACAAATTACAGATAAATTTTCTATTTGTAACAAACTTATAATAATTTTTGTTTAAAGCGAATCCAATTGAATACCAATAACCAATTTTTACTCACAGTCCAATATATTGTAAATCGTGTGACACTATCACCATACAATCTTGGATGCACCTAAAATAATAATAAATAAATGTTGAACATATAATTAATTAGACATGCATGAAAATTATGAAAAAAAAACATAAATAGAAATATTCATATAGACATATATATTTTATTTGTAGCTTATATGAGTTATAAGTCAAAACTTACATACAGTAATTATTATGAAATGAGAAAGAAATTAATAAGTAACTGAATGATTGACTTACCGCCCAACCAGCTTGTATACTATTGAGTTGATCTGGAGGTCCATTCTCTAACCACATTTGACTTTTACTATATTGATTATCTTTTAAGTTTAAAGAATGAACACTTATATCAGCTTCAGCTCCTCGATAGATACTTCCATCTACCATGGTCTCAATTGTTGCAAACTGTAAATTTCATAAATGTATATATTAGTCTATAATTTTGATACATTATTGAAAATCCTCATTTTGCTTTTGTTCTAGTTTGCATATAACAAATATGTTATCAGAATATCTTTACAACTAAATGAGACTTTGTAACTCCCTTCAAATACAATTAAGAAGTGGAAGACTTACATGTTGACCGAAATACTCGGCTGTGTTCACATGAAAGCTCTCAGATCCATTTCTCTGTCTAAAAATTGGAACCGTTCCTTTTGGACAATGCTCTTCTGTTTCATATTTGTTGCTTCTTTCAGGATTCTCATATGAGCTGAATGTTTCCTATATGTAGTATCACGGGTAACAAAAGAATAATAAGATTCGTAAGAACTAATGTTTCTCAAAGTCCGTGTCTCCTCTTTTTGATTGACTAAGATGTGATTTTTGCTTCTATTTTAGCCTAATTCAAATGAAATAATGATCTTCGATTCTTTTCTAAAATTTTAGGATATCCAGATTTGTATTTGTTGGATTCTAGAAAGAATCACTTAGATCCATCTTCAGTAGTACCCGCAGTATGAAAATTCACTTCATACCCATAAATTTAGCAAAATAACAATAATATAGCATATGGAGAAAAAAAAACAATAATATAGCATATGAAAATATCAATTAATATATATTAGTTCACAAAATAAAAATAAATATCATATAAAGTTTCCAAATTGATTTTCATAAATATTTTTAACATGTTGATTACGAGGACTCTAAATTTTACTCCAAATTTCAAAAATAAAGTTACCTTTTTGAATATTTTGAGGTATTTGTATATTATAATATATATGTATATATATCTTATACATTGTCTTAAAAAAATATGTATGAAAAGATATGTAGATCTGACCCATAGCTCAATCTAGAAATATGGATGTCACATTTGTTTAATCAGATCAAATCTTGGATTCATATATTATTGTAATGCGCTATATATACTATTATACCTGAATCTTGTGATTTTTCAACAAAGGATGTTGGAAAGCTGGTTGTTTGTATATCTCAACACAGTCAAAATCCTGCAAAATTTACTCACAAATTAGAGCAATATTCTAAAATCAAAAATGAAAACTTTTAGAGAATAGAACAAGCAAATCGAAGTTCTTACATCAATATTTCCTTCCGCACCTTGTGTCAATAGCAGATAGACACATAGACCTAACGCTAGATGTAATGCCATTGATAAGGTATTCATAATTTCTCTCTAGTATATAAACCAATTTGAGTCAACGACTGTTACTCGTGTTTTAAAAATCTTACCAAAAATGCCTATATTTTCTTGGTCAATATATCTTTAATACTAAAAAAGGACACTATAGACCAATTTTGCTGATGTTAAGCACCATAAGTATTCTCTTTCTTTTTTTTTTCATTTATTCGAAACTATTAATTTAAAAATGATTAACACACTTAAATTGGCGAATTAAATAAAAGAACAAGAGAAACTATATGCAATTATTTTGTCATGATATGCAATTATTATTTGGCCACCGGAAAAACGTAAATGCCCTAGATGATTTGAAGAAGATGACTATTTCACTGACCCATATATAAACCCAGTTTAAGCCTTAATCGACCAAACATCCTTACAATGGGACAAAGAAAAACCAGAGAAATTTATTGAACATGCAGATCATCATCTTATTCACAAAATATTCCTACCGACAGAACCGGTAAATGATAGTGACATAGCTAGTGTGATATGGTAACATACGAACAATGGCATCTATACTTTTATAATCTGATACCGAGTGGCTCTGGCTAATATGGCTCGTGAGGTGAGGATATCCTCCTGAAACCTCATTTGACATTACACCCTGACATAGCGAAAGATATTTGGCTCAATAATAACAACTATGGCTCCAAACAGTGGCAGTTCCAGAAATTTTCTTAGTTAAAATCAAGAGTAATTAAGTGCAATATTCATGGGATGAGGCGTATTTGCAAGGTTAACTATGGTCCCACCGTATCCAAAGAAGAGTATATGGAAAGACAGCAGAAATTACCTCTAACTCCCTCTAATTTTTGCCACGTTTCCATTTAGCAAGTACTAATAGGAGCATAATGTTGTTAATAGGATAGCTTAGCTGCGCAGGAGCAGAAAAAGATCTTTGGGGTATTGGCGAGGTGCATTATGAGCCATTCATTTTTTTCCGTATGAATATATCATTTAATGCTAAGCTATGTGATAGAGTTTGGGGTATATAACTCGTTACCCGTAACATTATTTATTATACAACTAATACTATGATTATCTACTAAAGGGAATACCATATTTTGTTGCAGGATATCCAACCTAGCCTCTTTCGGGTTTGTGGGCGTTCTAGTGGCTTCGATCACAACCACGCTACGTGCAAAAGGCCTATTTAGAGCGTCTGGGACGGAGGGACGAGGAGAGAAGCAATGAGAGTTGGTTTTTGGTCTGCTTCTTTGTTGATGGGGCTGTTTTAATTTAAGTACCATTTTGTGTAATATTATCTAAGTTCTGGACCCCATAATGACTCCTTGAAAAGTTTGATGTAAGATATTTTGGGGAATGTTAGTAAAGTTTCCACGTACTTGTTTGTTTCAGTGTTATGAAAATCAATGTTTCCATATATCTAAACAATGTTAATTTTATCGTTATTGATTAAATTATTTTGGTTAGCGGATAATCGAAATATTAGATAGATAAAATAATAGTTACAAATTCTTTTGTTACATATCCTAAAATTAATGTTTCCAAATATAAATACTGCTAATTATTATATTAGACGTTAACAAAAACATTGGAAGTTAACTACTGCATTATACCGATACATAAAGTATCGCTTGTGAATGCATATATATAAGCATTCGATAACAATTACTTTGTCTATCTAATATATCTAATATCCGCTAACGACCATGATGGTTTAGTTAACAATATTGTTATCCTAAATCTCCTGAGACTTAGCCTTAGTAATCTTTTTATCATGTTAATAATAACAATATTTTGGAGAATGTAGTAAAGTCCCCAAGTACTTGTTTGTTTCAGTGTTATGAAAATCAATTTTTTTCATATATCTAAGCATTGTTAATTTTATCGTTATCGATGAAATTATTTTGGTTAGCGGATAATCGAAATATTAGATAGGTAAAATAATATTTACAAATTCTTTTGTTACATATCAGAAAATTAATGTTTCGAAATATAAATACTGCTAATTATTAGATTAGACGATAATAAAAACATTGGAAGTTAACTATTGCATTATACCGATATATAAAGTATCACTTGTGTGTGCATATAAATAAGCATTCGATAACAATTATTTTGCCTATCTAACATATCCAATACCCGTGAACGACCATGATGGTTTAGTTAACAATATTGTTATCCTAAACCTCCTGGGACTTAGCGGTAGTATTTTTTTTATCATGTTAATAATAACGTTAGATGTGTATAGCAATTAGCATCTCGAACCCAAGTCTACCCCATGGATACATAAAAAACTCTTCCAGATTTCTGATTAACTCCACATGGTCGTACATGATTTTGGACCGGTGGTTGGTAAGACAAAGAACAACGCTGGTAATAGCGAGGCATGCATACTTCAAACAAGTGGTCCGGTCGACTACGGCTTTCTTTTTTAGCATCTTGGTTGCCAAATCAACGCTGCAAGTTTTAAGATTGTCAAACAAATTGGGCTGATAGGGTTTTTCTTTCACCGGATTTTTTTTCTTCTTCTTTGATCTCTTCGGATACCTTCTGTAAGGAAGACCAGTAACAATTGCGAACTCGTGGAGCAAAATCCTAATTGGCCGACTGGCAAACAAAATCCAGATCACGTGCTTCTTGTTAATTTTGATCAGTCTGGTGATGATGTAGTGACCAAAACTTCCAGCGAACGCCGATTTTTTCTGTCGTCGTGATGAGCTTCCCAAAAGGCGAACTGCGGTGGAAATTTTTATCCTCCTCATCAAGAGTATCTAGAATGTTGTTAATTGTTTTCGCTTTGTAATAGGAGTTGATTCTCTCGCCAGATGGTTATTTGCCGGTAACAAAAATCTTGGACAGCAGCTCTTGCATCGCCATGTCTAGAAAAAAAAAAAAAACAGTTGCAAATGCTAGAATGAGAAATGGGAATTAATTCTGATTTCGGGAGTTCCAGAAATGGTTTTGAGAAAAATAATTTTTCCCTCATCAATATAATTTTTAAATTTTAATAAGCATTATTATATCTCCGATTGTAGGGTTGCTTTTGCACACCTAGTAATTGCTATAGATTATAGAGGTGTAGGGAGTTTATGGTATTAAAATAAAAATGAACAGTTGCGAGAGAAGTGAAGCGTTAGATTTGCAAATACAGTTGTATTTTGCGTCACAATATGCAAATTCTCTAAAATCAAATAAGAATATATATGATATTATGAGTGGGGCATTGATATTAAATTTTAATAAACTACACCCATTTTTTAAAATTCATTGGGGTGAATGATCCCGACTTGTTACATGTACCTCCACCACTGACTCCAAAACTCAAACTTTTTTTTTTGGAGGATTGGCTCTTGGGCTATTGCAGTCAATATCTTGTATTAGATAATCTAAATCTCAAGAACAAATTCCAATGGTCTGATTCTGATGCAGAAGAATACAATTTAACAACTGCAATGGTGAGAGTTAGCAAGGGTTTATGGTGAAATGTAACTACGATGACGTCGATGAGTCGATGATTCTTCTTATCACAAAGATGAACGTGCTTCAGGTCTTGAATGGATTTATTCGGAATAGGAATGGAGCTTTTTAGATTATATCCCTATATAATAATATATATATTAAGATAAGAAATAATCATACAATACATAAGGACTAATAATAAATTAATAATTATGAGGCGACAGTTACCCCCGGTTGGGAACAGAGATTTCTGATCCCGCCAATGTTATCTATACGTGTCCGATACTGATTGGTTATAGAGATATGCTTCATCTACATCAAATATCTTCCCAACCGTACGATATTAATCCGACGGACCAGAAAAAACCTTATCTCTCCAGCTCTAGATCCTGTATAAATTCAAAGAAACAAATAAACAAATGGCACACACGCACAGAAGAAGAAGAAGTGAGAGAAAGGCAAATGAAGAAGACGAATTACGCAGAGATTTCGCCGGCCGGAGATCACGAATAAGTTTATTAGCTTCAAAATAAGCTCGACGAAGCTACAATGGAGCTTCCATTACTCTCTTACACCAACTCCGCCTCGTTTTCGCGGACAGGCTTATGCTCTTCTTCCTCCTCAGCTAGTGTTAGTGACTTAACGGAGAGAAGGAGGAACTTGAGAATGAGATTCAATGGTGGAGAAAATTCTAGAATCGTTAAAGCTTCCGCTGGACGAAGCAGCGAAGGGATTGACAAGACAGACGGTGTAAGTGGCGGCGGAGGAGGAGGAACAAGACAATTCGCTGGTCCTGCCATGGAGGTTACTACACTTGATCGTGGCTTTGCTAACTCCACCACCGTTGATTTCCCGATCTGGGACAAAATCGGCGCCGTCGTTCGACTTACTTACGGAATCGGTGGGTTGATTTCACAAGTCAATTTTCCTCTTAATTTTTTTAAAAATCCGGGGGGCTTATATTTACAGCTTTCTTCTGTTCCACCCCTGTAAAATGTGAAACGTGAAATTTAAACCCTGTGTGATCATTAGGATCAAAGTTATTAAACGTGTGTTTGGATGATTTAGGAGTATATGGAGCAATGGCTGTGGCAGGAAGATTTATATGTTCAGTGACTGGGGTTGACTCGTCTGGTGGATTTGATCCTTCTCTTGATGCACTTCTTGCTGGACTTGGCTTTGCAACACCTCCAATTATGGCTCTTCTCTTCATACTCGATGTAAACCATTAACCTCTTTATCATCTTTTGGTTCCTCTCTTAATTATGTTTGTTAGAATTGGTTTTGAAAAAAGAAACTCTTTTTCCTGATTTAAGGATGAGATTGTGAAACTATCACCGCACGCTCGAGCCATTAGAGATGTGGAGGATGAGGAACTCAGAAGCTTTTTCTTTGGAATGTCGCCATGGCAGGTGAACATTTTGGCTTTTTTTTTCTTGGTTTTAGAATCTTCCAATCTTGAATCTTTTGATTTTGAGTTTTCAATTTGTGCTTAATTTTCTCCAGTTCATACTCATTGTCGTGGCCAGTTCGATAGGAGAAGAGCTCTTTTACCGTGTAGCTGTTCAGGTCTGCTTTCATTAAATTTTTGCCAAGTAGAATCATTGACCATTTTGATTGAGTTATTACTGATTAATCTCTGATTCTCACAGGGTGCTCTGTCTGATATGTTCTTGAGAGGGACACAATTGATGACAGATTCTAGAGGCATGGCATCTTTGGTAAGTCAAATCTCTCGTTCACGTGTTTCTTTCTACATTAAGATTCCCATATAATTACTCATGGATCTCATATATTCTTCTTGTTACTTCTAGACCGGAGTCTTGCCTCCATTTGTCCCATTTGCTCAAGCATTTGCAGCTGTGATCACTGCAACTCTCACAGGCTCTCTCTACTTTCTTGCTGCTTCTCCAAAAGGTTAGGATTTGATCATGTCTTGAATCTCTTGATTATCTAGTTTCTTCGTTGATTCTGTTGTTTCTCATTCTCATTTTCATTTTCAGACCCTGCGTACATTGTTGCCCCGGTTTTAAGATCACGCCGAGATGATTTCAAGAAGCTTCTGTCAGGTACTAGCCCGTTCTCTTCTTCCTATTATATATAGTTTCGAGAAAGATTTGAAAGGTTGATAAAGACTTAGCTTGGAGAACAGGGAAAATGTAAAACCGATTTGGTACAAGAAAACAAACCAGTTTGGGTTTCGTATTATATATGAACTTATTCTTTTTTGTCATTGCTTTGTGCAGCTTGGTACGAGAAGAGACAGATGAAGAAGATATACTCTCCCCTCCTCGAAGGACTCTTAGCTCTCTACCTCGGTTTTGAATGGATTCAGGTAAAATCTCGGTTCGGTTTGTTATGCAATAAATCTGGTTCCAGTTGGTACTGATATATACATATGGTTGATTTCTCTGGTTTTTTTTTTCAGACGGATAATATTTTAGCACCGATGATGACGCACGGTATATACTCGGCGGTAATATTAGGTCATGGGCTGTGGAAAATTCACGATCACCGGAGAAGATTACGTCGGAGAATCGAACGGGTTAGAACGGAGACCACCAATGAACAATTTTAAATCAACTCTAGCATGTAATAGGTTGGGGTGGGGGACTTGTGTGTAATATTTTTTTTGGTAAGGGGTCGTAAGTAACTAGAGAAATTAGGTAGGACCTCTTCCATAAAATTTAGACAGCTGCTGCATACAGTAGAGAAGTATTGAAAGTACATATATATATGTATATATATTATATGTTATACATAAAAAGCTTGTATTTGCTCTTAGTTGTGACTTGTGACTTGTGAGAACAATCAATTTTGAGATCTCTCGTAAACTCTCTTTTGACTCACGTTGTTTGGTTTGAAAGAAAAAGCAAGAAATCAGAAGAGAAGTTGAACAACGATTAAAACCAACAAAAAAAAAAATGTTGAACAACGGAACAAGTACGCACACATTCACTAGAATCGTACAATACAATCAACAACATTCGAGAACCCTCCAAAGTCCAAACTGTAGTGTCACAGTTGGTTTCTTCATTTGTCAAAACAGAGAGCTCACGTGACGACTCCGTGCTTCTCTTATTCTCTAACTGGGCTTCTGGGCCTCACACTCGACTGAGACGAAACCATGAACTCCTCTTACTGCGTTAGAATGTTCGACTGCCTTTAGTCACGGATTTTTATTTTTTTGTTTGTTAGCATATAAAATATCATACGACATACGGTATTAGAGCTAGGTAGATTTTTTTTTTTTTTTTTTTTTTTTGTCGACTACCTATCTACTAAGTCACGTCTTGATCGGTAGGATGATGATTCCGGAAAGTCACCTCTACCGATTCTGTCTAACTTATATGGGAGAATATGATACCACGTACTCGAGCTTCTTTAGCGAGAGAATCAGTTCGGACGTTTAAAGCTCGAGGTATATGAATGATGTTAAAAACAGAAAATGTCTCTCGAAGATGTTGGAAGGCGTTTAATTCTGAAGTGAAAGCCGGCCAATCGATCGGATTCTCAATCATTTCAATTAAATTCAAACAATCTGTCTCAATTTGTATCGTTAAAATGTGTTTATCTTTTAGGCATAGCATAGCCCAAAGAAGAGCATTCATCTCCGCATGTAATGATGAGATACTTTTGCGGCATCCTTGGAGTCCAAAAACCTCTTGTCCCATAATATCCTTATAGCTCCACCCTAGTCCACTAACTAAACCATGGTCGATCCAAGAAGCATCGATTTGGCAGTTTGGGATTCGGGGTATTAAAGGCGGGGTATAAGAGTTGTCGTGAGCCTGTGGGACCTCAGTCTCTTCCTCACATTCTCTTTGGTTCGCTATCCTCCAGCTTTCTGCTTCGAGTGAAGCTAATTGGAGTGTTTTCACCGCTGGAGTATCTTTTCCGTTAAATAGTTTATCGTTTCTTGCTTTCCATATGAACCATATGATCCAAGGATAGATGTCTTTATGTGGTTCAACTAGACCCACTTCTTTTGTTCTCCAAAATAGGAAGTCCATATTTCGGTAAATAGAACTACACGGGAAGAAGCCCGAAAGGGACGGGAAGTCTGATAAAGCCCAAACTTGTAAAGCCGGGGGACATTCAAAAAGAAGATGGTTGATAGATTCCTCAGGGCCCCCACATCTAGGGCAGCTCCTATCATTGCCAAGGTGTCTATAAGTTAATTTTTCACAAGTTGCCACACATCCTGAGAGCGCTTGCCACATGAAATGTTTTAGTTTCCTCGCTGTACGGACTTTCCAAACGTGACTTTGGAGGCAAGTGATACTTGGTTCTATCGCCTCCTCCGGGTTCCCACGTAAGTTAAACTCTCAGATTAAATCATATCCGGATTTCACCGTATAAGTTCCTGATTTTGTGTGATTCCATGCATACCCATCAAGAGAAAAATTACGACTAGGTCTCAACCCAAGAATAAGAGGGATATCCTCAGGTTGGAAGTATTCATGAAGGAGTGGAACATTCTACTCTTTAGTATCTCGTCTAATAAATGTATGAACCATGAGTTGAGGGTGGCGATAGCCTATCCCGACTGAAGCTCTTGCGGGTTTGGCTGGCATATCCGGGATCCACGGTTCACTCCAGACTCTAGTATTAAGACCCGAACCAATAGTCTTCCTCAAACCAAGCTTTAAAAAGGGTTTTGCGGCAAGAATACTACGCCAACCAAATGACGGTGAGTAAACTCTCCTGTCTTCTAGCGGGCATGATCTATTATAATATCTTCCTCGAAGGACTCTCGCAAGTAAGGACGAGGAGAACTGAATAAGCCTCCACAATTGTTTTGCAAGCAAGGCGATATTAAAATCATGGAGGTCTCTGAATCCCAACCCGCCTCTATCTTGGGGAATACAAATTTTATCCCATGCAATCCAATGTAAACCCCTGCTATTTTGTTTGGAACTCCACCAGAAGTTTGATATTGCACTATTAAGTTTATCTAAAAGACCTTGTGGTAGCAGGAAGCACGACATAACATATGTCGGCAGTGCTTGGGCCACAGACTTTATTTGAATCTCTTTTCCTCCCTTAGAAAGAAGTCGAGCTGACCATGAATTCACCTGGTTATTAAGACGGTCTTGAACAAAAGAGAAAACTTTCATCTTTGAGCCACAAATTTCCTCTGGGATTCCCAGATACTTTCCCATGCCACCTTCTGTAGAAATACCAGTAATGGTTTTTATCTCTTGTCTTGTAGTCTGGTCAACCTTATTTCCAAAAACTATAGAAGATTTTGCAGTGTTTAGACGTTGTCCTGAAGCATTGCCATACATGTTTAAAATTTTCAGGATCTCCTCACATTGTCTGACCTCCGCTTTGCAGAAAAAAAGGCTATCATCCGCGAACAATAAATGCGAGACCCGTGGGCTTGCTCGTGCGATACGCAATCCCATGATACGTTTCTCTTATTCCGCTCCATTTAGGAGGGAGATTAGTGCCTCTGTACAAATGATGAACAGGAAGGGTGAAAGTGGGTCTCCTTGACGTAGCCCTCTCGAGGGTTTGATCTTGCCTCTCGGTTCTCCGTTTAATATAACCTGATATGAAACCGAGGTAATACAGCACATTAATAATTTAATCCATCTCTCATCAAACCCCATCTTTAGCATTAAAGTTTCAATAAAGCTCCATTCAACTCTATCATACGCTTTGTTTATATCCGTTTTGATAGCCATAAACTCAAGTCGACAGCTAGTATTCGTACGAAGGACATGAAAATTTTCTTATGCAAGCAGAATATTATCGGTTATCAGTCTTTTGGCCATAAAGGCTGATTGTGTCATTAGAGCTAGGTAGATACAATTACAAATGTTGAGGTATTGTTACTCTATCCGAGACCTCGAGTGTAAATAATATTATACAAATATGTTTCTCTGTCGAATATCGATCCATGTTTATTAATTACATAATTGGAGTCTTTGGTATCCGAAGTATGGTTTGTACAAGACTTCAATTAACCACAAATGGAAGGGAAAAAGATAAACTAATTAAGGACTTCAAGTTCGACTGCTAATTTTGTCATTTATTTTTTATCAACTGGCTATGTCTTCTTGTATACTTCAAAACTAATTATACTTAATTTGCAGAAAACGACAAAAGAAGGCGAGTAGTCGGTAGAATCATGTGGAGGAGCAATCCTTATTATATTGGTAAGTAAAATAATATTTCAGATTATATTACTTTATTATTTGACATTCCAGATTATATCATTTGAACTTAAATTATTCTAAACACCAACTCTTCAAGTAACCAACCCAAAAATAATGTTTTTGTGTTATGTTAAACAAAAAATTGTTTAACTTTCGTTGGAAATTTATCACAGTTTTCTTATGAACTAATACTATTAACATTAATACTAATTTAAAATATCATCAAGACTTCTTTCCACAAATTTCATTAATTTGTGTTCTGTATATTTTTTTAAAAACTTGTTGTTCATTTTATTTACATTAAAATTTAGAGGTATTGGTTCGATTCTATCTTTCTTGCTGAATGTAGTTGCAATTTTTCACAAACTCCAGCATATTTTTGTTAAAGAAATTCAAGCATGTCGCTAACTGAGACCTTCACCATGGTCTTAATTATATCACGGAATATAACAGATAAAATTGTCATCCATACAATCTTTTACCCTTAATTTGTGTAAAAACTTGAAGAATGATATATATGTTAGCAAAAATACGTACAAACTATATATCATTTCCAAATTATATTTCTTCATAATAATCGTAGTTACATCAAAGACCAACCAAAACGGGAATGTCTGGTTTCTAGTTGTTTGTTTGAACTGTAATAAAACACATCATTTTTATCTTTACAATATATTTGTTATACATAAAATGAGGGGAACTTTCCAAATATGTCGGTATAAAAAGATGCCAGATGCTTGCGTCCGTGGAATTTATTAAACTAATAACTGTTCAAATTTAGTCATTTACAGTCTTATTCTAAATTTCTCTTATCAGTTATCATCAGACCAATCTTTAAAGAAATTAATGCATATTCTGGTAAGACAAATTAAAAATGTACTTGTCTCAAATCTGCTGCTGCATGCATTATATACATACACGCGAATAAGTAAACATTATGTAGGTATGGATGGATATTACAGTTTATTTTACACTCTTCCGATGGTGTTTAAACTAGTCTAAATGTGATTAGTTAAATCGATTAACAAAATGATTTCAACCTATCATATATATTCAAGTTTGACTAAGATTTTATTTATAAATAACAAGTATATATACTATAAAGAAACTTCTCTATATAAAATTACAATCCATGATATTGCTTTATTGGTTGAGATTCTTTATCAGGTTACACATGACACACTTCAGTAGTCACTACGTAGTTTTCGCTTGATAAAGAGTCACTACGATACGTAGTTTTGTGTGGTTATCTCAAATTTCGCAATGGTTAAAATTTCACTACGATACGTAGTTTTGTGTGGTTAATTTTCTCAAATTTTCGCAATCGTTTAAATTTCGATCCAAAAAACCAACAAAAACAACACACACATGACACATTTGGTCAGATGACACACTTGCTTGCACCTTTGCTTAAAGTCCGGAGGCCATCTGTATACGGACATATTTAAATAATATGTAATTTATATATTGATATTATAGACGATCCGTCGGCATGTATATACTAATTATATTGTCTGTCGCAAAGACCAAAACAAAGCACTTACAGACTGTTCAATTATAACACGAATATTAAAATATTAGTGGTTAAAATACATAAAATATGATGATCTCAATAAATTAAGTCTAAAGTCCAATGCAATTAGTTAACTCTTGTATTGGATTAGCGATTAATTGGTGGAATATTATATGATTATAAAATTAATTGATAATTTTTAATAATTTTGGGTAGACTAAAATTTATAGTAAACAATGCTAATCAATAATTAATGGACGGCTTCTTGATTTATTATTGAAATGGCTTCATCGGTACATTAGCACAAGAAGCCGTCACACGTTGTGCCGTTGCTAAGTCTATCCCTTTCCATTGTAATCCAATTTTTCAAAATATATTTTCTTCATAATAATTATTACTTGGTGCCTTTCATTATGTATTTTTTAATTACTAAATTCCTACTAATCAGGAAGATATATGGTTTAAAAATTAAGACAATGTTTTTTTACTATCTCGCTGTGTCCAGCTTTTTGTCATCTAATGATGGTTGCAACTGGAACCCTAAGTCTGAGGTATCCACAGGTGATGAGTGAACAAAAATAAACAAAGCTGCTGAAAAACGGAGCAAATTAGTATCATGGAACTAAAGAATCGAACAACCTAAACCGAGCAAAAAGAAATAGTAGGAGGGTGAATTTGTTTGCACAGAACAATTGTATTAACCAAAAGGGCAAGTAAACTGCAAACGTATAAGAGCGTGGAAGGTGGAACCACGCGCTACTGCGATTCCGTCACTTGACCGCATGGATCTTCGCGTTTTTTTCCCCATTTGTTTAATGTTTCTCCCCTTTATTTTAACTAATCAAAGTAATTAATAAAGAACTTCAAGATGTTAACTATAGTTAATTGTTGACAAAGAAAGAAAACAACCATAGTTAATTGGTCAACTTGATTAACTAACTATAGTTTACAATTTGAACTAACTTCATCAACTTCGCATTTGATGCTCCAAATAATATCTCTACAAGTCTACAACAAATTACATACTTGAGTTTTCCATACAAGATAGAATAGATGCATAAATTTTGAGTGATAAACGCAACAAGCAAACATGTACACTTTTAAGCTTAAGTCTAGTAATTTATGTGAATGCTTTAAATTTTTGTTTACTGAAAGAGTATGTCTAAATCAGAACAAATTGGACCTTATGGAAAATAGAATACTTCATGGTAAGGAAAAAGTGATATACGACCAATGGTTTTTGCCTTTTGGCCCTTTAGGTCTTTTTAAAGAATTATAGGTACCATCGGGGTCAATCTTTGGTTTTAAAATATATATAACTTATCGTGCTAAGCTCCTGACAAAAAAGAAAAACTTAATTGATAACCTTATACATATTACAGGTCAACGATTGGGGGGGGGGGGGGTTTAATGCATTCTTTGTCTAAATTTTTATACACTTATTTGTATATGTTTCATTGACTTATGGCTATGTTTTGGTTCACCATGTCCTGATTTCTTATACTAAGACATAGTCTAAATCTAATCTTTTACATGGTGACACTGTATAAAAACCAGTGTAATATTCTAAGAAAAATAATTCATTGGTCCATTAAAATCACATGAAAAAAAAAAAAGATCAAACAAATTAGATTTTTTCCACATTCTTGGGATCTTGATATTGTGTCTAATGCTTTATTATGCGATAATACATATATTAGTACCATTGTAGATTCTTCAATAGCAAACATATACACTTAACAAAATCTAGAACGGCAATAACGTCTTTATGCATACTCGACAGTATAATAAGGATTTATGCTTAGCTTCGACTCGAATTTGATTAATATATACGTATAATATACATAACACATGGAGTAAAACCTTATAATAATCATTGTCTCTTGGGGGCCATCGGGTCTAGAGAGAAGACTTGGTCGTCTTCTTCTTCTTCTTCCCCTTTCTCTACTTCATAAATATTTCATTTCTCAGGTTTCTATATATTTTCTTCTATACTTTTTATAATTTTCCCGCTTGTCTCCTATCTCTTACATTAAATCTAAACCCTAAATCATTAGAATCCTTAATTACGTTTTAAAAATCCCTAATCCCCTTTTTAAATATATATTTTGTTTGTTTTTTCCCTTTGATATTGCCATGGCTGGTCTCGATCTTGGCACAACTTCTCGCTACGTCCACAACGTCGATGGAGGCGGCACCAACCAGTTCTCCACCGACAACCACCACGAAGATGACGGTGGCGCCGGAGGGAACCACCACCATCACCATCATAACGTTAACGTTAATCATCATCAAGGTTTAGATTTAATAGCTTCTAATGACAACTCTGGACTAGGAGGCGGTGGAGGAGGAGGAAGTGGTGACCTCGTCATGAGGCGGCCACGTGGCCGTCCAGCTGGATCCAAGAACAAACCGAAACCGCCGGTGATCGTCACGCGCGAGAGCGCAAACACTCTTAGGGCTCACATTCTTGAAGTTGGAAGTGGTTGCGACGTTTTCGAGTGTATCTCCACTTACGCGCGGCGGAGACAGCGTGGGATTTGTGTCTTGTCCGGAAACGGAACGGTTACTAACGTCAGCATCCGTCAGCCAACGGCGGCCGGAGCTGTTGTGACTCTGCGTGGCACTTTCGAGATTCTTTCCCTCTCGGGATCTTTTCTTCCGCCGCCTGCTCCTCCAGGGGCGACCAGTTTGACGATATTTCTCGCCGGAGCTCAGGGACAGGTCGTCGGAGGAAACGTCGTCGGTGAGTTGACGGCGGCGGGGCCGGTGATGGTCATGGCGGCGTCTTTTACAAACGTGGCTTACGAAAGGTTGCCTTTGGACGAGCATGAGGAGCAGTTACAGGTTCAAAACGGCGGCGGAGGTGGAGGGAATATATACTCGGAAGCCACCGGCGGTGGCGGTGGCGGAGGCTTGCCGTTCTTTAATTTTCCGATGAGTTTGCCTCATATGGGAGTTGATAATTGGCCGGGGAATTCTGCCAGCGCCGGTAGGGCTCCGTTTTAGCTTCTGTTTTAAAATAACTTTAATTTGTTTTTCCTCTTTTAATTTATTTTTCTCGGAATTTATGGAATTATGATTCTTGTTTTTTTAAACAATTGTTCATGTATTGACCCTCACTCAATACATGTTTTTCAGTGTTTACTTAGGTTATTATTGATTTATCTTTTAAAGCTTCTAAAATAATTCAGACTTATCAATGAATAGCTCTTATATAGAATCGTTTTATGTATGTGATTGTTTAATTTTTCGGTTATTATTAGTTGTTACCAAGTTTGTCTACATGTATATACACTTTTCGAGCTCTCTGATTAAAATTTCTTTTGTATTAACACTCAACGAGACTAACGATATTGAAATTTTATTTTTTTGTAGTACAATACATTTCCAATAAAGACATACTCTAGGCTCTAGCGCAAATAATAATTAAGTTGAATAACACATGCACAGACGCACTGTTTTCGCTTAGATTATGATCCGTAATACTGATTACTACAATTTTATAACCAAAATCAAAAACAGAGAAAGAACATTTAAAAATAGCAGAAATTGATGTAGAACACTTTACTGTACTCCCCAAACCCAAATTGCTGTCTTGGGCAATGGTAAACATATAGTAGCACATTAGCAATATATATCACTACTAAATCAATATTGTCCAATATTGTTTTAAAGATATATTGCAAATTCAAAAGGAAAAAAAATAACTTAATCATTTAGCTCGCTAGGGTTTTTCCAAACACATGACTGAATAAATTTCACCCTTTTTCAAAGTTCAAGGTCACCAACATGTATTATATAAAAAAGTAGTAATTAATGACGAGAAGTCGAGAAGTAAACGACAAAGAAGATTAAAGTAATAACATAAAGGAAAGTGCAAGTGGAGTGCTAATTAAGAAATCAAACAATTAATTTGACCAATTCAATTCCAATCATGCCCTTAATTGCTCAACCCATTTGATGCTAAGCTGTCACACACGCAATAATCTAAAGCAAAGTAGCCGAAAATGTTCATCACAAAACATTTAGTATTGATTAACAATCATTACATTATTTATCTCGAATTCTAATATTGCTTATAGCTTGGAGTAACAAATATCAATAGAATACTGTTTCATCGATTAAAATCAACAAAGATTATGGATTCTAAACTTAATATAGTGCTAATTTGTTGTGAGTGTTGATAAATTGATAAAATATGGTTTGTTTTTTATTTACTTTTGTTGTTTCTATATATCGAAAAAAGTATATTAGATTTCAGCTTAATATCTATCTATAAATCTGAAACAAACCTTTGACTATATTATTGATGAATGATGCCATGATGGCTCCCCTTATTAAAGTAAAACGTTATGTACAATTGGTTGAACTCAAATGTTTTTTGGATAAACTTTTCCTTTCTCTATATCACAAAAGAAATATGTAATTGTCAGAAATTCACAATGATATTACCTCGTCCGGACATGAACTTGCCTATCGTGGTAAGTAATGATAATATATCCATAACCACACATATACACTGTAGTTTTTTTGTCCTTGTCAAATATATTTAAGTTATCTTGATATCAAAGTGTTGATATAAGAATATATAAATGTGGGTGAAGAAGAGACAGCCATGATTTTTACCAAGTACCACAAATCCTTGTTCTTTCTTGATTGGAATTTGTATCTAACTAACCTTTACGAAAATATTGATATTATTAAGAACATAAGCATTCTTAAACAAGTTAATCAAACTTTCTTTATATAAAGTCCATAAAGTTGCAAAAGATTACTTGCTAATTATAGTTTCATATACATAATAATTTTTAGTAACAGACTGATTAAACTATCACATCGCGAATGTTTGACCGCTAATATTAGCGGTCATTTAATAATGTGATGCCTACTGGTTATTAAGCTAGATTAGATTGCCACTGTACCGCTTACCAGTTGTTATCAAAGTGTCTTTTATTTTATTTTTAAAAATCGTTTCTCTGAATAGTACTTGTACCAAATTGTATGAAGTATTCCAATTTGTAAAAATAATTATTGGCATTGTTGAACCAAAAAGTTATAAATTCTAAGAGAACTGTTTTTGTTAGTTCTTGTTATCTAATTTGAAAACTAAGAATGTGCCAGATTTAAGGTCCATGTAAGTAGCATATGCTATGCTGCAATGAAAAAACCGAATATGAACTGAAAAAGTTATATTTTATCTAGTTGGAGATATATCTAATTAAAACCTGAATTCGAACCATACTAAAATATTATAAATTCATAGTGATCCATCAGTTTTGGTTTTGTTTTCTGTCATCCCACTAGATTTGGATTACGATACTCTTTTAAAAACGGTATGTATATTAAATAAAAAGAATCAAGAGAACCACTATCTGCATTGAAATTAAATGCTTTCTAGATCAACCTTTAAGTGTTAATGGGTTGATCTAAGAGGAGTCATTAGTAGTTTTGTTTTGCTAAAACTGAGTCGTTAATAGTTGTTTTGGTATATAAGTATAGAGACATCTTACGCATCACAAATACACGTGTTAAAAGTTTTGTAAATGGTTCATAACTTTATATTTTCGTTAAAAGAGAAAGGGTTCATATTTTCACTAAATACATGTAACTCCATGTGATGTGGATCAAGATTTTATTTCTCTAGCAATCTTGAGCATAGAAATCAATGATCTCGACGACATCCATATCCGAGAATGTAGAGGCATCGTTTTGAAGAAGCCACAGCAAGTGCTCGAACAAGATCGAGTCGACATGATCAAGCCACACCACTCTCCCAGTCCGATTTAACCGGTTCTTGGTACGATCCTTAACCGAACCAATCAAGACTCTAAACGGTGTCTCTTCAAGTACGTACGGTTCGACCATGAACGCCTTCTTCTCCTTCCCTACCACCACCTTTATGACCGAATCTTCCATATCATCGGTCAGATTCCGGTATGCAAACCGCCGCGAATCAGCCGAGGATAGACGACGGAGTTTCATTACAGGAGAAATCAAGCAACCCATTTGAGAGAAGAATGATAGTTGGTAAGAGATAATTCGATAAGATAAAGAGTTTATAAAACAATATGAACGCAAATGAATGAGTTTAGATTAAACGCGGTTCAATTTATGAAGAGACCTTACAAAGACAGAATTTAGACGGCAAGCTTTGAAACGTGGCGAACTATGGTTGGTTAGTATTGCTGCGATGTTATATGTCAAGAGTTCGACGGCCCACCCACAGGGCTAAACCCTTCTTTTTCATCCACTTGTTTTTAGGAAGAAAACGATTTTACTCGTAGATATGATAGTTATGTAGCTATGTACCAAGAAAAAGTTGTTTTCTAACTAAATCTTCACATCTACGCAAACGTCGCATTTATAAACCTAATAAATAAGTATTCATGTTGAATGATAATGATATATCGTTATATATACTTACAGTTTTGTCACACGACTTACGAATATAGATTTTCTGAATTCACATTCGATTTTTATATCTATGTACACAAAATTTCACTGAACATAACACACTGCATTTTTGACTACGCAAACTTTGCATTTATATCGCAACCAAAAAGTAACGAAAAATGATATATGGTGGGTTTTGACACTTTTAACACATAAGGAGGAGGAAGTTGATATATCGTCAAAATTTTGTTTTACGACTTGTGAATATCGATTCCCTGATTCAATCGATTAAAATACAACTGCAAAAAGTCCATGAATTACTAACAGAACATAGATACACTCGTCAAAGGTAAGGATTAAGTCTAGTAGAATACAAAATAGATATTATTTGAAGTAAGTTTATTTCGACAGAATACATCAATATGATTTATGCATACGATATAATATCAACAGAAATCAACCCCCCAAAAGGTAAAAGAAAATAACTAAGAAAATTCAATTTCTTTTTATTAGAAGAAAAACGCAAAAGCATGCATATCATATATATATATATATATATATATATATATATATATATATATATATAGCCAGTGCAAACTAAACCGCTAATCTTAATATCGGGTAGGGTAGGTGGAGTGTCCGGGAAGATGGTGGCCGTGAAGCTGAGCATCGGCCGCATGGTCAGCCTTGGATTGGTGGAGGTTGGCCTTGGCCTGCGCTTCCTTAGACTTCTCTCGCTCGTGAGCCATCTTCTTCTCTTTTGAAGTCCTCGCCATCGTCTTCTCCGCATGACCTTGAGCCTTTGCTTCGCTGATGTTGAGCTTCTCCTTGGCCGTACTGGCCATGTCGCTGATCTTTTCCTTCGCCGAATGCATCTTCTTCTTCTTCTTCTTCTTCTCAAGCTTAACTTTTAATTTTTTTTCCTTTGCTTTTGGTTTATGCGCTTCAGAACTACTCTAATTTAACGACTACTGATATATAGGCACTAGGCACAGTGCAATTGTGGGTTATCGCCACGTGTAATACGCAGATACGTGTCACGAGTTAAGCATATGTACGTGGGTTGCGTTGCGTGCGTAACCCATTCAGTTGAGCATATTTTTAGTTTATGATTATCTCGTGTAGACGCATATACGTGTCACGGTTATCTGTATTTTTAGTTTATGATTATCTACTGTCGGTAGCTTTTGCATGTGCCTAGGTCGGTCCAAATTTCCTTTACTACATATATATTTTTATAAACTCTTTCAGAGACCTATTATTACAGGAAAGAGGTGATTACGCACTTGAACAAGCGCTGTGAGACGAGTAGAAGTAGCAAGCCATACAAATCAGACTTGATGAGATACTGTATCTCTCCCAATTCTCAATTACTTGTGATGGGTTACCATACAGTAACTAGCAATCACCTATTGCAAAAGAATTTTTTTTTAAACTACAAGAGAAGCTGATTGATTTAAAATACCAGATGCTGACTTAAACTGGATCAGCTTAGTCATGTATAAACATAGGTGCTTGTTTGCATGTGAACTTTACATGCATATTTTACAAAGGAAAGCTTGTCGATTGTTGCTTACTCTTTCTTGGTTTCAGCATCAGAGTTCTCGTATACAGCAGCAAAGTAGTAGCTCACAGTCTTGGGCGTTACGCCAGGGAATCTGTGGGAGCTATCCGGTTGCAAATCGATCTTCACGAATGGCCATTGCATTGCCTGCGCGGCTGCACACTCTTCCCATCCGTCCCCGATCGCACAGAACCTGAAATTCGGATGGTTGAAACGCTCCTTGATCCATTTGAAACACTGGAGCTTCCCCACATCTATTGAACTGTACACTGAGGAAAAGGCAAAAAGAGTTAATGATGTAGTTTACTTTCAAGTTAATGTCTGAAGTAGCAGCAAGCAATCTGAAGCTAAAGCTAAAGCTACTCCCTTTGAAGGAAGTATCTCCGAGCTTACCATTTTCATGTCTTATGAATGTATCTAGCCGGAAAAGCATGCACTTCACGAGGCTTGGTATGAGTGCACCAGAAGTCACTAGAATATGTATATCCTGAGAGCTTTGATCTATTGCACTTGTTCCATCACCAGACGCTTCTTTCACACATGAACACTGCTCCAAGAAGGCCCTTGCTGCAATTAAGCCAAAACCATACTGAGCACTAGACGCGCTTGAAGGAAGAACAAAAACCACAAGAAGCAGACATTTCTTTATTTACCTGAAGAGAGCCACCGGTCTGTGTATCCATCTGTTATGTTATACAACTCATCCAATACACTCATTGTTTCACTGTCAACAAAAGGACGTAGACCCTACAATGATAAGGAGAGGATATTTGTACTTGAGTCATATAAAATCATCAACGAATAACATATCAAACGTATCAGTACCTTCTCGTATTTGAGCGCAACAGCTCGATGCCTGTACGCAAGTTTCCTCTTGTTTAAGTCATCGGTAGGAGTACTAAAGTCGTCTTGTTTGAAGTCATACAGAGAAAGATCCTTCCCGTCATCGTACTGTCTCAAGGAATCAATAAATGGCTCATTGCAATCCTCAATCTGCATAAACACAATAATAATGATTCGTAGGTGACAGAATTTACGAGGGCATCTCATCGATTGTGTTAAAAAATACTTACTTGCTTATAGAAGAAACAATCGTCACAGATCTTAAGTATGTGTCTCTCCCACATCTCCCCAATCTCTACACCTCTTTGAACATCTTTAGAGCCATTAAAAGACTCAGCATAAGTCCCATTTAACAGAGATCTAAGTAAGATAAGAGTCTCGTCCATGTCCCATATATATACATTCACTGGTCCACCATCAGAAACCAAAGTCTCGACCTTTTTTGATGTATTATCATTCATAGTTTGCCCTCTTCCCCCACTATAAACCTGAGATCACTCCTCAATCACATAAGAAAGATTCAGGAGATGCGACAAGATTTCAGAATCGATGAGAAACTAATTCAGGGCACCTACATTGGCTAGGGCTTCTGGGTCAACATTAGTTCACTGATCATGAACTAGCGGATTGATATCCTTTTCATAACAAAACCGATAGAATTCCCAAAGGAGCAAACAAACCCATGACAAATTTCACTTAACAAAACCTAACAACCTCTGGATTAACGATTCTAGGATAATTGAAATAAAGAGTTTGACTTTCACATGTGACAGATAAGACAACGTTCAGAATCCAAAAAAACCGCAAAGATTTCTATACCTGCTGATAGGATGAGCAAGATCGAGCTTACGGAGCTAAGTGACGATGTGTTACAGACGAAGGGAAGCAGTAAATGGCAAACGAAGTCGTTTAATAAGAATCAGTGCTGGCCTAATTCAAGGCCCATTTAGGTACAATATCGGCCCATTTTTGTTTTTCTTCTTTTCCTCTTCGCTCGTCTCCTCTCTCGTCTCTACCGAAGCTCGCTCTGCTCATTTGAGAAACAGTCATTTCCGATCAGTAAGGTCTTCTTTACTTCTTTCTTTTGTTTTAAAGCTGTATTTTTTTTTCATCATTTTGCCATCGTTATTCACATTTTTGTCTCATATTCATAGAGAGATAAAAGGGATTCTCTGATGGGTTGTACTGTGAGGGAGAAGCATGTTAGGCCGAACCGGAAGACCCGATCCGTGAAACCCGAATTCGATCCGTGCTGTTTGCTCGACAGGACGGCTCTACCGAAATCAAGTGTTGAATCGAGTCTGAAACATCTTGTTTATCACCCGGGTCTTCTAGATTCGGGTCCAGACCCGAACCATAGTGGGAATTCCGAGGAGAATGGTTGGGGTTACTGTACGGAGGAGCAATTAGAGGATATATTGCTGAAACATTTGGAGTATATATACAACGAAGCGATTTCGAAGCTTGTGGGATTGGGTTACGATGAGGATGTGGCGTTGAGAGCAATTCTTAGTAATGGCTACTGTTATGGTGGGATGGATGTTTTGACAAACATTCTGCATAACTCATTGGCTTGTCTTAATAGCAGCTCATGTGAAGGAAGTAATGGGAACAACGAGGATCAGTCTGAGGCTGTTTTTACGGATTTGAGACAGTTGGAAGAGTATTCTCTTGCGGGTATGATTTATTTGCTGCAACAAGTTAAACCTCACCTGAGTAAAGGTGATGCAATGTGGTGTTTGCTAATGAGTGAGCTCCATGTAGGGAAGGCCAGTACAATGGATATACCAAGTTCTGGAAATGGGGCTAGTGCTAATGTAGAAGGTGTTGGTGCTATGGTGCCTGCATTGTGTAGATTCCATGGAGGTTGGGGTTTTGGGAATGGGAGAGGACCTGAGTTTTCTGGTAACGGGTTTTCTTCTTGCGGCGAAGAGTTGACATTGCAGAGAGAGATTGATTGTCCGAAGAGATTTAATCTCTCACCGTCGATGAAGTCTTTGTTGAGAGAGAATGTTGCAGCTTTTGCTGCTGGGTTCCGTGCTAGTATGAAGCAGAAGAAGCAGATGCAAATGCAGCCTGATAGCTTGTCTTGCGCAGCTGCTGCTACACTTTCAGAGACGTGTGAGCAGCCACGTAGCTCAGGGAGCGAAGAAAGTGTAAGTTCAGTGTTGGAGAAATTCCGAGATCTGAACCTTGATGACAGTGTTGATTCGGCACCTGAGGAGCTAAAGGATGATGTTTTAATAGGGCTACTTCGTCAGGTTCAGGATCTCAAGAAGCAAGTGAAGGACAGGAAAGATTGGGCTCAGAAGAAGGCAATGCAAGCTGCCCAAAAGGTCAGCGATGAACTGGCCGAGCTTAAATCATTGAGGAGTGAGAGAGAAGAAACCCTACGGTTGAAAAAGGGGAACCAAGCTCGCGAGGACTCTACTGCGAAAAGATTATCAGACATGGATAATGATCTTAAGAAAGCTCAGTGTCAATTTAAAAGGGCAGATGCGATAGCAAAGACACTTAAGGAGGAAAATGAAGAAATCCGGGCAGAAATAGAAGCTTCCAAGTTAAGTGCATCAGAATCGCTCACAGCGTGCATGGAGGCATCGAAGAAGGAGAAAAAATGCTTGAAGAAACTTGTGGTGTGGGAGAAGCAGAAAATGAAGTTGCAAGACGAGATTACAGCTGAGAAAGAAAAGATTAAGGCACTCAATAGGGATTTAGCTCAGATCACCCAGGAAGAAAAAGAATACGAGGTACCTATAAATGCATTATCTTCGTTTACACATCGAGAAATCCTCTGGATCTTTACAATTGTTACACTTGAAAGAATCAGTGTTGAGTTTTAGAATCTGTTCCGAGGAATTATTACACTTCTTGATACTTTTTCATGGGCCAGGTCTTTCTCTCTATGCTGCTAGATGGATCATATTTTCATCGGTTAGCTTATTTTTCATATTCTTTTCATCTTGGTAATATGTATTTGCAGGCGAAATGGAGGCAGGAGCAGAAAGCAAAGGAGCAAGCTTTGGCACAAGTGGCAGAAGAACAGCGGTCCAAAGAAGCAACGGAGGCTAGCAACAAGAGAAAGGTGGAAAGCTTCCGGTTAAAGATAGAAATAGACTTCCAGAGACACAAAGACGATCTCCAAAGACTGGAACAAGAGCTTTCTCGGCTCAACAAAGCCTCTTCGACTGACTCAAGCCTCCAATCCGATAACACCTCCCACACAAAGGGGAAATCAGACAAGTCTGCAATGTCAAAGCTGCTTGAAGAGCTGGATAGGCTTGATGGGTCATATGAGAAGGAAGCAAACAATGACCGGGAATGTTTGATCTGTATGAAAGACGAAGTTTCGGTTGTGTTTCTCCCTTGTGCGCACCAAGTTGTCTGTGCGAGCTGCAGCGATAGCTTCATGGGGGGTGGCAAAGCGACCTGTCCTTGTTGCAGAGCTCCGGTTCAGCAGAGGATCCGCGTCTTTGGAGCAAGTTCGTAGTCAAAAATACTTTTGTCACAGCACAGTTCTTTTGTCAGCAGGGAAACATTGGCCTAAGCCTAATTTAATAAAATACTTATAAAAGCTTATTTTCTTTTACAAAATATATTATACTATAATTTGAAGTTTGCGGTTAATTTTTTTTTCATTCATATAAAAACATAAAAGAACTAATTAATATTGCTTGTAAATTTATATTTTGTTATACAAATTTTCTTTCAACAAACTGAAATTGATTATGGCAAGAGATATTTCTGATTTAATGGTTATTTTGTATTAAGACTAATTGTATAAAGTATTTATAAAAATTTTTGTATGTTATTTTTTTGTTATTGATTATAACCATATTTTTCATCTTTTATGTTTAATCAGACATTAAATTATAAAATTAGTTTTTTAAAAACTAATATGCCAAAAAAAACAACGAAACAAAAACTACATCGTCTAAATCTACTATCAAATTTATTCAAATTTTAAAGTTATGCTAGTTTTGGTCTAGTAAAAAGTATATTTAACTAAAGTAAATTTGGCTGGTTTAATGAAATTGGACAAATGATTAAAATCTCATGATCAATTTTTGTACGATTATTTTATTTTATTTCTAGTCTTTTAAAACTTACGACAATTTCAATTTAAAATCTTATTAGTTTAGACATGGTTTTATTTATTAAGTATAATATTTATTTCGTTTTAACTTAACGCATGAGACTTTTTCTTTCTTTTTGCCACTTTATATTAAAACTGTGAGTCTAAGAGTTTTGGTTCTATGCATTTACTTTTTTACATAAATAGTTGTTGAAAGAAGATGTAGCCTGGTTTATGATCTCCCCAGATTCAATGTACCTAAATAAAATTTTAGTTTCTCTACACCCAAAGCTTTTTTTTTAATTGATCAAAACATTTGTCATTTTTGCATTAAACTAAAAATTATTTCGTATTATCAATAAGAAAACAAACTTTTTTGTGGCAAAAAATGTTTAGCTTATCAATTTCTTAATTGATACACGTATTCATTTCATATGTTTTCCTTCCATGGTTTTCCATTAACAGATATCAAGTCTCATTTTTTTTGAAATTTTCCATTTTCAATCACTGTTGCAAAACAAGTTCACAGATAAATTTAACAAAAAAGAAGGAAAGGACTAACAAAAAAACTCTATTGGATTTTTATTTAGAGGTTCTGGAAGAATCTCTCAATCTCTTGTCATTTTTGATAGCCTAGTATCAGACCGGACTAGACCGGTGGAGACCAGTTGCCGCTTTTTTTTTTGTCAAACATCAGACCGATTGGCGTCAAATAAGGAAATTCAAATCTTTTGGTCTTTTTAATAACGCTTTAGAGTTTACGTATAAATAGACTTTGGTTTATAACGGGGAAAAAAACATCCGACGTTGAGTTTTTCGGAGACTTGAGTCACCGCCGGTGAATCCTCTCCCGCCGTCCGATTCCTTTTACTTGGCGTCTTGCGGTAAGCCTCATAACCCACTATCGTCGTACTTCTCAATTTCTGCGAGTTTCACAAAACCTGGATCTGAATTACCATAGTCTTAGGGTTTATGTGCCTCGTTCGATCAATTGAGAAATTACTAGTATCACCTGACTACCGCCTTCTCTCGGCTCTCAATTCCTTGGGTTTTCCCCTTTTTAGTCAGAAATATATGTACAATCACTAGCTCTACTTCTGGATCTTTGAAACAAGTGACTTATTTTTGGAATTTTATGGCTTTTCTGCTTAGAATGTTATCAAACTCTGTGTTTGTTTTTCATTGTAGAGAAGTGAGAATGACGAGCAATGATTTGAACACCTGGGTTTCGGACAAGTTGATGGTTCTGCTTGGCTATTCACAAACTGCTGTCGTGAAGTATCTAATTGCATTGGGTAAGCTTTGGTGTTTTGTTTTGGATCATGAAAAGCAATGTGAAGCGAATTTTGGCTGTCATTGTCTCTGAAAAAGTGTGAATTTTCATTTCGTGCAGCCAAAAAATCAAAATCACCAGATGATCTCGTGCGTGAGTTGGTAGATTACGGGTTTCCTTCGTCGGGTGATACTCGTGCTTTTGCAGAAGAAATCTATGCTAGAGCTCCCCGGAAAACCGCTGGTGTGAATGTGTGTTCCTCAATGACTCTCGTGTTTTTATTTATTTATTTCTCTTACTGCTTTTGCTGAGTGCAACTATTTTAGATTATTGCAATGGGAGAAGAATGTATAACATAAACACAGTTACAATTTGGTTGACTTTCTTGGTTTCTTTCAGCTCTACCAGCAACAAGAAGCAGAGGCAGCGATGCTGTTGAGGAAGCAAGAAGCTCTATCCCTTTTAGAGGCTGATCATGATGAAGATGAAGGAAATGTGGAGAAGCAATCTTCTCTGGAGTCCAGACCGTCTGATAGAAGAAAAAAAAGGTTTAGGAAGAAGATTGTTCAACAGGAAGACGACGATAATGAGGCAAATTGCTTTCTATTCAATGACAGACTTCCATTTTTTTTTCTTTTTGGTAAGATATAGCTTCATACCTCTTCTAATGATTCGATACTCTTTCTGACTAAACAACAATGCAGGTGGTGATTGTAAGAGAGGCCGAAAGGAATGTTAGGAGAAGGGTTTCCGATGGCGAGGATGATGGCATTGAGGTATATCTAGCTAGTGGCTACCCTTAGGGTGTTAGCATTCAGCTATATTTTGCATCCTTAGGATAATTACTCTTATTTCTTGGTGTGTAGTTGTGGTTAATACCTGCTTTATAATTGATTTGCTGACAATCTGGTTCAATCATGTATATTTGGCACAGTCTGAAGAGGAGAGATTACGTGACCAAAGGGAGAGAGAAGAACTAGAGCAGCACCTAAGAGAACGTGATACTGCACAGACAAGAAAGGTACGTCTTCTCTGTTTTGTGCATTGAGATGATCCTAGGTTTTGTACATTCTCTATTTTTTCTTTTCATATCTCAGCTTGACATCTTTGCTTTAGCCAAATAGCTGATTACAGTATACAAAATGACCTTGTTTTTCTCATCTAACATTTAGTTAGAGAATGGAACTGCCATATCTATTCACTTATTTTTCCATAAGACGCTGTATGCTTCTCTTTTTTCTCTAGTCAAATAAAGCAAAGAAAAGTATGGAAGGATTCATTGAGCCATGTAATATTTGCTGTCTGATCTTTTTGTTAGTGACATGACCCTTTCTTTTCTTTTTCGAGCAGCTAACAGAACCAAAAATGTCAAAGAAAGAGCGAGGTACGGCCTATTATAGCTCATGCATGAACATGCATCTTTGTGGTAAATAATGAGATACAAAAAAAAAAAATCTTCTGCTGGTCTCATTTAGAATTTCTTGAATTGCAAAACAGAAGAGGGTGTTCGAAGAGACAGTGCTGTAGAGAAGGGTGATATGGAGTCCCTAAGGTACTGATGATTTTTCTCTTGCTACCCTTTTCTTCCCTGTATTTATGATCTGTGATGTGATTTCTTTTGAGAGAGATGAAAACAAATGCATACATATAGAAATACAGTAACAGGGCATGATTGACAAAATACTTGTGTATTTGTAAAGTACAAATAATTAGTCATCAGTAAAGTACTTGTGTATCAAATGGAATTTATGTAGCTGAAGTACCATGCAAAGTGTGAAATTTGATTTCAATTAAGTGTCTCTTGACATCGACAAGTGTCGTTGCATTAACAATTCTTGACGGCGTTCCTATTGTTTGAAAATATCTCTTAACGGCTGTTTAGTCATCCATCATTATTGATTTTGTTTTGCTGGGTGTCTTTCAGGAAATTCTCGCGGCAAGAATATTTGAAGAAAAGGGAACAGAAGAAATTGGAAGAGCTAAAGTACTTGACCATACGAGCTCCCTTTCACCTAGGAAATTTCTACTTCAGATATGGTTTCTGTATCTGTTTTACTGTTCATCCTCTGACTTCTCCTTTCTCCTATTTTTTCTCTAGGGATGAATTAGAAGATGAAGAATATCTTTTCGGAGATGAAAAGCTCACCGAAACAGAACTTAATGAATTTAGGTAATCAATACATCTTTCTCGCACCAAGATGCAGCTTTGTTGCTTTGAAATTTATAAAAAATTCACAATAGTGGCTTACTTTGGTCATTTTTAGTTACCATCTGAAAGCTATATGGTATTATTCACATTCATGCGGATTTGTTATTGGCTAACTAAGCACGGGTTAATCTGACACCTTAACAGATACAAGAAAGAAATATATGAGCTCCTCGTGAATAAAAGTACACAAGAAGCAGACAATATAGGAGAGGTAATTGCATCTTACTGGACCTTTCTGAGGCTTTGACTATCAAAAGATAGGCTTCGAGTGTTTTTGATAATTAGTTCTTCTTCCTTTGAGTTATTTGTACTTATCTCTTTGTTTTCAATCTCTGTGGAGTCTAGTATAGGATGCCAGATGCATATGATCAAGAAGGTGGCGTTGATCAAGAGAAAAGATTTGCTGTTTCTTTACAACGTTACAGGTGAGTTGATGAAGAGTGCATGACTTGTTATCCATCACATTGTACTTTGCTTACTCTTGAAGGATCACTCTTATGGATGTTCTATATTATCTTATTTTACTAGGGACATGGATTCGGCGGAGAAAATGAACCCCTTTGCAGAGCAAGAAGCTTGGGAGGACCATCAGATTGGTAGTATTCTGTTTTAACGCTTCTGTCATCTACTAGTCTTGTTTTAAATGCAAGCTATGCGTAACTGACATTGTTTTTGACGCTTCATAAATGACATTTTCATGCAGGAAAGGCAACATTAAAATTTGGTGCAAAGAATAAGCAAGCCTCAGACAATTATGGGTAAGTTTTGTTACATTTTTTCCTCCTACTTTTATTCTATCACTTTCCAATATTACTTTTGACCGATTATCCTAGCTATATTTTGACCTTGAATCTACGACTATATCTGCAGGTTTCTATTCGAGGACCAAATAGAATTCATAAAAGCATCCGTCTTGGCTGGTGATAATGTATTAACTATGATACCAATTAGGTCTAGGGTATGTCTTTTTATATGCTGAGTTTTAGCTGACTACTCGTTGTTGTCATTACAGTATGAAGACGAGATGCATGCTAAACCATATCAAGATTCTACCGGCAAATCGGCTCTCGATATGCTTCAGGTGCAAGCATTTCCTCTTTTCTCCACCTACTCTGTTTGGTCAAATTTAACGACCGGAGCTCCTTTTAGATATTTTATCAGCCAAAAAACCCATCTGAATTATTGTGCTTCCATGTTTGAAAGTTTCCCTTGCCGAAGTTGAAATATTTTCTGACATATTTTGATGTTACTTGTTAATGAATCAGGAGGAGAGAAAATCTCTGCCCATTTATTCATATCGTGACGAACTTCTTAAAGCTGTGAAAGATCATCAGGTAGTTTTATCGTTTATGTCACTTGCTCTGTGTTTAAGTTACTAATAACAGCTCTCAGATTTCGAAGGAAAGTATTAAAGTTTAGTAGCATTTAAGTGTATGATACATAATTAACAAAGAATAAAATAATTGGAAAAGTGACCATGCATCAGAAAAGCCTATTATAGAATCTTACTGAAGTACTGGATTAAAGTTTTTGTTGATGAAAATGCACATATAATATTTTTTTGTTGGATAATAGTTTCTTCTATACATGTATGATTCAAACCCTTTCCTCTCATTTTAAATTGAGCAGGTTCTTATCATTGTTGGGGAAACGGGTTCAGGGAAGACTACACAGATACCCCAATATCTTCACGAAGCTGGTTACACCAAGCATGGAAAGGTACACCCTACTACTTGACCTGCATTGAAGCACATAAAAATGAATTATCTCCTTGAAAGCATAAAAGAGTAATTATAGTGTTATTCAATAAACTTTATGATACCTGATCTTTAGTCGAGGGCTTTAGCACGTCAATCTGTCACGAGCATGCCTAGCCCAATCATTGAAATTGGTTGAAGCTATCTTAGTTTGAGGTTCACAAGGACTGATTTTGTGCATGATCTTTGTGGCCAAATGGCAGCTTTCAGTTAAACAATTAATTTTAAGCATAATAATTATTCTGTCATACTACAGGTCGGTTGCACGCAGCCTCGACGAGTTGCGGCTATGAGTGTGTCTGCTCGTGTTGCTCAAGAGATGGGTGTCAAACTTGGGCACGAGGTATGTTCTCAATCTTTTTTTCTTGTAACAGTTGTGCCGAGTTGTCACTTCAAGGATTTGAAACTTTGATGGTGCTTGTCACAGGTTGGCTATTCCATTCGATTTGAGGATTGTACTTCTGAGAAGACAATTCTTAAGTATATGACTGATGGAATGCTATTGCGTGAGCTGCTTGGTGAGCCAGATCTAAGCAGTTACAGGTAATGAACACTCCTACCCAATTCGTTTTAACATGGGGCATAGTAAAACTTCTTTGCTTAATAATATCTGAACCTTTTCAGTGTTATTATCGTTGATGAGGCGCATGAAAGAACTCTGCACACCGACATACTATTTGGATTAGTTAAGGCAAGTGGATACGTGTTTTCTTTACTTATCTAATTAGAGCTGGATCTTTGGATATGTTTTGATCCTCTCTTCTTATGATATGGCAGGATATAGCACGGGCTCGACCTGATCTGAAGTTATTGATATCCAGTGCAACCATGGATGCTCAGAAGTTTTCTGAGTTTTTTGACCAAGCCCCGATATTCATGTTCCCAGGAAGAAGGTATCCAGTTGACATTTGCTATACTACTGCTCCTGAAGCGGATTACATGGACGCAGCAATTACTGCTGTGCTTCAGATACATGTGGGAGAGCCACTTGGGGATGTTTTGGTCTTCCTCCCAGGTCAAGAGGAAATTGAGACCATGGAAGAAAACTTGAAGCAGAGGATTAGAGGTTTCGGTACAAAGATCAGCGAACTCATTATCTGTCCGATTTACGGTAACCTTCCAAGCGAACTCCAGGCAAAGATATTTGAACCAACTCCTGAAGGCGCACGGAAAGTGGTCCTAGCAACAAATATTGCTGAAACATCATTGACCATCGACGGTATAAAGTATGTTGTTGATCCAGGTTTCAGCAAGCTAAAGTCGTATAACCCTAGAACGGGGATGGAATCTTTGCTTGTAACGCCTATCTCTAAGGCTTCAGCGACTCAACGAACTGGTCGAGCTGGAAGAACAAGTCCAGGGAAGTGTTTCCGTTTGTACACGGCATACAATTACCACAATGACTTAGAGGAAAATACGATGCCTGAAATACAGAGGACGAATCTTGCTAGTGTGGTGCTGGCTTTGAAGAGCCTTGGTATTAATAATCTGTTGAACTTTGACTTCATGGACCCTCCACCTTCGGAAGCTCTTATAAAGGCCTTAGAGCTGCTATTTGCTCTAGGTGCACTGAATCAGCTTGGCGAATTGACTAAAGTTGGTAGAAGAATGGCAGAGTTTCCACTTGATCCGATGTTGTCGAAGATGATAGTTGTTTCTGACAAGTACAAATGCTCTGATGAGATCATCTCAATTGCTGCTATGTTGTCCATCGGTCCTTCTATCTTTTACCGTCCCAAGGACAAGAAGGTTCATGCTGACAATGCAATGATGAACTTTCATGTCGGAAATGTCGGTGATCACATTGCTTTGCTCAAGGTATGTAAATTTCTGTGTTTCCCAATTTCCCTTGCTTACTGTTTTTCCTTTTTCTTTGCAATCTCACTTTTTTTGTTCATCTGTCGTCTTTGTTTTTTTGAAAGATTTACACTTCGTGGAAAGAAACGAACTACTCAACCCAATGGTGCTGCGAGAACTATATTCAGGTATATATATATGTCGTTATATCATCATCCTGTGTTCTTATGATTAAGTTGTATCAGATTTTGTGAATATATTTGTAACATTGGTTTGAAATCCTGTGTGTATAGGTTCGGAGCATGAAAAGAGCCAGAGACATTCGTGATCAGTTGGAGGGTCTTCTCGAAAGAGTTGAAATCGAAATCAGCTCAAACTCCAATGATTTGGATTCAATAAGAAAGTGCATCGTAGCTGGTAAATTTCTCAATATCCAATTGATTAAAAAAAACAACATAATTGTTGTTGCTAAAGAAGTTCTCTATACTTTTCTCAGGTTTCTTTCCACACACCGCAAAGCTACAGAAGAATGGATCATATAGAACAGTGAAGCATCCCCAAACTGTGCACATACATCCAGCCTCTGGCTTATCTCAGGTTTAGTTCAATTCTCACTAATAGAAACATATTAACTAAAAATCGAGAAATTTATAATCTTGAAATGTTGAATACTGATGAAATGAATCCTTTGGTGAGAATATTGTTAGGTATTGCCGAGGTGGGTTGTATATCATGAACTAGTCCTCACCTCTAAGGAATACATGCGACAGGTAAAAAATCTGTTTTTTTTTAATCTTTCTAAACCACGTTATGATTTTTTTTTTTTTTTTTTTGAATCTTTCTGGGCTGATTTTTCTTCTGTTTTGATATCGGGTATATTCTTTGACCTTGGAAAATGCAGGTTTTTTTTTTTTTTGAATCTTTCTGGGCTGATTTTTCTTCTGTTTTGATATCGGGTATATTCTTTGACCTTGGAAAATGCAGGTAACAGAGTTAAAACCAGAGTGGTTGATTGAGATAGCTCCACACTATTATCAGCTCAAGGACGTTGAAGATGGTATATTACTACAACTACTATACTTTCTCTTTCGTCTAATAATTTTCTCAATTTCTACTAATCGATCTCTAAAACCAAAAATCTCTCATTGATTGTTTCCTTTTGCAGCTAAATCCAAGAATATGCCCAAAACCAGTGGCCGAGCTGCGATGTAGCAACTTTGATCCATCCAGGGTAAAAAATGTGAGAATTAACTTAGATCTTTAGAAGCGCACATAAACATATTTGGGCCAGGAGAAAATGTTCTATGTATTAGATAGATGTTTTTAAGTAATTATAAGATTTCTAGTGAAAAAGAAAGCCACAAAAAAAAAAAGAATATTTATAAGATATTTTTTCTTCATTTTGTTTTTCCCAGGAGGAAAATGTTCTATGTATTACCCTTTTTGTCCCCACCCTACTTCTCTTCACCCAAATTACATATTCTTTTTTTTTTGGTTCCACCTCTATTCCAATCTCTACCCTATTCAACAAAGAAACAAAAACAGAACCCCCCCCCCCTCCTAATCTGACCAAAAATTCCTACAGTGAAACATGAGAGGAAACAAAAAAAAGCAAGAAAACTTGGTAACGTTTTATGCCACCCATTTGATCTTTTGATGCATTGAATCAAAAGAGGCTTATCATCTCTATAAGGCGAGTTTTCATGTTGGCTCAAATTGTGGTCTCAAAGGTACTTTCCTGATGACTTCCAGATCCGACTTCCTCCAAGTGCTATTACTAATACAGTACAATCGTCGTGATACTTTCTTCGATCTCCTTGCGGGATATCCAGGAGCTCGTGAAAACCCATTCCTGTTTTTTAAACAATCCCCAAAAAAAAACCATCAATCACTAAACTAACAAACTACACGAAATTTATTATGGAAGTGTCTTTTTACCAGCTTTCTTGGCTGCACGGACTAGAAGTTCCTGTATAACATGTTGAGCAGGATCTCCGTCTGGGAACTTCTCCATGGCAAGAGAAACAACTTCCTCATTGCTTAGGTATTGGTACAATCCATCAGATGATAGAACCATGAACTGATCATTCTCTGTTAGCCGGTAGTGACGAAGGGAAGGTGTGCATGATATGTATGGATCCGTACCAATGTATTCATTTCGAAACATCTCCAGTAAAGCATCGTTCAATTTAGGCTGCAAATAAACTTTCTTTGTCAGATCACTGCGGAAAATGATATTAGTTTTCGTGATTCAACAGTGAATTACTTTGCCTAACCTGCTTCAAGAACCCTGCTCCAAACGCTCTCGTCACCTTAAGCCGTCCTTTTACTCTATCATTCACTATGCAATGGCTGTCATCGGGGTGCTCGTTTTTTATTCTTGTTACTTCCTGAGTTCAACAATAAAATTATCATGTGATAAGAATATTGCAAGAACCAGATATGATCATACAAGGCTAGTCCATAAACAAAATGAAGATCAAGTCGCTACTTAGCAAGTAAGACTGTATACTCTTCCAAGATAATACGAGACCTTGCAACTGCAACCAAAAGTTTAAGAAGATTTCAAGAGGTGAGGCTTACATCTTCGATGCTCGTGCTGTGATCTGTTGTTAGCTGCAGGGCAACCAGTTTCGTTTGCTGCACACTTGTTTCATTGTCCACTGTAGTATCCTTATTATCCACAACTGAAGCCTCCTCTCTGTTGTCTAAATCACTGCTTTTTTGTTCTACTCTTCCTGTCTCCACACTCGCACCCGCTTCTTCTACCTGATATTGTGCGACAAGAGCCCTACTATCCCCTATGTTCATTATATACACATCATCATCTCTCATCAGCGCAACCAGTAAGCACGAACCCATCAGTGCAAGCTCAGGATTTGTGTCGAGAACCTTATCAGTCATTTCTAGGAATGCTTGCTCCGTGGCTTCGAGACCATTTGACATTGCCTTCAGAACCAACTCGTGATCAACCGCACCCGTCTTTCGTCTCTTCCTCCTCTTCTCAACCGGTTCTTCTACTCTAATGTTATCTATCTCCTCCGTTTCATTTTCCTCCACACCAAATTTCCATGGGAACAACTTCCTCCCTGAAATTCCCTGTTTCGATAAACCCTGCTTCAATTTCGACAAAAGCAGCCACCTCTTACTTCCCACAGACACGGCATTGCCTGCACTGATAGCATCGTCCACTGAGAATGCAAATCTGTCAGAACCTGAAAGATCCAACGCTTCTTCTGCTTGAGCCTCTGCAAGAAGCTCCCATAGCCGTTTCCTCTCCTTGACTTCTACCACCTCTAACGGAGACGCCAATCTCTTTCCTCTCTCGTGTTCTTCCTTCTCTGTTGCTGGGCAGCTCGAACTCGCCAATTCATCGGCTTCAGCCTCAACTTTCCCTCGTTGCTCTAACTCTAGAGTACTACTATCTAACCCACTCTCATCCTTCGAATTTGTTACTGTTGGATTGTCATCTTCTTCTTCCTCCAATTCCCAGAACAAACCCTGTAACTCACTATGAACAGCTCGATAAAGATTAGCCATCAGGAATTCCGGAGCGTCGGGTCCATTGAAACCGTCGTAGATCCCAGCGAAAAGCCATCCTTGCTTCTCGAAAACAGCTAATTGCACTCTATCCTCTCCTGCTTTCCCCAATGCCCACTGTAAATCGTTCTCGCTTCCGCCACTTGCCTTTTCTCCGGCAGCCGGTGCCGCAGCTTCGACGAGAACGCCGCCGCCGTCGGGTCTTACAGTGTTTTCCCTCTTAGAACCGACGACGAAATTCGACACCGGAAGAACCCAGGGCCGTTGCTTCCTCTCCCCGAAAATCGGGTGCCAGGAAAGGCTCTTCTTCCTTTTCCGTCTCTTCTTCGAGTACACGCCACCGAGCGGCGCCGAGAAATGCACGCCGGCGGAGTTAGATCTCGAAATTTCTCCGGCAGGGTCCAACGGGCCTGAAGTCGCGCCTCTCTCGATCGGACCCGACATGAAGAGGCCGCTACGTTCCACAGGACCCGACCGATCCGGACCTAGAGGCACGGGCTGAAGCGGAAGAGCGCTAAACGACGACGTTCCTTCGAAGCCATTGGCATTGACGACACTGCTCCTCACGCCGCCGCCGAAAGTGCTCTCAGTGGCATCGTCGTAAATATCTTCGAGCTGAAGGACAGTTTTGGAATTCGAGGTGTTGGCGCTGACTGAGGCGCCGGAAATCGCTCTAAACCCGGTGTGGAGCTGCTCAGATGATCCGGAAGCTCGGATCCGACCCGGTTCATGAGAGAGAGATAACCGGAAGGAACCAGAAGGAGAGACGAATCGATCGGAAGGAAACGGAGAGATGAAGCGATTAGAAGACGGAACGTAGCAGTAAGAATGGCCTAGAGTCTCATCCAACGGCTCACAGAGAGAGTCGATCCGATCGGAATGAGTCGGATGATGCGCCGCCGACGACGGCTGACGCTTCGATGAGTGATGGCGACGGCTACGGTGACCTTGATTGAAGCAAGGTAAGACGGAGGAGAATCCACTTCCCATCACATTTGATTCCAACACTCTTTTTTTTTCAAATTGCCGAGAAAATCTTCCGAGAGAAAGAAAAAAAACAACAGAAGTTTTCTCGGCGATTTTGAATTTGCGAGCTGAAAAGAAAAAAAAAAATAGTAACATTAGAGAGAGAGACTTTTGTCGTCTTCTTTCGGATTTAAATATGTTTTCTTTTTTAAGCTGAGACGACTTTAGTGGATTTTGAATTAGCCGAAACATTGACTCTTTTTTAACTTTGTTTTTCGCTTTTTATTGGCTCGATTACGTAAATACCACCAGCATTATCTCTTAATTACTAAATCACCCTTATAATATTCTAAATACCACCAAGAGTATATAAATTTTTGCCAGAATAAATTAGTAACAAATCACTTCTGAAATACTACTTCCTGAAAAAAAAAGTCACAGTTGAACTTCTACACTTTTTTTATATATAAATCATGTAGTTACAGATTATAAATGAATTTTGACTTTGTAACTTGCTATAATTATTTTACCAAAAAAAACTTGCCATAATTAGAATTACTCGATGTGCTGACGTTATTAACTTTTTTACTTCACAAGACAGTTCCGCGTTAATAAAGTTCTGAACTAATAGTTACTTGTAGCTATAGAATACAGTTCTTTTATGTTTTCTTTATCATAGAACTAAAAATTAATCTGAAGAAAAGAATCTCCTTTGGAAAAACTATTCATTGCCTTTTTTTTTGGGTCATAGAGAAGAAAAAAGAAAAGGAAAAAGGGGAAGGGTCAAAATGGAGAAATCGAGGCTCGGGTTTAAAGGATTCTTGTATTAAGAAAGCTTTTTCTCATTTGCTTTGTTCGCGCTCATCGGTCTCTGGGACAATGAGGAATTCGCATTTATGCCCTTCACCACCCAAAAATTAGTATAAGATAAATAAAACAACATAAATCGCCAAAAATATTACACTGGTGTGGTGTTTTTCTAAGTACTCTACACAAGTCGATAAATATAGACTTCGACGATCAAAAAAAAAACTCCAAAGATTTCTAGTAGAAAAACTGATAATAATTTGGCATAATATCTAAAAGAGTGAACGTTACCTTATATGACTAAAAATTAAGACTAAATTCTCAGCGTAATTATCATATAAATAACATGGAAAAGAATATTAGTATTAACAACGTAAGAAATGTACAATTTTAAACTACAATATTCTTCAATGCATATTAGTTTATGAATTTTTTTCCAACTTGTTTCCACCATAGATTTACCTGTTCATTACTCTTCAGTCACATTACAACAATATATTCCATTCACTTTTTTCCATATAGTAGACTCCATATATATGTTTTTTTTTTAAAAATCGACCTTGTTCGTTCCTTATTTTCAACCGATTTCTATAGTTTGAAATGGTATATTCTATGAAAATTCAGCTAATTCCATTGGAATTTATATAGTTGATGAATGATTTTCATCATATTCATATGTAAGAAATTACTCATCTCTTTCTCTTTACAGCTGGTGTTTTGGGTTTTTACTTCTCCCTCTTCTCTTATATTGGTGAGTGATTTTCATCTTTTTTAATGTTAAAGAAGTGATTTCATCTTATTTCCATGTAAGAAATTTTAAATTAATGCAAGCAAACCCTTTGATAAAAAAACCGCAAAAAATTCACCAATTCAAATAAGTATATATTTCACACACAAATTTGTAATTTAAATTTTTTTTTGAGATTTTTAGTGATTTCACCAAAATTTCACCAAAAAATGATGATGGAACAAACAAAAAAAACCACGACCGTTATATATTAAATCTAGTTACTTTGTGTTAATTGTCAGACGCAGTTCATTTTTGCGCCGGTTACAAACTTACAATGCGTTAGAGATGTGTTGATGTTGCCGTTAGAATAAAAAATAAACGAGATAATTTTTTTTTTTAATTTTTTTTAATGAAATTAAATTCAACCATTAGAAATGCAAAGTTATAATTAGTAAATATTTTTTGAGAAGTAAAAACAGACTGTTTAGTTGTTTTGAAAACCTTAGACTGTTTAGTTTTCTCAGCTCATCTTAGATTTATGATATTTTGTTTATTTATACTTTTTAGTTGATTGAAAAACCGATCAAAGGTTTTATTTTAATCAACCTGTAATTATTTAAAAAAAAAATCCTTCTGGTTATGTTTTTATGCCTGATTTTCCCATGCAATAAATAGTTTTTTCTTCTCCCTTTTTATAATGATAATTAAATTTGTAGGAAATTGTTTTGCTAACTATTGTTGTTTTACCTATAAAATATGGTTTCACGTCGTTAAGTTTATACGCATTGACGACAAAAAAAATAGATGTTATTCGCATCTCATTATTATTTTCTAGTCATGTCATGCTGCTAATAATATAACTACGTCTACAAATAATAATAACATATGTTGTACTCGTTACCCTCCAAAAAAAATTATGTTGTATATTAACAGTTTATCCCATATAGTAAGACCAATCCATATCTCAGTGACAGTCCAAATACATTTACAAATAATAATATATATAAAATGGCATTCAGAGAGGTTAAACTAATCTAGTTTTTAATATCGATGATAACGTTTTATCTTGGTATGTGGACGGACATAGAATCCTAAGCTTTATCATTAATATAATAATACGCAAAATATCGCAACGAAATTCAATATCCCTATATTCATTTGACTTTTTCTTTAATCTCAAGACGATATTTGTTGTTGTTGTTCCTAACAATGTTAATATGACTGAAAATGAAAGTTGAAAGAATTACAGAGATGGTACCCTACTACTATGCTTCCTAGACAAAATAAAGAAATAAAAAACAAGGAGAACATTACACAAATTAGAATTTACATAAACTTTAACGGATCCAAAGGGACATTAAGTTGCCAAAATAGCACATGTGTCTTCTCGTAGTGATGGTGTTATGAATCTTGCGATCAATACATTTAAAGATGGTGTGTGCAGGGATGGATCACCTGTGATTATGCATAATTAACACGCTACATTTAATTTATGGTTTTTTTTCTTAACACTTGACTGATAATACGAACATCATAAGATGACTAATACAGAGAGGGATTCCAATAGGTATCAAATGAGAAAAAAGAGAAGATCTTTAAAAAAATAGGGTCAGATGACAAAGGACAGTGGCTGTTTCAGAGAGGATAAAACTTCTAAGCAAAGAAGGTTCATAGTCCAAAATGTACGATTGGTACCTATAATTTCGGGTAACAGTCAATGCAATATTCGGCTTGGCGATAACTTTTGATAAAAACAATGTCAACGCTCCAATAATTACAGATGTTAAGCCAGCTAGTTATGTTTAAGTGGTACACAAAATTACTTTTGTTTTCTTCTGTTTTCTTATTGTTGAAGTTTGTTAATTGTAACACACACATTTTAAAAACTATCTATCAAAGGTAATACATATTTTGAATATTTAGTTGATTATTCTCAAGTCTCTCAACAGATTTATAACAAGTGCTTATAAAGCTTTTCTGGCGATAGAAAGTTATTTTTTGGTAATAAATCAGCGACTAATGCCAAAAAATGCGTTTAATTAGTCTTGCAATATTAATAAAAAATTGTGTAAATAAGTAATTAACAGTTATGCATATAGAACTATAAATAACGTACAGACGACAAATTGCACTCATAACAAAGTGAATAATCATGCACTGTATGTATTAATCAAAATTAAAGTAAATTAAAAACTTTTCATTCCTATTGATAGATATGGTGATTATATATGTACTCTTTTCAATAATTATGACGGATTCATATCACAGTGCACGACAAAGTGCATGTTTTCTTACGGGAAAAATAAAGATACTCCTCCGTGTATTCATGTCAGCTTATGATTATGGTCAGTCTATGGTTTTTCTTAATGAAATTTCTGCTACTTAATTACATGAAAACTAGTCGTAATAATGGATGGGGGACTTAATTACGATTAGGCAATCTAGGGTCCACGGAAGGGAAGATCAAAGAACAATAGTCAACGAGGTGTTGACAAGTGGAACCCACCTCGTAGACTCCTTCGCTGAAACGACGTCATACTTGTCGGATTCCCTTTCCCGCTAAGACTTCTTGTCTTGTCCCCTTTCCTTTAAAATTATTATTTTTGTTTATTACTTTAATACTTTTTTTTGTTCATCAAGATTTTCAGACTTTTGTTTCAATTTAGGTTACAGATATTCAAACTTATCCAAGATTCAGAATATAAAATCTAAAAAATACTTCAAGTAATTGATTAGAGTTTTGCTAATGTGTTGTCCTACACTCTTTAGACATCTACCTATTTTACGGATAGTTACTGAAATTATTGTTTATCATATGTCAGTATGTAACAGGAATGCTAAAAAAAAACATTATATAAAATCATACTTACCTGCTTACTCATACATTCACACTGAAAAACCTCAAAATAATAATTTAATTATATTATATGTATATCTTGTAGATAACCGAGAAGTTTGACTTTCCCTTAAAACGTTACGTGCCGTCAAGAATTGGCAAAGTCACTCCAACTACTACTCACACATCTCACAAGTCACAGCCAAGAAAACCCTTTATTATAAATACAAGTGTTTATTATTCAGGACAATGCAAATCTGCAATTTTACCACGAAAAACCTTGTGTTTAGGTAAAACTATTCTTCATTAAGTCTGTAAAAGCAAACGTTATTTGAATTTAAATCAGAAACGCGTTTACTTTGATAAATGTCCATATTACCTTAAAGGAATGACTTTTATGTTAATCCTGCATCTAATCCTAATTCCATATTTGTTAGACTTTTGAGTTAATTTGTTTTTCTTGAATTTAAATGGCAGGGAAATTGTCAAAGGCAAAAAGCGTCAGCTACCCACTGAACCACTAGAAAAGCAGATTTGGTTACTGAATTTTATTCACACCTAAGGCTCATCAAGTTTGATGGGACCTAAGTTGACTTAGCACTCATTTTCACACACATAATAATAATAATAATATCAACATTCTAGTACATATTTCAAAACACGTATCTTACATTTTTTATAAGAAAAAGTAATATCAATATTCTAGACTTTCTAGTACAACCACTGACCATTGATCATGGAATTAAAAAGATTAGATCTCATTTACATTAATAGGAATTTTGGTCTCAAGTACTGTAATGCTTTGTGTCGTGTCTCAATCTGGCGAGACAAAAGCACTAATCTTTTCTTCTGGTTCCATATTGGGTACAAGTTTTGTTCGAACCGTTGATGTGAATCTTAACATGTAATGGTTTCGATGCAAATTTGGATCATATCTGGCCTGCTCGTATGTCCCGGTCTATTCGTTCTGCATTATATGTACCCGGAAGCTCTCTAAAATCCTCGTTGAATATGGAATATGCGCTGCGAAAGAAAGCATGAAAAAAACACCAAACTTATTCAGTTCCTATAGTCAAAAGAGAGGATTTTTCATAGCTTTAAGACTCAACAAATAAGACTACTTGCAGAATCTTATGCTTCCAGAATCTTAAGATTATTTTTTTTTCCCACATCTCCAAGTTAACAAGGATGTTTACGATTTAGATGAGTTTAATTTGGCATCTGGATAGCAGCAAACATCAATCAGAGAGAGTCATATAATATCACAGCCCTAAATGGAATGAATTGTCATGTCTCAGTAAGATCAACGAAAGGCTAAAGCTTTAGAAATGAAAATCATACCTGACATCACCGGGTTGTCGTTTACCAAGATTAAGCAAAATGATTGAGAATCCAGTCCCTAGTATCTGAAACCCATCAAAGGAAACAAAAGCAAAGCGACTAGTTAGAAAAATTGAGCCAAGTGATCAGTTAGATATAATATTTCTGTACACAAGACGTCTTTTGAATGCATATAAAATGGCATTGCAAAAACATGAGACCTTCTCAGGAATCCAGGCATTCAATATAAAGTGGACTTACAAATATAGGCCCAAGGTCCCAGCGATGGGCAAGAGGCGCCAGGAAAAACCACAAGGTGATAATAACCCACATCTTTGGACTTAGAGAGAAAAGTCCCATAAGTATGATATCTAGACCATCACACAACACAGATCAATGAGCTATTGTTTCAAACATTCTTGGGAAGTTGCGAATGATGCGTTTGAAAGATTAAAGAACTCACCGGGAAGCTTCAACTTATTACGCAGAAAGTAGTAGAGCTTCCTCTTCCACCGATTTGCTGACGGCGGGAGCTGAAACTTCTGCAGTGCCAAAAAGAACCAAAAGAGATTATAGAAACTAAAAAAACCCATTCTTTAAGAGTTAACCACCATATCAAATGTCCATAATTTACCAATTCATCGTCATCATCATCATCATCATAGGTCTCAACTCCAGCTGGTCGCTTTGGTACGACCGCAACGATCAAGGAATCTACACAAGAAACCAAATGCATAATCAAATACACATTCAAGAAACACAAATAACTCTTACTCTCTAAACCTTTCAACAGAAGCTGTACCTTCGTTCTTGAGCGTAACGTACAGATCATCTCCATCTTCCTCGTCTTGCAGTGTCTTTCCACGCAGAATCATCCTCAAATTTGCGACGGGAAATCGACCCTTTTCCGCAATCGCATTCCTCAAATCACGGACCTAAAATCAGCCAAATGATCAATCCGGTTCTTTACACACAACATACATAGCGAGATAAAGAAGAAGAAGAAGAAAAGGTTCATACTTTGATATGAGACGCCACTCGAATTCGAGATGGCCGAGATGGGCCGATGGTTTTGTGTGTGATCTCGACGGTGCCATCGTTGGTCGAGTCAGGGCTCGTTTCTTCGATTGAGTTCATTATATCCCACTTTCTACCAATCTTTCTCAGACAATCAACGGGAGATTGAGGATTAGGGAGTCGAATTGGGGATTGAAAACGGAGTTTGTTTTCTCACTAGCTCCTCCGATGACGGAGAGTCGATTTGAGTTTTCAATATTCCATATCCGCCCCAACATTCTTTATTAATTATACTTTTGCTCTGAAAGATTTCAGATAGTTTACCAAAACTTTCATGGCATTGGGCATTGGATAGATCATAGGTCTTTCTTTAAAACATCTGTCATAAAATATTTGTTTGATATTTTGAATACCCATGTATCAAGAGTGTGCACACTTTGTCGTTTTATTTGGTTGAAACGATCGCATACTCGACGGCTATATTTCGCTTTAACGAACACCATATTTCGTTCTAACCAACACCATATATTACTTCATTGAAAGCTAGAAGATTTCACAAAGGAAAAAGATAAGTATAAGGTATGGTCTATTCAATTCCATCTAAGTATATAAGAATTAGCCATAAATTTTCTTAAGAGTACTTCTTTTATGGATTTTAAATCAAAATCAATTGACAATGAGTGATTGACTCATATCTTTTAGAATTTGTTTTTTCCTGATTTTTCCTTTAATTTAGACATTCTCCCATCGGCTCTCTGCCTTCGAGTGTATAATCATCGGCCTCCATGACCATATTTTCGACAAGGGTTATGATAAAGAGTAATCACGTAATTACTTGATGATTAAACAAGAAAACTCTAAAATGATAGAATAATAATGTGCATAACAAAAAAATACAGTTCGTCTAACAGTCACCAAATTCACTTTATTAAAGTCTAGACAATTTTATGACATTTTTTGTATATTACAAAAGATTATGGACCGAATCCTAGGATTAGAACCAAAATATATAGCAGAGTATTGTTCTGCTCCAATTACTATTTTATCTTGTGATTTCTAGACTTTATCTTTAATATTTTTTTGAGTCGACATAAGGACTCATGATGATTTCATAATTTTGTACTTGATTTAATTAAAAAAATCATAAGTATTGTCCATTTAATTTCATCTAATTTTATTACAAAATTTTCGTTTATTGGAAGAAAGAAAAGAAAAAAGAAAAGTGTGAAAAACATTTAAAAGACACAATTAGTTTCTATGTTGGGGCGCTTAATTGTTGTCATCTGGGATATGACCATTAATGGAGAACAAAAACTTTGAAATCATGTAATTGGTTTCGAGATAAATAATCAAAGCAATTTTGTTACGTTTCTCCGTCGCATGATGCTTCGCCATATTCTAGTTACCGAGGCACCCTTCGGGAACTCTAATACAGAAACAAACTTTGTCTCCTGGCTTCACAGTTGGTGCACATTTTCCAGTACGAAATCGTTGCTCGTTGCATGAACGCTGACATCTTGCAAGACCACTCGGTTTATTACAAGTTCTAAAAGGATCCATTCCGCTTATCCGAGTACTGTTAACGCACCGCCCTTGCTTAGCCTGTAGTTGAGTTTCTCCTATCATTTATTTTCCAATTAGTAAGAAATATATAAAATCTTTTTATAACATAATTTAGGTAGTTTTATTTATATAGATAAACACTTCTTAAAATATACACATGTTATATATATATATATATATACTCAAATCATTTGGTTTTCCATTTCCTTTCTTATGTTAATTTTTGTGTTTACTACTGAAAACAAAAAATGAAAAATGAAACAAAAAAACCAAAGGTTTAACAGTTGAGATTTTTTTTTTTTGTTTAAGAAAATAATTTTGCATAGAAAAAATTCCAAATGAAAAGAAAAAAGGTTAATAGTTTGTTCAGATGAAATTTGCTCAGAATTTCTAAGGTTATGGGGTTCATTTGAGGATAATAAAAATTAAAATTAAACAATAAAAGAGGCGTTTGTGAGATTCTTATTAAATATACATTACCTGGCGAAATCAACAAGAAGATCATCAAAAAGGTGATGAAACCAACTACAATTACACCTTTGACCATTTTTTGCTTTCTATTTCTTGTTCTTAACCCCTTTGATTGTGATGGAATACTTAATATTGTATCCAATCATGTAATTGTTGTATTAACCGAGAATGTGGGCTATGACCGATAAATTGTATAGATTTTGAATTAGCAAATATAAAGTACTGATATACATTGATAATTCAAAATTAGTTTTCAAACTTTGTGAAATTTAGATGTTATAACTCATTTTTAAAATGAATGTTTATTAAATTCTACTTTTCTTAAATTTATATACCAAAATTTCCATTTAGGTTAATCGCGTAAATACTTGACAGCATTATTAAAAGCTTAAATGATACTAGAAAGTGTGCATAATAAAAACTACATTTCGTTCTAACGAACACCACATTTACTTCACTGAAAGCTAGACGATTTCACAAAAGGAAAAAAGATAGGTATGCTCTATCAAATTTTATTTGAGTATATAGGAACTAGACACTAATAAGGACAAATAATTTTCTTGAAGAGTCCCAAACTTAAAAAAAAAGGAAAAAAGTAATTGCAAGAACATCTTAGTAGTAGAGAAGGTCTGGGTCACACTTTTCATTCACACCATAGACATAGGATGAGGCCTACAATTTCTGCCTTACATATAATAGGTAGAATAGAACACAGTAAAAAAAAGAAGACAGATAATCTCCTCTTTACTGAGGAAGACAAACCACAGAGCAAGAAAGAAGTGAGAAAGAAGAAAATATGGCACTGAGAATGTGGGCTTCTTCTACAGCAAACATTCTCAAGCTTTCTTCTTCTGTATCCAAGTCCCATCTCTCTCCTGCTTTCTCTATCTGTAGATGCTTATCCTCAGGTTATTGTAATAGTGTTTGTAATTTTGTGTTACATAGCTTTTGTCTGAAATTGTTGATTGGTGTCTTTCTTTTTAAATTTTTTTGTTTTGCTTTAGTGTTGGAGGGATTGAAGTATGCAAATTCACACGAGTGGGTTAAACATGAAGGCTCTGTTGCCACCATTGGCATTACTGACCATGCTCAGGTAACAGAGGCACTACCTTGTGTTTCTTGTGATATTTTCGGTTCCAAATGAGAACGATGCTAACTTCTGGTGTTAAACCATAAACCCGGCTAAGATCAAAGTATATCTGTTACTGATACATTTAGAACTTGAAAAGAGTTTAACACTTTGGACAATGTTATAAAGATGATAGATTCGTAAGATGATGAATGGCTGAATAAGAGGAGACATGATGAGACTGATGTTGCAGGGCCATTTAGGTGAAGTGGTGTTTGTGGAACTGCCAGAGGAAAATGGTTCAGTGAGCAAAGAGAAAAGCTTTGGAGCAGTGGAGAGTGTGAAGGCGACAAGTGAGATCTTATCACCGATCTCTGGTGAAGTCATTGAGGTTAACAAGAAGCTCACAGAATCACCAGGCTTGGTATGGTTTTAAAAGTCTTAAGGGATCATAGAGTAGTAAGTTTACCTCTCAGGTGGTTACAACATATAAAGCAAGTTGATTTGCCAACTGGTATGTTGTGTAGATCAACTCAAGCCCTTATGAAGATGGTTGGATGATCAAAGTGAGGCCAAGCAGCCCAGCAGAGTTGGAATCTTTGATGGGTCCAAAGGAATACACCAAGTTCTGCGTGGAGGAAGACGCCGCTCACTAGGAGGGTTTCTCTGTCTCTATGTTACCAAAATGCCTTGAAAAGTTCATAAAATGTGAATAAACCAGTCCAAATCTACCAATTCTCATGCTTATTTCCTCTATTCGCATACACTGTGACCAGCATCACAACATAAGAATTCAAGAAGATGATGGAGAGATCTAACAAACACACCGATGAATGTATGTAATGTTTCATTGATTTTTCAATCACAAACATATTCTTATACATGAGAGTCTATAGCTCTTCTTTGTTTAACATATAGAAGAAGACGTTATAACAGTCACCATAATTTACTTTATTGAAGTCTATATAGAAGAAGACGTCTCTGCTTCAGCATATTCTAGATACCGAGGTATTACGGGCACCCAGCTCGAGGTATACTACAGTAACAGACTTTGTGTCCTGGCTTTTTTTGTGCCTCGCATTCTCCACTAGTAAATTTTTGCTCCTTGCATCCACGTGTACATAATGCAATACCATCCCGTTTAGCACAAGTTTTATGAGGGTCCATTTTGCTAATTACACGCAGACGATTACTTTTTTGACAATCCTCCGGCGTAGGCCAAAGTCCAGGGATAATTATCTGAGTTTCCCCTGTCATTTATAATGAAGTTAATAACTGATTAGTAAGAAATACTATGTAATATCTTTTCATTAAAATGCATAATCTAGGTTTTTTCCTTCGAGAGAAACATTTCTTAAAATATACACAAATCATATGGTTTTCAATGTTTTCTTACAGTAAATTTTGCTAGTGAAAACAAAAAGAAAAACCAAAATTTTAAAAATTGAGATACTTTTTCTTTTTAAAGAAAACAACTTTGCAAAGAAAATTCCAAATTGAAAAAAAAAAACAAAAGTTAATAGTTTGTGTGTGTTTGGTGTTTATAATTACCAAGTGAATTTTGTCTAGAATTCTTAAGGATCTGAGTTCATTTGAGAAAATAAAATAAAATATAAATTAAACGATACAGAGAGACCTTTGTGAGACTCTTATGAAATATGCATTACCTGGCGAAATCAACAAGGAAGTCATCAAAAATGTGATGAAACCAACTACAATTACACCGTTAACCATTTTTGCTTTCTATATTTTGTTCTGAATTTCTTCCCCTTTAATTTTCGATGGAATACTTAATATTGTATCCAATCATCTAAATATATAGATTTCAAATTTTTTTTTTAAAAAAAGAAAGAAAAATATTCCGTAAACCATGCTTCTAAAATAGTTAAAGATAGGAGGGAAAAAGAAAAACAAATTCAATGGACTACATATTTCTCCATCTTAATTGCTATCTATAGATAATTCTATGTTGTATTAACCGAGAATTTGGCTATGGCCGATAATTTAGTTCTAGCGACACCACATTTACTTCATTGAAAAAGGTTGACCATTTCACAAAGAAAAAAAGATAGGTTCGGTCTATTAATAAAAGTATATAGGAATTATGGAAATTCCCTTAGCACAATAGTTGATAAAAGGTTCATTATATTTCGAAGAATGTGATTTATTAGTAAAGATATGGTATTAAGAAGGTTGGCTTCGTCTACGGCTGTAATGCGTTCTCCATTTGTTGATATTTTTCCTCAGGTTATTGTATTAGTGAAACAGACAATTTTTGACCAATTGCTCCTTTTTTAAAAATCATAGCCCACAAGGCAAGTTAGGTCTCTATTGGTTGTATCTACCTTTGACTAAACTGTAATAATCCAATCTGATAAAAATTGGGCATGAAAACACAAATAACGACATATGGTAACATACAAAAGAAAATTGACACACAAAGCACATACATATATGCACACACACACACATACATGAATGAACAGAAACAAGACATAACTTTCCAATGAAGATCAAGCTAAAGAAGCTATGGGTCTCTTTAATTGTGGTTTCTATGATCACGACCTCGGCTTTGGGAGACTTTGGAGGACAATTAGTAAAGAGATTCTACAAAGAGAGTTGCCCATTAGCTGAAGAAATCGTGAAGCATAATGTGGAGGTTGCTATTCTTAGAGATCCTCGTATGGCGGCTTCTCTTCTTCGTCTTCAGTTCCACGACTGCTTCGTCTTGGTAAGAAATCGTCCCTTAATCTTACACTCTTTCTCTCTATGACCATAACATTTTCAAGTTGTTTTACAGACTCTAATTTTAGCCTAGCTAGATTGTTTTACCGTGTTTGGTGTTTTGGTGTTAGGGTTGTGATGCGTCTGTGCTCTTGGATACACATGGAGATATGTTAAGTGAGAAACAAGCAACTCCAAACGTTAACTCACTGCGTGGGTTTGAAGTAATCGATTACATAAAGTATCTCCTTGAAGAAGCTTGTCCTTTAACAGTCTCTTGTTCCGATATCATCACCATAGCCGCTCGTGACTCTGTCTTCTTGGTAATTTCCCCTTTAGGAATGTTTCTGCTTTAAGAGATACCTAAAGTGGTCAATTTTTTAATTTCTAAAAATGGTATATCAGAGAGGTGGACCATGGTGGGAAGTTTTGCTAGGGAGAAGAGACTCATTGAAGGCAAGCTTCTCCGGCGCAAACCAATACATTCCGGCACCAAACTCTTCCCTCGACAGTCTCATCGTAAACTTCAAGCAACAAGGCCTCGACATTCAAGATCTCATCGCTCTTTCGGGCGCTCATACAATAGGTAAAGCGAGATGCTTGAGCTTCAAGCAACGCATTGCTCAACCAAACATGGAACAAACGTTCTACGTCGACGAGTTCAAGAGACACAGCACATTCCGACGAATCCTACGGTCACAGTGCAAAGACTCTAGCCGCAATAACGAACTGTCACCGTTGGATTTACAGACACCAGCTTACTTTGATAACCATTATTACATTAATCTTTTAAAGGGAAGAGGGCTGTTGATTTCTGATAACGTTTTGGTCAGTGAAGATCATGAAGGAGAGATCTTCAAGAAGGTTTGGGAGTATGCGGTGGATCAAGATCTCTTCTTCCAAGATTTTGTGGAATCAATGTTGAAAATGGGTAATATTAATGTGCTTACAGGTATTGAAGGTGAAATTAGAGAAAATTGTAGATTCGTCAATGTCTGAATCTAAAGAGTGAAAACATTAAACTTGATTTGGGATAGTCAAGCACATGTTCAGAGGATTTTTCTGCCACAACACAACTTGTGTTATTGCAATTTCGCTCAAGTATGAAATGTTCTGTCAGATTTTTTTATTGAAGTGAGGGATAATTATTTGTTCCGGATCAGTACAAGATCTTAAACTAAGCCAAATTTCCAAAGTTTGGTAACTTGTAAATAAACGCAATTCTGTAATTAAGTTTATAAATAGCCTAAATTAAGAGAACTTCATAATTTGTCCATTTAAGTTCTGCTAAAATTATCTTTTTAAGACAATAAAATTCTGATAAACTTATCTTTAAGACACAAAAATTCAGTTTAAGGATTTCTTCTGGGCATCAGTTTATCATAAAGTTAGCATCAAGATGATTCAGACGCAAATTACCCATGAAATATAATTTCATCATCTGCCCAATAGATTAAAAAACTTTAACAAAACAGCATCTTAAAAGTTAAAATCAACAATAAAAAACACGAATCCTGTTTAAAATCATAAATTAAAAAACTTTGAATCTGGAATCAGTTCTCCAAGGTGAATAAACATCAATATAAAGTCAGTCGCAAATTACCCATTTGTTATATGAGATTCATCATATTCACAGATTCAATAGAAAGAACTTTTTAAAATAAACGAAAAACCAAAATTAAAAGGGATTTTTATTTTGTTTCAGAGTCGATCAGAACCTGTCGAGATATCACGATAACATCACAGAATGTATCAGTGGATTGACAGACTTGTGAAATTTCTATCGTCACCTCGACTCAAATTCTCCTAAAATTTTAGAATTGAAAACCAATAGCAAAATTTTGAGAAAGAATAAAAAGACCAGAGCTGCGAATCAATAACAGAGCTAAAACACAATCGAAAAAGATGATATTTGCTCTGTTAAAGAAGTTTACGACACGGAACACAACCGGCGTTTCTTTCAATTATGACCAATGCGTTTATGTATATGTATATATATACTAGTTGAGACGGTATTAAAAGAAGAAGCCCTAATTTTATTCTTATTATTTTCTTGGGCTTTTTTGGACTGGACAAATGCACAGATTTATTTAGTTTTGTATGGGCTTCATACAACAGATTTTTGCTTGTGAAGCAGGGAACGTTGTATTGACTCCCTTTTGAGGTGATGGATCTAGTGGTAGTGAGATGATATATCAGACTTAGAAACTTGTGTATACCATAATCAAAATTGGCTCAAGATCAATTGGTAAAATCCATAATGAGTTGTGGACCAAATAAGAAAAACCTAAGCTATCAGAAGACAAGAGCAAGAAAATATGGTGACCCAAGGTTAGAACATAAACCAGGATTATAAAACCCGGTTCTAAACCGACTAAGAACATCAAGAAAACGTTTCAAATGAGACGCAATGAGACGGAGATTGAGGTCAAAGGAAAATGCTACTGACGGAGCTATCATCATGGACACGCCAAATCGTCTCACCAAGAAGATTAGCCACCGATAAAATTGTCAACTGCGGGAAGTAATTCTTCTCAGCTACTGGTAATGTGTTTGTCACTATCACTTCTTGAAGCAAACCCCCTGATAATCGCTCTATCGCAGGCGGGCTTCCATTGATTCATTACAAAACAATAGAAAAGCTTCAGAAAATAATGACTTTGAGACTGTTCTTGAACAACATATCGGGTATTGTTTTACCTGAAAACAGCGTGCGTGCAGCATGCATAGACCTCACGAGCACCCTCCTGGTGTAACAAAGCTGCTCCTTTCACAATGGTTCCTGAGTTAAAAAAAAAAAACAGAAGAAGAATAGTTCAAAGAGGATTCAGAAATGAAAAAGGAGAACGGGTTTTATATGATCTTGATGGGAATAGGAAAAATTGGAAGCTTGATTTGTCGGTAACATGTTTCTTGGAAAGAGTAAGATTAAGCAACCTCCATGCTGTTTTGTACTAACCAGCGGTATCAATCATATCATCAACCATTACTGCCACCTTCCCTCTTACATCACCAATTAGGTTCATGACCTGAAAGGAAAGTATATAACATGTGAACTTGAGGGGAAGCAACATGTGTTGTTGTTGAGCAAACGCTGACTTTGAAAGAGAAGGAGGTGAACTACCTCAGCAACATTGTGTCCATGGCGCCTTTTATCGACAATGGCAAGTGGTGCATCTGATAATTTCTTTGCAAAAGCGCGTGCTCTGGCTACTCCACCAACATCAGGAGAAACCACTACCAAATCCGCTGAGGAAATCGACTTGCTAGCAAGATAATCAAGTATCACAGGCTGAAAAAAAATTGAACGCGTAACGTGTTAATAGGTTCATACACAAACAGTGCGTAATGAGGAGAGACCGTAGCTATCAAGAACGTAGCTTTAGAGGTGTACCTGGCAGTACACATGGTCGACTGGAATGTCAAAATAACCCATTGACTGTCCTGAATGAAGATCACAAGCAAGAACTCGATCTGCACCAGCTTCGGTTATAAGGTTAGCAACCAATTTTGCAGCAATGGATTCACGCCCTTGTGTCTGCAAGCAGAAAAAAAAGATACACAAGATGATTTTTTTATAAGCAAAGATTACAGAATAGAGCTTCAAGATATCAAGAACCCTCCATATCTGGTCAAAGCAGGTAATGTATTGACCTTCCTGTCAGCTCTTGCATATCCAAAATACGGAATCACGGCTGTTACTTTCTTGGCTGATGCTCTCCGGCAAGCATCTATCATAATCAAAAGCTCCATGAGATTCTCATTTGTTGGAGTACAAGTAGGCTGCACCAAATAGACGTCGCATCCCCTAACGCTCTCTTGTAGCTGAACGTAGATCTCTCCATCAGCGAATCTCTTGATGTTAATCTTGCCAAGATCCAAGCCCATATACCAAGCAATTTCCTGAGCAAGTGCTGGATTTGCAGTGCCAGAGAACAACTTCAGCCTGGTATTGGTTCTGTTGACCGATTTCTCCATCCGAGCAGATTCCAAGAAATTTGGAAGTGTCCTCTCGTTAATAATTGGGATACTGGGATTCCCATTCCCCACATTCAATGACTCGTGCAGATCGCATTTCTAGCAATAACAACAACAAAAAGAAAGAAATTTTTTTTTGGAATTGTGGTTTATTCAAATCACACAAACCTTTCACTACCACCCCAAAAATCTCTTTTTTTTTTCTCCCCACCAAGAACACACAAGCCAGGAGTTCATAAAGTAATTTATGTTCCTTGATAGTAAACTAAATTCATCAAACGAATCCATCCACTTATCTACATGCCATTGGCAGAAGAAACGGCCTTATTATATAGCAACATTCGCAGAAGCAAACAAAATGCTGAGGAAAGAGACAACCCTTGTAGCTGATGCACCTATCAAAACCTCAGTGATTCAAACTAGACCAGATGGGTAATAACAAAGGTCCACTCAATCTAGGAAGACTAAAGAAGAAGGATCAAAAAGCAGAATAAACAACACTCCAATTCTATGAGAAGGAAAATGCACAGCAATTCATATGTTAACACGAGAACTGCTTACAACACAAGCGATGACAGAGTTCCGGGAGCGATACTGAGAGGTCGTGAAAGAGAGAGACGAGCAAGAGGAAAAGAAAGTCGAAGACGACGAGGCTAAGTACGATGGCGTCTTAGCGGCGGGAGGAAACGACAAAGCCAGCGACACCATTGAATATATGTCAGCAATACCTCACTTTAAACCACCTCTGGCTGAAGCAGAGTATTAAACTCTCGCAGAACAGATTCGGGAAACTAAGGTTTAGGGTTTAAGGATTGATGAGAGTAGAATGAAAGGAAGAAGTTAAGAAAAACGCTTTATGGTTCTCTTCTTCTTCTTCCTCTCCGAGTTTGTGTGAGACTCTTTCTCGAATTTGGATTTTTCAATTTTTTTTTCATCTCTGATAAAAACAAATAAGAAATGGTTTGGTTGGTGTGTGGAAGTCGTTCATAAACGACGTCGTTTTACAGGCATCGCGTAAATAGTAAATTGTGGTCGTCCGATTAATGGATTATGGACGTCTGGCTGAACTTTCTTGGAATAACTTTCAATACAATTCAAATCAATTTAAAAACCTTGCTCCTATTGACCAAATCTACTTATGTCACATAGATTTTGTATTAACATAGAATTTTTGAATTTACTATGTGTATCTGCAATATATTAACATTCAATCCACTTTTAGCCGAATCAGAGTATTGACTTAAGAAAATAATAATCGTAAAAACAAAAACAAAAATGGTGGCAACAAAAATATAATAGAAGAACAATGATCTCACTTTTGTTTATTGACTACAAAGTGGAATTGGAATTTCTTGGTTCGATTTTTTTTCTCTTTTTGGTCACGAAATTTCTTGGTACAACAAGCATAAATAATTAGCGGTTAATTCCTCGTGCCCATAAACTCTTCCGATCCGAGGTTGGTAGCTCCGGTTCACAATTGGGTTTTTCAAAAAACCAAACCGGACCAGAAAAATGATCTTATTGTTTTGGTCTAATCCATCCTCTTGTGCAAAAAAAATTAGAAGCTAACAATGGCGCTTCTCGAAGCTGCTCTCTCCATCCTCTCCTTCTCTTCTTCTTCTTCCTCAAAACCTTATCTCTTTTCTAGACAGTCTAAACCTGCCGCATTAAGTCTTAGAATTCCCAGTAATTTCTCTTCCGTCTTCTCTCTCAATGTCCCTCTCGGATCCGCCGGATTTAACTCGCGGCGGCTCGTCTCCGTGCTCTGTTCCGTCACAGAGGAAGAAACTTCGCCGGACGAGAAGACTGAGGAAACCCAGAAGTCTAATCAGAAAAGGAAGCTTTTTGTATTCAATCTCCCTTGGTCTATGAGCGTAAATGACATCTCCGAACTCTTTGGACAATGCGGGATGGTGTACAATGTCGAGGTCTTTTTCTATTATTTCTGGATTCATCGATATTTTTTTTGTTATTGCGAGGTGGGTAACCTAAACTTTGAATAATTCTCAGATCATAAAGCAAAAAGATGGCAAGAATCGAGGGTTTGCTTTTGTAACAATGGCTTCTGGAGAAGATGCTCAAGCTGCTATTGATAAGTTGGATACTTTTGTAAGCTCAAACCATGTCCCCCTTTTTGTACTGTTCTATCAATGTTCTTCCGTTGTGTGTTCTTTATCCAAAATCCTTTAAGATTCTTCTCTGATTGAGTGTGGATTGGTCATTTTAGTCGGATAATCTGGAAACACTAAAGAAATGAGAAGTTTCATAACAGATTAACTGCCATTGTGTTGAATTGTTAGCTATTTTTCTCCATCCTCTATACTAAACAAGCTTCTATGCTCTCTGTTTTCAGCAAGTCTCAGGGAGGATCATAAGGGTAAACTTTGCAAAAAGGTTCAAGAAGCCTACCCCGAAACCTCCTAACGCTCTTCCTTATGCTTCCCCTGGAGAAACCCGTCACAAACTCTATGTATCCAATCTCGCTTGGAAAGCAAGATCAACCCATCTCCGTGAGTTTTTCACTGCTGCAGATTTCAACCTCGTTTCAGCTCGGGTTGTTTTCGCAGACCCTCAAGGAAGAGCTTCCGGCTATGGCTTTGTCTCATTTCCTACAAGAGAAGAAGCCGAGGCTGCAATCGCTAAACTCAATGGGAAGGTATAGAGTTTGCATATGAAAGTTTGTTTCTTTCTCTTAAACTTGTAGAGAGTTAATTACTATGTCGTTCATCTATAGGAGCTAATGGGCAGACCTATCAGTCTTAAGTTTAGCTTGAGAAGCGCCGGTGAATCTGAAGATGGTAACACGATAGGAGACAACAATACTTCTGAAGAAAAACCCGTAGATGGTAACACAATAGAAGACAACAATACTTCTGAAGAAAAATCCGTGGAGTGACTTTTATTGTTTCTCAGTTCATTCGTCAGGGAGATCTGACTACAGATCTTTATTACAGTTTTGTATATCTACTGCTGAAAGAACACACAAAAAAATGGAATTTATTGGTAAACTAGACTTCAATCTTGCTACTGTATGATGAATCACCAAGCCCTCTCCCGTATTCTGCAGCTTCTTCACACCGAGTAAAGTTCATCGAACGAGACACAGCTTCCTGTTTGGTAATGTCTTCCTTTCATCTTCACATTGACATCCACCGTCTTAACCATGAAATGTCCGGTAGAATGTGACCTTGAGAATCGCCAAGCCGAGGCTTCCATAAGTCTTTTGCTTGAACTAGCGGTAGGAGGGTATTCCTCGAACGGGACACAGCTTCCTGGTTGGTAATGTCTTCCTTTTATCTTCAAATTGACATCCTTCGTCTTAACCATAAAATGTCCTGTAGAATGTGACCTCGAGAATCGCCAAGCCGGGGCTTCCATAAGCCTTTTGCTTGAACTAATGCTAGGAGGATTTTCTTCGTCATGGTTTAAGTCCTGAATAGTAATTGTGACAGTGTTGTGCAAAGATCTATGGCTTCCAGATCCGACCAGTCCTGGGTCTAGCTCACAACGGCAAACAGGGCAAGTCTTGTGTAACTCAAACCAAAGATCAATGCAACTTGAATGAAATCCATGACGACAAACCGTGATGAGCCTAATGGTGTCTTCATCTGAAAACTCTGACAAGCAGATAGCGCATTCTGTCGCGTGATTTTTCATTGTGGCAGATGAATAGATGAACACAGGGAAGGATCTGATGATAAATGGGTCGAGGCCGGTGTTTTCAGGCGGAGTGGCCACATGAATCAGGTCACTGTAAGGTGTTCGCTGAAGGGTCCAAGCTGAAAACAACCGATTCAGAAGACATCGCCAGAAGAATAGAGACAAGAATCCGGCGACAATTACAAAGAGAAGTACGCCGGTTAAAACTACAGTGACGGGCATGGAAACGCTAGGGAAAACATCAGTGTCTGGTATTGTTGTTGTTGACGCCATTTGAAGATTGATGATACGGCTGGATCAGAAACACTCTAGATTCCAACTAGTTTCACAAATTTCTTGGCAAAGAAGAAATGTTTGTTCTGAGAATTGCTTGCGGAAAAAGAAGGGAACTATTGTTCTATGTTAGTAGAGAGAAGTGTGGGGAAAGGTAGTGGCTATGCCATAGTCACATCAGTGGCTTTACTTAGCATTTTTGAGCGAGTCTTTTGTGACAATTAAAAAAAAAATACTCTCTTAAACTCTTAACAAGTCGCACGAAACAAATCAAAATACGAAAAATGTAATAAAAAATTCTGACGTATGGAATCTGAAAAAAAAAAAAAACACAGTACGATAATAATTTAAAATTTTTCATATATGAAAAAAAGGCAGGTATCACCGGTTTACAAGTTCGAAAATGTTTTAGTTCAGTTTGGTCTGGTACAAGATCAGATGTATGATTGGCATAGGAGGAGAATCAGATGATACAACGACAAAAAAGATGAGTTATTTTTCTTTGTGGAGTCACAATCTACAACAACATACAGTTACATCTCCAAAAAGCTATAGCTTTGTCATCAATCTGTTGAAAGGCAACGACTTTATTCAATATCGTCGATCCAATCACCATAAACCCGACTGATTTTATCCGGTCCTTTCCATTTCCGTTGAGTTCTGACCCCGTTAGGTTTCTGAGTAACGGCACTAGATGACCGTTGGGGCGGGACTCCAGGAGAAACAAGGCTAGTTAGTGTGTCAGCTTGTCCTGTCTGCTTTGTGCATGGAGTGGCAGATGTTCCGATCTTACCTTCTTCTTCGACGAGTCCCCCACCAAATCTATGCAACTCTGCAAAACAGCATCATAAAGACTTAAATTTTTAGCTACCGACTGTTGAAACTTTCTGCATTCCATGGATAACAAGAAGATCAAGAACTTGTTCCAATGAGAAACTGATAGAAACATTTTAACCGTCTCACTCGATCCACTCACAGTCCTTAAACCTTCTTTAACCAATCTATTCACCAAGATCCATCGATCACATTTTCTTCAGGGGGATCAAGTTTAAAAACTGACCAAATGGCATCCATTGTCCATTGAAAATACTCAAGAACACACTAAAAAATGTTCAAATACTCATTGAAAATACTCAAAAAAGATCAAACTTTTCTTCAGGGGGATTAGTTAATGGATGCTGTGTATGCCATTACATATAGAATTCGACAGAGGCAAGCTAACAAAGCTAGTTCTAGTGATCAAACATTATCTCCCAGTCCAGCAATACAGCATCCATTAAGTAACACTCCAGTGACACTCTAATCTCAAAGTTCATCAAGCAACACTGATTAAAACTCATTTCTATTCAGCATTTTAAAGCACATCGGGGTTCATTAATAAACGAGAAAAGGCCGTAACTTTTACCTGCAGCTCCATGAGCAAAATGGCAGTTAGCACCAAATGGACAATGCCCAGTGATCTCCCACTTATTGCAAACCCTTGTCTTCCAATTTGGAGGTCTCACAATCTGAGCAACATTATCTCCATCCCCAGCACCAGAACCATGAGGGCCTAAACTAATCACAAAGCTTTCTCTATTTTTTAAAGCCTCGTCGTGTAGAAACGTACAGCTTTCTCCGTACGGACATCCCTCTCCGCTGTAAAACTTCTTGCAATGTCTTCCTTTATACAACCTTCCACTCTCCGCCGGGATCTTAAACTCATCTCGGGTCTCAGCCGTCGTCTCCTGCCGATCCGGCGGCGGACGACGGAGCTCCTCTGCGCTGTGAGCAAAATGGCAGCTGTTCGCGGCGTACGGACAAGTTCCGGCGCGGAATTTGAAGCAGAGCTTCGTCTTGAAGAACGATTTCCCGATGTCGGAGAAGGAGGAGGAAGAAGAAGGCGGAACTCCGCGAGTTTTCTTGCTCGGCGACTCTGTATCATCGGTGTTCACCGTTAAGACACGGCTGTAATCATCCTCATTGGCCCAGACGGAACTGTCTCCGGGAAAAGGAAACCGATTCTCCGGCGGAGGGTCGTTGGTGGGTATCACGTGAACTGCATCGCTGCCGGAATTCCGCCGATGAGTCATCACGTCGACCAAGAAACCCTAAATTAGTAGCTAAGGAGCTCAAATATTCGATTCTCGAGTATAAAAATCAGAGGAAAAGCCGAGGAATTTCGTGAACCCACGAGATGGATGATCTAGAAACACATTTGAGTTTCAAAGAAGAGGGAGAGCAAGAAATGTTGGAAATTAAAAACCGAAGATAGAGAGACTCTTTGTAGATGAAGAGGGAAGTAGAAAATAGAAACAAGTAAGCCAATCAAAATCTTATAGTAGCATTTATATAAGGATCAGAAGGTGATTATCTAAATGGAATTAGTGGTCTCAGAAAAATAAAACAAAGAATGTTCTGAAATTGGTAAGATATTGGTCATTTGGCTTGGTTGTGTAACCTGATAAGAAACATTACTGTCTAATTTAAAGTTAAATTCGTTTAATTAAAGTGTTAATTTTGGAGGAATGAAAAGGAAGTTCTCTTATAATTGACCAAATATTTTAAATGCATGTTTCACCCTTGTCACTTAGCAAGATAAAAAATCTAGTTAACTAGTATCTGCTTTCTTTCGTTTTTTTTTCCGTTAATTCAATCACATCTATTAATGAAGTTTTAATTAATACACATTTAACCATAGAATTAAGCGATGATTTCCAAATCATGAATTAAAATAACAGGACCGGATCCGGTTTGGGTGGAGATGCGCACGTGGATGGTCACGTGGAGCACGAGTTTCAAACTTGCTTATTAAATGGCGGCTTTCTTCTCCACTTTGACTCTTGCTAGCTCGTCATCAACAATGGCACTCTCTCCGACGACTTTAGCTAAAACAGAGGAGGATAACGCGATCGTTTCCAGGTTCCAGACTTACCTCCGAATCAACACCGTACATCCGAATCCCGATTACCGCGCAGCCGCAGATTTCATCAAATCCCAGGCTCAATCCATCTCTCTCGAATCTCAATCGATCGAATTCGTCGAGGGAAAGCCGATTGTTCTCCTGAAATGGATTGGATCAGATCCTTCGTTACCTGCGATTCTCTTAAACTCTCACATCGATGTCGTCCCCTTTGAGGCAGACAAGTGGGATCATCCTCCGCTCGGAGCAGAAATCGACGAAGACGGCAAAATTTACGCGAGGGGAACTCAGGACATGAAGAGCGTTGGGATGCAGTACATAGAAGCTATTCGTAAGCTCATAGCCTCTGGATTTGTGCCACGTAGATCCGTCTACGTCTCGTTCGTTCCCGATGAAGAGATCGGCGGCGCTGATGGGGCTGGGAAGTTCGTTGAATCGGAGATATTCAAGAGCTTGAATATTGCTATCGTGCTCGACGAAGGTAAACACACTTGGTACGCTTTTGTTCATGAAAAGAGAACATAAAAAATGTTTCTTTGAGAAGAAGAGAACATAAAAAATGTATCTTTAATGGTGATGAAATGAATCAGGTTTGCCAACTCCAGCGGAGAGATACAGAGTGTTCAATGGAGAGAGGATTCCATGGTCGCTTAAGATCAAAGCTGTAGGACAACCTGGACATGGATCAAAGCTCTACGATGACTCAGCAGCGGAGAATCTAAGTAAAAGCATTGAGAGTATAATGAGATTCAGAGCTTCTCAGTTTGATCAGCTCAAAGCTGGTTTGAAGCCTGAAGGTGGAGTAATCTCTGTCAACATGGTTTTCCTCAAAGCTGGCACTCCTACTCCAGATGTGTTATTCTTCTTCTTCCCATTTTTTTCTTCTTCTTCACACTTAGATGACAAAAAACTGAGCTTTGTGATTGAACCTGATAAATTTGGGGCCTTTGTTTTGGATTAAGGGTTTTGTGATGAATCTGCAACCATCTGAGGCAGAAGCTGGTTTCGACATTCGTATCCCACCCACTGCTGATTTAGAAGCACTTGAAAGACGCGTGGTTGAGGAATGGGCACCAAGTGCCCGGAACATGTCCTTCGAGGTAACTTTCTTAGTAATGTGGTGTGACCAGTAACTTAAAGAAAGTTGTATTTGATGAAGAGTTCTCTCGGTATGTCAGCTGTGGCGGTTCGACCAGAATCCTTCAGGGAAGCAGTTACTTGCAGCAAAAGATGATTCAAATCCATGGACGGGACTCTTAGAAAATGCTGTAAATGCAGCTGGAGGGCAGACTAGTGAGCCTGAGATCTTCCCTGCATCAACAGATGCTAAGTATTTCCGGAAAGCAGGCTTGCCTGCAATTGGGTTCTCTCCTATATCAAACACCCCGAGTTTGCTTCATGATCATAATGAGGTATTTGCCTTCAGTAATTTTGATTGAAACAATGAATCTCCGCTTCAGTTTGCCTATTATTTGGTGGATTCACCACCACCTCCCAAGAGCAATCTCTCTTATGCCATTCTTCCATCTCGTTTTTTTGCAGTATCTGAGTCAATCTGAGTACTTAAAGGGCATTGATATGTATGTTTCGATCATCCAAGCTTACACATCATATGCTTCACCTGAATGAGAGTGTTTCAAGAGCTGAGTTATAAGGGTCTTCTTCAGCCTTGTGTTATCACGTGAACTTCTTGTAATCAAATTTGTTATCAGATGTTACAGGAATTCTCCTTATCTATCTTTATCAATTTCATTTTAATGAGTTGGTTAAGTTGTGGTTTTAATCAAACTGGTTTTATTTTACATTTACGGTTTATGTTTAACTTCCCCATATAAATGTCCCAGTCCAATGATCAGGTTCTAAATTATCACATCTCTCACCCATTGTCGATCAAAGCACTACTAACATAGACAGCTTCCAGGCCCTCCATAATTTCAAAGTGAAGCATTTTGAAATCAGCAAGCAAGTTTCAGACTTTGAACACTGAAGAATTTTGTTGATTTACTAAATTGGTCAACATTTAGTGTAGCTTGGTAATACAAAGGTAAGAGTAGTGTGTCTTTAATGAGATGACTCCATTGTTTGCTTGATTCTCTCATTCTCATGCAACCTACTACTTCTGACAAGCCTCTCAAGGAAGAACCCATTGTCCAGGGAAAAGCTGCATCACTGTCTTTCCCAGAATCCAGTCCATCTCAGAACTCGACAAGGATGCTTGTTTTGCAATAATGGTCACAGCTTCTTTGGCTTCTTTGTATCCACATTCGAGAACAACAAATGGGAAGTCACTGCAGCAGACGGAGACATAGCCAATCCAGATAAGGTCATGCATTGTTCGTTCATATAAAAGTTTTTTATTTTTTGGGTGTTTCGGTTGGGAAAGCAAGGTAAAATAAGTAAGTTTACCTGCCCCACATGACACGATTTGCTCCGAAATTGGACACAACTTTAGATAGGAGAGGCGATAGATCCTGATACGGGAAACCGGTTCTTGATAGCCTGAATAGAGCACTGAATTTCACATATACCTGCTTGTTTTGAATATTCTTCCCTCAGACTCGCATGATATGTGAGCTAGTGATAATTTGAAATCTACAAGTAGCATTTTTCCTTTTTTCACCTGTGGGAATCTAGAGAGCTTCATAAGTTGAGTATAAGCAAGCTTTGCCTCACCATTTCTGCAGTATGATGAAAACATGAATATTAGTAATATGTTCTTTAGGAAATTGCAGGGGACTAGATTATTTCTAAGAATAGCAAAGAATATCTCACTCTGGTACTTTGCAGAATCCAGCGTGATCTAGTAAAACAGTTGTCTTTGGAAATTCCGTGCACAGTTCCTCAATTTCAGCAAGGTGAAGATGCAGACCCTGAATAAAGTAAACAATAATTTTAAAATAAAGACCTCCACCTAAACTCCTAACCTAAACCACACAATTTTGGAGCACACAAAGGTCAAATTACTACCAGACCTTCATGCACATGAAGCCAACAGGCACACCTAGATCCCCTGCTTTAGAGAACATGGCTTTGCCAACAGCATTTGTCATCTGTGTTGTGAAAATCAATGACGATCAAAACCGTACGGTAGAGACTTTATCCAAGGTCATTGAATCATTTATACTGGTACCTTCTGACCTGACGGCCACAAATAAGGATTGAACCGAACAGCACGATAATTACTCTACAATAACAAATTAAAACTCAGAGAAATGTTATCCATATATGATATTTTAGAAAGAGCTAATGGAAAGACCTCTAGAACAAGATTCTCAAGCTCCTTAATCCCACTGCCATCTTCTGCAGGATTTGCAAGGCAACAGCCGACAAATTTCGATGGGAATTTCTTCAGAACACTGTCAATACGAAACTAAAATCATGTTGAATATAAGCTTGAATTAAATCACTGACATGGCATGCAATCTAAGGTCTGCCTTATTGGAGAATCAGTCAAAAACTTTGAATCTTGACACAGAACCAAGACCAACCTAGGCCCCAATAAATAATGCAACCCATAGTCACACAAAAAAAGGCAGTGCGACAGATACTCCTAAACTAAAACGATATGAGAGAAGCATATTGTTTAATTTAGCGTATGTTATTTCATTTCCATCCAATGTTCGAAAAGAGCTAACTTGTCATTCTTAAGTTGTGAAAGAACAACTATATCTTCAGTTAAGGGAAGGGACCTTGTTACTAAAGAATGATCAAACTTGTGATTGATGGGCTGCACAATGAGAGCTCCATCTACTCTTGCCTCTTCCATGTTCTAAGTTAAGAGGACAACCAACAACAAAACAGTCAACAGAGGAATGATGCAAAATAGCATCAAAGAAGAGAAAAGTTTCCAACTTTTGCCAAAACCCATGATAGACTTTGAGTTAAATGCCAAATCGCAACTTAAACCTTGAGCAAGAAATCGACATCACCAGTCAAAGTAGGTTCCTGGCCCGGAAAATAAGGATAAGTCGCGGCCTGAAAATTACAAATCGAGGATCCATTAGATCACTTACACAACAGATTAGTCATTATCAGTGTTAGTTCCAATGAGTATCTTCATCTTCAGTGGATTCCATATGATATTTGCTTACTAGTAAATCCGAATTTTCCACAATCGGAGATTCGAGTTAACAAAGAGTAAGAACTTTGACCTCTTGAGGAGAAGCCCAGATGTGGAGATGAGAATCGATTACTCTGGACCTAGACGACATCGTTTCAGGGTCAGACCCAACAATAGCCGCCATTTTCACCGTCCCGGAGGATGTTATCTCGGTACTATTCGATTTGCTTCCTAGCAGGCGTAAGGAAGACGTTAAAGGATGACTGGGAAACGCTAAAAGACTCGTTAATCTCATACTCACAGCCATATCCACGAGGAATATCGGTCAATATGATTAACACATATTTTTAAAAATATTAAAATTATAAAATATAATGAAATAAAATTGTATGACCAATAAAAAAAAAGAGAAAGATTATTACTTTTTGGTGCTTGCATGATAATATCAAAACCACGTATTAACCGCCTCTAATCTCTTCCATAAGTTTTTCCTAAACGAACAAGGATTAACTCGAATTTCTATAAAATCAAGAAACATTGTTTGTACATACGTCTATATATACCATCGATTCTACTTCTTCACATAATTAAGTGCTTTGCTTTGTTGATCCAGCTAAAACAATCTACCTCTCTCTCTTAGATTTTCTCTGGGACATTCTGTCGAACACATGGCCGGCAGAAAATACAACCTAAACGGTGCCCATTACGGGCTTCCGATCAATACTCCGGCAAAAACCTACGGCCGACGCGGCGCCGATGTAGGTTGCGGAATCTGTCGTTGCTGCTTCAATTGCCTCGCTTGCTGCGGAGGTTGCCTCTTGAGCATCATCTGCAACATCCTCATCGGCGTAGCCGTTTTCCTCGGAATCGTCGCTTTAATCCTCTGGTTTATACTCCGACCCAACGTCGTGAAATTCCAAGTCGCGGACGCAAATCTAACGCGGTTCGATCTCGACCCTCAAAGCAATAACCTCCATTACAACCTCTCGTTGAATTTCTCTATACGTAACCCGAACCGACGTCTCGGGATCCACTACGATCAGTTAGAGGCGAGTGGTTACTACGGTGACCAGCGTTTCGCCGCCGTGAATATGTTGTCGTTTTACCAGGGACATAAGAACACGACGGAGATAGGAACAGAGTTTAACGGACAGAGGCTGGTTTTGTTAGGCGCCGGTGGCCGGGAGGATCTCAGGGAGGATCAGAAGTCGGGGATTTACAGGATCGACGTGAAGCTGAGGTTTAAGATTAGGTTCAAGTTTGGGTTTTTGAACTCATGGGCCTTTAGGCCTAAGGTTAAGTGTCATCTCAAGGTTCCGTTGACTTCCGCTAATTCTACCGGAGGGTTCCAGTTTCATCCTACCAAATGTCACGTTGACCTTTGAAGACTAATCAGATTTTTTTTGTTTTACTTGTTTTTCTTTTTCTTTTCAGGTTTTCATAGATTTTGTGGTGTTTTTTTCTTCTTTTTAGACTCTATGTGGTATAGAGAACCTACATTTATTATCTTCTGAAATTCGTTAGTTTTAGTTGATTCAAATATCAAATTCTATATGGTTAACTAACAATCTATATAGCTTTTCTTGGGTTACTTGTGGCCATCCAAAATCGTAACTCAACTAAACTTCAGAAGTCAACAGTAATTCAAATAATAACTCGCTCTAATCTGAATACTGGAGATTACAATACAATGGTCTCAAATTGCTAAGCAAGTTGGTAGCGTTACGTGATTTTAACCGTGAAAAGATAAAACGATATGACAACAATCCGACGTAGTTTTACTAATTTCCTACCAAAACATGGTTTTGTTAATTTCTCTCCAAAACATAATTATGATATTTTTCAGCGAAAAGGAGTTACGTATTTTTTTGGCTCATAATATTATTATGCATGCAGATCAATACGAAAACGAAAGTGAATTTGAAACTGAGCAAATAGTAAAATCCTTATTATTATTTGATTATTCGAACATTGTGCATGCATTGCGTCGTTAATAATGGTAAACAGTTGCGTCATATCGGAGTACAGCATCGCCGGTCTTCATGTCGATCTGGTGCGTTTTGATTTTGATGAAACCTCTCGCCATCCTGAATTTCCCTCGGCCGCCGACTATCGAGACCTCTCTCCCTCCGGGCTCTTCCGCCACCGGATTCCTCGAGAAGACGCTAATCGAGCTTCCGTTAAACTTTCCCGTCGTGAACGCCAAATCGACGTACATCACGATCATGAATTTGTCCATATTTTTGCTCCCGGAGACGTACATCCCACGACCGTTCCCGATCTCCTTCGAATCTTTCTCCGGCCCGACGGTGAGCGGATCGTCAATCGCGAATAGGCTTCCGAACCCCACCGGCGAATCTTCGCTGCCGGTGAGATTGGCGTGTGCGATTCTGACGGCGCTAGGGTTTTGCCCACTCAGGATATCGTGGAGGAAGAAGCAGACGCGTGTCACTTTCTCCTCCTTTAGATTAGCCGGCTTGGTCTTCCCGTAGTAGTAGTTGTTGGAATCGCTACTCGCCGTAACGGCCACGGTTAAACATAGCGCCAAGCATAATGTTATTATCCCGCTTTTCATCATCATCTTTTTTTTTTGGCTGATACTAAAAATTTCCAAGCAAAATGGGATTTACCATAACATAAGCAACACTAAAAAAAAAAAAGCTGTAAACAAAGATATAGCAGCACGTGTAGCAGTTTGAGTGATGACACGGAGAAAACTTGCGTAACAATCTACACACGTGGAAGTAAGTCTAAAGTTGAGCTGGAGCTGTAGGACGTGCTGAATATTTCAAGATTCTGGTTAAATACATTACGAGAAGTTTTTCTATGCTTATAGCATTTAGTTTGAGCTTTTTCTGCTGCGTTTTTTAATCGACTGAAAAAACATATACGGATTTCTTTCAACTTTTTTTGGAATCTCCTTCATTATTTTAGCAAAAATAGAATGAAATGATCGTCAAAAAAAAATGAAATGATCTTCTTTTGTTCTTCAGTTGAAAAGAGATGTTTTGAGCGGAGAAGCGCTTTGATAAACAGATTTGATTTTGACTGACTCAATTAAGGTCTTAGTGTTTGCTCTATTAGACAAGAAAAATCGCATTTTTCAGAAGGTGACTTGGATAAAGAGTTTGGAGTACCTTGAGACTATTTCGGAAAATATGTGATGTTTCATTTACTTTAGGAGAAGATAAGAAAATAGAAGATTCATTTGAAGAGTTGGAGAAATCAACAAGCGGAGTCTCGGCTATGGTTAGTCGCAAGTCCTATTATGTATAAATAAGCATGTTAGGACTTTGTAAGGTTCTTAACACAACTGAGAGAATTTTTAGCAAAGGATAAACGATTATTTTGTAAGAAATTGTGAGCTAGAGTGCTAAGAGATTTGGGTGAGAGACTCTTAAATCACGTATATATTCAAAAACAAAGTGAAGTTAGAATAACAAATCAAGGAATGTCTTGAGTTTGATTTAAATTAGGGTCTGTATACTTGTAAGTTACAAAACAGATTTGTTAGTAATATATTTTTGTGTTGAGAAAATCGATGTGTTATGATCTGTGTTAGTTTCCAAGTTACAGCTCTTGCATTTTAAAAAATCCTTCAAAAAACAAGACAAAAATCATTAAGTCAAAGTATGCAAAGCAAGATTTCATCCTCAGTTAGTGTATCAGAGTTTTTTCTGTTGCTTATGTTAATATGTTGTTTTGCGCACATACATATGTCATGTATTCCGTTGATTCCTTAGCTCTTTTCCCTCGCTTTAGATTTCTCTTATAACGTCCACTTACTTTTCTGTTTGCTTTAATTGCTTACTTCAATTTTGGCTTTAGACGTTTCAAACAGTCTTTATTGTCTTAGTGTCTTTCAAGCATGCGGCACTGCCTTGCTTTTCATTTTTTTCTTTCCGTCAAATTCAAAAATCGGGAGTTGTACTTGTTATATTCACTAAAAAGTTAAAACATTGTCAGTAAATTGGACACAATGTATTTGAAAAATATCTTAGACTTTCCAAACCATAAGTTGAATACGTCTCTCATCATGTGAACTATAACGCAATTGGTAGCTGAGACATACTCCAGTACAAGTGTACAACCAATCTCCTATAAATTAGTCAAAGTAAACGTCAACATCATTTGCATCTAAACAAAATAAGTACAGATTATGACTTAAATATATCTCTAATGGAATCGAATCCTATGACAAGGTAGACACTATTTGCAAACTTAGCGTTTAAGTCATAAATATAAGTCCACTTAAGAAGAACAACAAATAATAAGAGGAAACTGTGTCACCAAGATTAAAAAAAAAGCTAAAGGTAACTAACCAAATGACCCAATGATAATTTGCCACGTATACAGGGAAAGCGTCACGGACCACGGTGATGATGGTGGGCTAAAGTGACAGTCGTCATTATGACGGACCGCGTGGCATCACTTCTCTCACCAAATGCCTCTTCTTCTTTCTTTTTTTATGATAACGTTGATACGTCGAAGCCGGGACAAATTATTATAACTTGGCATTAGGTTTTAGGCTCGACTCCTTCACTTTATTTGGACTTTAGTTCAACAATAATTTGTTCGAATTTGGATATACATTGAACCGATTATTGTAACAGCTTGTTACTTTGTGCAACAATTGTAACCAAATATCTTAAAAAATCTGGAAAAAGCGATTCCTCTTTGATCTTACTTATTAGTTCAGCAAGGTTCCCTCATTTATTTCGGATTAGTTTAGATTTTGGATAATCATTTGAGATATATAGAATTTAATATCATACTACTGTATGTTTCATTAAAAAGGTAATATCTGAAATAAAGGTGGTTAACAAGTTATGTAGCTGATTAGATAATGGAATACATAGATGCTATAAGAAGAAAAAATAATATAATTGAGTAGAGGAGATTGGTCGCACTAAACTTCTACTAATTTTTTTGCTTATACTAACGACGACGACTTATCCCAGCTGGAATCTTAAACCGGAGCACGAGGCTCTGTAACGGTCCAAAATTCCAGCTGGATAGCATAACTACCCTTAGGCGCACTCTAACCTAATCCACTTCAGTCAACTTTAACCTACGCCTTACTTATATAGCGCACTCTAGCATGACAGTTATTCCACCGCCGGTCGCTTTTGTTGTTTTACCGGCGATTTGCGATATTTCGATTTATCTTTCTATCCATTAATAATAACAGAAGCGCGATTTTTTTTATTTTTTTTTAATTTGAATGAACAAATCGACATGCAAATGAATCTACACGACGAATAAATATTTAGAGCAGGACGATGTGAAGAAAAGCTAGAAGTCAGCGGTTTTCCGGTGAGATGTTCGGCGACGGGGAAGTGATTTCGTCGCGTAGCTTTCCGTTTCTTGCAGGTTCCTTATGCTACTACGGATTGCTAAAGTGTCTGACCTGATGAATCCAGAGATATCGCCATTTTCGTCGGAATCTAAAAACATTCAATCAGAAATTCAGATCCAGATTGTAAATGGTGGATTAGCCAATGCGTAACAGAAATGAATTTCACTGGGATTCAAATATGAGCAGAGATTGAATCGAATCTGCATTGTACCTAGATGCTTTGAAGGACGCATGAATCCGTTAAACTGAGCCAAATCTGAGAAAATTTTGAAAACGAAGAAACGAAACGGATCAAAAAACGATAAACATATAGAAGATCGAAACCAGTAAATCAACGGATTTCGATGGGAGAACGAACCTGATTGCGACGGAGCGTGAGAAGAGAGGTAGAGAATGATAAAACAGATAAGAGTGAGAACAGGAATGAAGTGGACGAGTTTCTCTTGCTTCTGATGCGTCGCCGCGAAAGGCGATTGCAGCGATAACCGCCTCGGCTTAAAGTCCTTGAGCTCGTGATCGTCGTAATCTGCCGGTGAAGACGACGAAGAAGGAGGAGATGAAGCTGACTCTTTCCGCTTTAAGTCATCGATATCATAGGTATCGTCCTTCCGTCCTCCATAGCTATAGAGCTTCGAAGCTGAAGAGTCAAGCGAAAGCCTCTGCATCGCCGACAGAGAGAGAAAGGAAGGAGAGGGCTAGAGAGAGAAATCTTAGTGAAGGTATATATGATTCGTATCAAATAAATATTGGTGAGTGAGTACCACACAACAAACAAAAATATACGCATGATTTTCGTATTAAATAGGAAATAATTACTGTGAGATTATATTTATTTCCAATAACGAGAATTGTCGTATCTACTGCTCATTTACTGTGAGATTTATATTAAAAAATTCGGCCACTGGAGTGTAGAAATCGAACGGTGACGGAACGGATTAATCTGTTTGCTGAACCTTGTTTCTGTTTTTAGAGGGAATAACAATTTGTTGCAGACTAATTCTCACCACAAATATTTAACCGAGACATTATAACAGAGACACAAACAAAATTTTTGAAAGAGTATTTAGATAACTTTGAAAATTATGATTCCCAAACGGATAATTTGGATATTCAAGATAATTATCCGACTAATATTTTATTCGTTCGATTAGCTTATCGTGATCCAAATCAACAGATAATTTTGATTATCGCTACTGGATAATTTTAGATGATTTAAGCCGGGTACGGATAAAATCGAGTGATCTGACCCAGAGTACACAACTTCGGTTATTTTCATGGCTACAAAAGCCCAGCCCATTAAGACCTGAAAGCAATACAATATTCTTGTCAAACAAGTAAAATAGACGGCGAGGATTGCATCGCAGATCAAACAACCCAGTACTATAAACTAGAAAGACGATCTGTGAATGCGAGGGGAAGGAGACTGAAAATTTCTGGCGGCTCTCGAAGGAATGTTGTAGAATTTATACGCCGAGGAAGAAGAAGGTAACAAGGAGGAAGAAGATAATTTCAGGAAGCAATGGTGTTGTGGGAGCTAACTCTGGGAACAGCGTACTTTCTGGGACTGAGGCGGACTTACCGGCTCGCATTGAAGATCCAGCGTCGCGTAGTTAGCACTAAGCATCCAAGGGTCCGGAAATTTCTCCATCGGTAAATTTTCTTTCGAAGATTCGTCATCTTTTGTTTTTTTTTGGGATTTCGCGATTCTCGGTTTGGGATTTGGTTGCCTCTGATGTTGGTTTGATAGTGCGTTTGAGCTACAATCGGTGTGCGATATCAGTTTTTAAGTTGATAAATGCCTCTAATGGACGTTTCTTTCTGGCTATTTATGGTGCTTTTGTTCCCATGGAAGTTTTGTTGTTCCGATTCTTGTTTCAATATAATCCTGTAATGGTTTAAGCATTGCAATCAGCGAGTTCGGATTTACAAAGTAGAATTAAGAGGTAGCTTAGTCTGATTTTGGTGATATGGGTTTGTTGAAACTAGCTCATTTTTCCCAGGAGATCAATTTACTGTGGGGATTTAGATCTCGTAATACATTGCTTGACCCATTCGATGTGAGATTCAAGAATTGTGTGACACCAAAGCTTGTGCATTTTATTCATAGAGATAATTAGATAGAACCTCTGATGTTTGCTGGATTGATTGAAGCCCTATATTGTGCCGGTATGGGATTTTGATTTGTTCTTGTTGCTGGGAAAAGATTTCTTGATGCTAAGGTCATAGCGTCATTAGATAATGATATTGTTTAACCAGTAATGAGTTGTGTATCCGAAATATCCATTGTCGACTAATAGGATTGGTGCTCTCTATTGCCTTCTGTTGATGCAGGAGGACTCATCAAATATTTGATGTGGCACTTAGGGTCCACAAGAACATACAACAGAGAGACATGGAAATTGGTCGGAACGTAGGAAACTGGATTCTCCGCTGGCTCAACCGGATGAAGCCATCGGCTCAAGTTCTACTACCAAAACATACGGAGCCTAGCATAGCCAAGGCGAAGAGACTATTAGAATCAACCCGTCTCAAACCACATGCCAACACGCAGACTCCTCAGAACACTGAAGCCGGTAAGCACTTGTTCTTGTCCTTGAGGAACCTCCGTCCCAAGTTATCACCGACTGTCTCGAAGATGATGATGTTAAAGCTGCCAAGACCCACTGGAAGTACCACTCAGTACAGGAATTACAGTGAATTCAGCCTTATTAAACCGATTTATGCTAGAGGCGGGTTTAATGGTGTTATCAGGAAGGACATTTTGGAGTGGATGGTGCAGAGATGAAGCCGTCAAAATTCATCAATGGTCCGCTTGTTTTCCGACATTCTATCTGTTTCTGACATAACAACAGCTGACAAATACACTCTAAAGGAAACACTTAATAAACTGTTTATCTCTTTATTCGAGTTTTTAAATAATTGGTTGAATGATCGGAAATTCGCCCGGAGTACTAAAAAAATTTTCGACAAATATTACTTTCTTGATAAATACGTTTATTTGTTGTTCTTACAAGTCACAACCAGAAATGTCCAGTGAGAGATTCTGGATTCTGGGTGTTTCAATCTATGGTATGGTCACTCTCGATTATGCTTTGGAAAACTGGATCCGACTGGCCCAAAGGTTGGCTGTTTCATTATCATTCCTCAAAACTTCTTTGGACCAGAACTGAACTTATCCTTAATTTGTGACAAACAAGCAAGTCGAATTTAACAGTCTCCTCCAGTAATCTGCATTAAGCATTATTATGTTGTTGTGTCTAGTGATTATGGTTTTTACACGAAGCCTGCTATATATACCTTCTCAAATATATATTTTAGAGCTCAAGCAGAGAGCTTCCTTCTCTACCAAGCACGAAAAGCCCACCGTCTCCTCTTGAAATCCTGAGATCCTTGTCGAGATAAGTGGTCAGGAGCCAAGAGCTGCCACGGTTCCCCGGAAACGGAAGCTTGAGAGGAGGCTGACCAGAGATTGCGCGTGAAATGTTTGCTGCCACATCTTGTAAAGGGTCCAAAGATTGCTTCAGAAACGAAAGGCTAATCTGCTGCCCAAAGACACCCACACTCTCTGGGAGATCCACTGTTGATTTGATCTCTGGAGGTCTTAGCGTACCTTCTTTGAAAGAAACCTGACATTCACCAAAATACATAGTGAAAAAACAGATGATGATACCCAATATGGCTACTACCATTCTACAAAGAAACTCTTTTTTGGACATAGTGTAGTCTTGTCGATAAAAGGAACGTAATCTAAAGCGCAAACTGTTAATGCTTCAATGATCTTCAGTTACCTCAATTCTGGAAGGGCTTCGAACTTCAAATGAAGCAGAAGCACTGAATGAGAAATCTGCAAATGGGCTGGAGAGTGTAGTCGAGTTGTCTATACAGAGATTCTTTGTGTCTATAGACTGACTTATACTTTTCACTTTCAACAAAGGTGTCGAACCCGCAGCTAGAAGAGGAAGCAACTCGGAGAAAGCAGTGTACCTGTTTCATAACCCAAGATCACAATAAACAACAGTAATGTTACATTATAATGGGTTATTATGCTTTCACAATGTCTCATTCTCAAAAAATAATTAATTTATGAGGATAAGATCATAAGTCATCACAGTGTTCCGATTCTCAGCCACAATCTACGTTTCTACTAAATCGAAGCAAGATCATTGGATATACAGTAGAAAGGATTCACCAAGGACTTACAGCAAAACCCAGTTGCCGTCGAGAAGCTCCGGATTCTCTACCGGAGCCGGAGTAGGATTGAGAGCTTCCAATTGATTCACGAGCTCCAACACCTCCGCCCGAACTTCCGAGTTAGCTCGGAACCCTAATTCAGTTCCGTAAACCGTATCGGCCAAACACCTTTTCAGCTCCCAAGTCGGGTCGGGCACCGCATTTCCGTTTCCGGCGTCGACTTCAGCTTCTCCGTCATTTCTTTCCTCCCACTCGTCCTCGTTCCTTGGAGGATCCGATTCCGGAAACCGGGTCCCGGAGTCCTCAGGTGCGGGTTCAGATTTCTCTCCCCACTCGTCCGTAATCGCAGACGCAGTATCTGGCTGAGATTCGGGTCCTTTCTCAGTTCCCGGAGGCTGAGATTCTGGTTCGATCACAGTTCTCAGTTTCTCACCCAATTCATCTGTAACTGAAGACGCACCTTCCGGTTCGGAGTCTGATTCCGAGGGCCGAGAAGATCGGATTTCAGAACACCGGAGAGGCCTGGGACGATGACCAAATGAGAAAGAGAGAGAATTAGGTTTTAGGGAAATAGAAGGAGAGAAGGTCTTGCTGGAGGAAATAAAGAGGAGTGAAGGACGAGCGGTGGTGAAGAGCGTAGCCATGGCCAATCTCTGTGTTCTTCTCTTCTCGCTCTGCGAGAAAAATGGAAAAGAAGATTACTAAAGTATCAAAAATCACACGAAATTTAGATGACCCCAGAAAAAACGGAATTTAAAACTATATTAAAAAATATATATATATAAACAACGGCGTGTCTGATGGGCTTATGAAAACCTCACTGGCCCCACATGACGTTGACTGCACTTCAAACTAGAATATCTTTGAGCCCGGGCCTGAAACCCAAATAAATCCCGAAGTATGTAAAAAAATGGATATTTTGACATAATTATGAGATTTAGTTGTTGGAAAGTATCAAGAAGAGTCTCCGAAACCAAATTTTTCCTGCATCACCAGGATATGGTGACTTAGATATAATCATCATGCATACTTTTTTAATAAAATAGTGTCCATCTATTTAAGTGACCTTTGCTTACTCATGCCTATATCACCCAAGTAGAAGACATTGGGCTCTAGTCCCACTCCTTTGTAAATTTATCTTTCATTGGAATTGTAGAGCTATGGACGTGTACATACTACATACACATAATAAACACAACATTATTATGTCTGAAGACATGTCTTATTTACAATGCCATTTAATTGGTTACATAAGATCTAGTCTTTTTTTCTTAAACACAGGTTCTGTTGTTGCACTAACCCATGACTAGAATTCTGTTAGATATACACACTTCATGTTGGAGATGTATTCATTACCTGTAAAGATTCTGTGTTATGTAGAACAGTAGAAGTAGAATGAGAATGATGAAATTGATCCGTAGCTGAACCTAAACAATTGGGCCTAAAATTGGACCCAAAATTTCTGGTTTAGGCCCATTACAACAGTCGGTATTTGTCTCCTTCCCTTATCCGCGTAATATGTCAGAGGAGTTTGAAATCACTCCATCAATGGCTGCTTTTTCTTCTTCAACTGCTTCTGGTTTGGCTACAGTCTTCTTCTACTCTCCTTCCCTAAACCCTATCAATGGTCAAGCTACCCTCTCTTCTTCGTCTCGGATTCGCTCCTCGCCTCGCGTTCTCAGGGGAATTCATAGCCTCCGACGCCGCGGATTCCGGCGATTCTCTCAGAATGTTACCGCCGACCGGTCCAATAGCTTCTCGTGTAACTTCTTTTCCGCCATATCCACTAGCACTCTCGATTACGAGGTGAGTTTTTAGTATTCACGTCTCGGATTCTTTGTAATCCAGATTCAAGTGGTTTCTGAATCAATCAGATCGCATTTTAGTTTTACATTTCCACTGCTACACTAATAGTATCAGTGAAATGGATGCTCATGGAAAATTATGTAGTAATAATGCGTATAAAATGCTGGTTTTCAAGGTCTATATACTATGAATCTATGATCATGTTGCTGCTTGTTGTACATTTCTATAAAGCTAATCAGAGAAGTAAAAAATTGAATCATTGTTTGAGTGTATGATGCAGTTCACGGATGGTGGCAAAGAGGTGGAATTAAGATTGAGGTTGAGGAAAGGTGAGACACTTTCTCCAAAGGATATATCCGTAGACGCAGATGGAACATCGTTAGCGGTCAAAGAGAAGCGGAACGGGTTGCTGATTACGCTTCTAGAGACTAACCAGCTCTTTGAGAAAATTATGCCTTCCGAAACTATATGGTAGAATCTTTCAATTGTGTTTTGGCTAGTTGTTGTGCTGTGACATTTCATTTTAAGAGCTGAAGTTTTGGTTTTTTCCAATCCAGAACAGGTATATAGACGAAGATCAGTTGGTTGTAAACTTGAAAAAAGTGGATGGGGAATTGAAGTGGCCTGACATTGTTGAGTCCTGGGAATCTTTGACTGCTGGAATGATGCAGCTTCTTAAAGGGGCATCTATCTACATTGTGGGAGATTCAACGGAGATTAACCAAAAAGTTTCTCGTGAGCTAGCGGTTGGCCTTGGGTATGCATGATGCTTTTCGTTTAATAGTGAAAACTTGTTCAGAGTCTTATATGATTGCTATGATCTGCAGGTATAGTCCTCTAGATTCAAAGGAATTGCTGGAGAGCTTTTCAAAGCAAACAATCGATTCTTGTGAGTCTGGTTTTGGAACATTGATCATCTCTATCAAGTAACCTTTCTCGCTTCTCAGGAACCTTTTGTTTTTCTCCATTTTTTAGGGATACTTGCAGAAGGGCCGGATTCTGTAGCTGAAGCAGAGAGTTCGGTGTTGGAAAGCTTGAGCAGGTAAATATAGTCATCTCTAGTGTTCCACTCTCTTTTCAGTTGCTAGTCAAGGTTGGATAACAATTCACATGGTTTTTGCAGTCATGTCCGTACTGTTGTCTCAACTTTGGGAGGTAAACATGGAGCTGCGGGGAGAGCTGATAAGTGGAGACATCTTTACTCTGGATTTACTGTCTGGGTATCACAGACTGAAGCTACAGGTCGATTCTCTCAGCATCCGTTTAAAAGTGACCCTTATCAACAAAAAGAAACCAAAGTGTCATTGCTTATACATCCAAGATTGTTTGTGAATGCAGATGAGGAATCAGCGAAAGAAGAAGCAAGGCGAAACAAGCAAGAGAGGGAGATTGGGTATTCTAACGCAGACGTGGTGGTGAAACTCCAAGGTTGGGACCCGACGCATGCCAAGAGCGTGGCTCAGGCGTCATTGAGTGCACTCAAGCAACTGATTATCTCAGACAAGGGGCTTCCAGGTAATAAGACAGAAGAAACAAGTTGTAGATTTTTGTGATTTATCTGATCATATCATTAAATGGGTGGTTTATGATTTTGAAGGTAAGAAGAGTCTGTACATAAGGTTGGGCTGCCGTGGCGATTGGCCAAATATCAAACCGCCGGGATGGGATCCGTCGTCTGACACTGGAGCTCATCCACAGTTTACATAAACAGTCTCAAAATGCTCTTTTGCTCTCTTGTCTCTCCCTCCTATAAATTATAAAACTAGCCACTTGCATTGTTCTTCAAGAGTTCTTATTAATATTATGCTGTTATTATTTTCAAAGTCGTTAACAATTTTTCTGTAGAACTAGTTTAATATTCGATGGTTAGAGTTTTGACTATCGAATAAGCTAGAGCTGATGAATCCTACTTCATATCTCACCACTACAAAAGAAAGTTAAAAAATAAAATAAAAAAGCTGTTGATCAATTGAAGAAATATGACGACAATGGAGATTAGTTTCATAAAGAGTAGTAACTAAAACAATACTAATACGTTCCTAAAACCGCCGTTTGTCCTAATCTAATTATAAAGTTTCACGACAGCACAAAGAAGTCGACACATTTTTCTAGACCCAACCAATAAAAACAAAAGAGAAGAACCTCGCTCTTTCGTCGTCATCATTCATCATCATCTTCACAAGCCACCTGTGTGGTCGGTTTCATTTTCATGGCAGAGTGTGGCAAGCGTTGAAGAGCTGTTATGGTGGTTCTCAGCAGATCATCGTCTCCTACAATCATCCGCAGCTTCTTCGAGAATTCTTGTCTTGAGATCTTCTTCTCCTGAAACATCACATAAGATTCAGTAAAACGATATGACAAATGGATCAAAAAGCAAAGATTCAACTACTATACCCTAAGCTGTTGGTAATCAGCAGAGATCAAATCCATGTCTTTCTGGGCAATTTTGCTTGAGATTGCATTGAACAGTAGAGGGAAAGGCATCCAATGAGAACCAGGCCTCCTACTGCTAGAACCAGCACTGTTGTTTTCGTTCCCTTTAGATCTTACTAAACCTTTATCTGATAACCTTCCAGGCCCCTGCTAAAAACAAACAAACAAGCCGCATTTTTGTTTTAGTACCAGTCAAAGATACACACTAACCACTCGAGAACGAGAAAGTTCTTCAGGTCCAATAAAACTCACATGTGAGAGAGCGCCTTGGCGTCCTTCCAAAGTGATCCCAGAGTTCCCTGAAAAAACAGTATAATGTCATCTAGTTTCGGATACTGCAGAAAACAGAAATGCGAATGGTCGATATAACCATATGCATTAGCCATGAATGTCTCACTGGACCCCCAGAGGTTGACACATGCTAATCCTTTACTAAATTAGAGAAGAAAAATTCAGGTTCCAAAATAGCTGAATCTTCAGCAAAATGCTGTCTCCCATTCAATGCGTCATCAGTTGATTTTGATGGATATTATACTTGTACGTTAACTTTTGTGGAGAATAGGGAGAAATCACCTTCAGCATTGGGGATAGACAACTTGAAGCTAACTACAAATTCTGGGTAAATGTGAGTGTTCATATTCATGTTCCAGACAATATAATGCTTTGGACTCGAGACATTATCAACTCCATTATCATACTCTTCTCCACTAGTAAAGAATTGCCCTTTATCACCACGAAGAAGCTCCATACTCCCCATTATTACACGGCACAAAACCATGTAACGTACACCATTTTCATCAACATCACAATGTGTAGCACTGTAAACAATATCTTTCACGTGTGCTTAGAGAGAAACATAAAACAAAATGAATTAAACCGTGGAAAAGAAAAATTAGCAGGAAACAGGTTAAATGAGAGAGCAACAAAGATTGAGGGAGAAAGAAAAACCTGAAATAAGGGCAGTTCGCAGCAGATAAGTGAACCCCAACACCATACATGGACTTTCTAATGAATGCTCCACCCACTCCAAGTCCATGCTTCATAACTGCAGATAACAATTCCTTCTTCGCAGGAACCCATGCATATCTAATGTTCGCATCTCCTCGCTGGTTCTTAGTGATATCAGCTTGTTTCTGGAAAAGAGACTGACGGCCTTTGGCGATGTCACTTGACAACCGATACGCATCAAGCAACTCTACATGTCCTAGAGTGGCTGTACCTAAAAGAAACATTTCTTTCACAGCATCTATCTCAAGTTCTTTCTCATCAGGCTTGACACTAGAGAATATAGTTCCTGTTTCGTCCCATTTCTCGGCAGCATCATCATTAAGCTCACGACTGGAGCTATCCTCTGATGCCTCACCGTATTGCCCATTCGAAGATTGCTGAACAACTTGAATATCATCCATTTCGTCACTGAACCCCTTCAAGTTCAGGCTCGGTGTTTTCCCACCATTGACATCAATTTCAAGGTGCAGCTTGATCTCACATTGATCATGCTGTTCCGGATCTTCCTTTCCCACACTGTCATAAACTTCGGGGAAAAAGCATTTTCCAGCAATGTCAATCCATGCAAGCTGGGTTTTGACACCCGTTTCCAAGTCTAGTCGATGCATGTGTAAGAAATCCAGAACAAAATGGCGATCGCACCAGTTTACCTCAACTGCAGCCTTCTTTGCTTCAAGATCATTCCTAATGGCACAAATAATATGCTCAGGCAAATCAACCCATTCATCGTTATCATAGAACATTACACGCTTTGGCACTCCCGTCTTCTTGAAATAAGAGTAGTATCTGACCAAAGACATCCCAGAGTGATTCTCAGAAACATTAACTTTGTTTCCACCATCCAATTTTCTCTTTTTCTCAAGCTTTTCGCTTGAACTATTTGGTGAGAGCACACATTGCAGCTTTGCACATGACCTTCCAGAATCATATGAAGTATAGTACGCAGGATGCTTTCTCTTTTTGCCAAGTTCATCTTTAAAACTACTATCCAATACCTTGACGATTTTGGCTTCCATTTCTATCTACTAACAACTCTAAACCTAAAACCTTGAACAGAAAATCAACTAACACTTCTAAATCTCTAGCAGTCCTAAAGATGGCAGCAAATCACAAACAGCATCGAAAAAACCTGCAAGAGAAAAAAGGGGAATGTGTCAGAAAACTGAAGTGAACTTATATAAAGTATATAAATATCAGAATGAGGGTTCACATGGAAATAATTTCAAAGTTCAATAAAGAAGTATAAAATAGAATGACTCATCATCATGCAATAATGCAATAACCCATATCACCAAAAGACTTTGCTTAAAGCACCATCAAATATCAACTATATGAACAGTGATTCTCAAGTTTTTTCTGCAAAAAGATCAAGCTAAACAGAAACAACACTGTCGATACAAATGTCTTACAGGTGTTTGTATTATAAACGAGGATTTCAGGAGGAGAACAGACTCAGTATTCAATATTGGGTAAAACATGGATGATCCTTGCTTCGACAGGCAAAATCCCCTTACAATCTCAGGCTCATATATCCATGAACCAGAGAGATTACAAGAAAGGAAAGAAGTTACAAAAAAACTACTCGAGGGTGAAAAACAGGTAAAACAAAAATAGGACAGTGACTTAACAGGCGAGATCTTAAAACAGACTGAAGCACAAAACATACCAACACGCCTCCAGAAACAAAAAAAAAACAACAATCACTAATCCATAGTAGACAGAGTTGTAAACCCATGAGTAGACTAACCCGGCTGAATTGTCTTCATCTTGGGTGCCTTCTCTCTTAGAAAAATAAAAGTAATCAGATAAGAAACGTCACAGTCTTTCTTCGGTTCTTACAAACGTGTCCCTGCAAGGCAAGCCAAAAAAATTCCAACTTTCAATGGCAGAAACAGGCCCAACATATTTGACCAAAAGCTGTCAAGATAAGCAGCTCTCTTGCATTTAGGTGAATCCATCAATCATAACAAAAACCACATGATTATGCAGCTTAGATAAGAATCATTGCAAAAGATTAAACAAAACACTTTTCAATAGTACACATTTTTTTCTTTGGGGTTTAAATATTAGACATGTAGAAAATCATGCATAGCAGTAGCACCATAATTTGCTTATAACACAGTAAACCATAAAATTGACCTCAGAATAACACGAATAATCGAAAGCAAATTTTGAAACGTTGACTAAAAAGTAACACCAATTCACAGTCTCAGAGATAAACTCGAGGATCAACAAGATTAAAAAAAAAAAAAAAGACAAATTTAGACAAAAAGAAAATTAACCTTACGCTTCACTCAGATAGATCGCAAAGGTAAGGGTATTCTGCATAGAAGAATGGTAGAGCAAGGAAAACCCTAAGCCGGCGACGACGAATCGAAGAAGACAAGACACTTTTATAAGTTTCTCCGGCGAAGAAGCTATTAGTCGGCGATGCTTTGGAATTTGCGTGGACAAAAGGCTAATCCTTCAGGAAAGAAAAAGTCACGTGCTGTTATTTTTCTTTACGTCAAAGCTCAAATCTAATTGGACCGTGACCTACCTTCTGTGCCCATCAAATCAATTATTATTTTTTTCATCAACTATGCCGGTTTGACCTACGCGGCGGTTATTTACAACAATTACTCGTGAAACAACGTCGTTTCACCGAAAGTAAGCATACTCGTGAGAAGAAAAATTGAGGAGCGAAGAAGAAGCAGAAGCAGAAGGAAGACGACAAAGTGTTGTTGCTCTTGGAAGAAATGGCGAGATCGACTAGTAAGGATGCTCAGGATCTCTTCCATTCTCTTCGTTCTGCTTATGCCGCTACACCAACGAATCTCAAGGTCCACCATTCTCATTTTCTTTTTGTGCTTGATCTTGCCTTACATTTATGGATCATCGGATTTTTCAATTTGTTTCGAAACTGAGAATCACATTCGTATTCTTTATCGGAATCGTTTTTGGCAGCTCATCGACCTGTATGTTTGTTTTGCGGTCTTCACAGCTCTGATCCAGGTATACTCTAATCTCCATTTCCTGCTTCAACTATGTTTCTCGATTCATTATGTATGGGGATATGAGTTTTGATGTTAATGGCCTGCGAGTATTTGATTGAAATCCCGAATCTTTGGATTGTATATATTTTCGGCTCGGAGATTGATTGAATTCATATGTTGATCCAAAAATGTAGCTAATGATGAACTCTACAGTAGTCAACTAGAAAGACACTAAAGTTAGATATACTTGTTTCTGCAATTGGAGTTCATCACTTTGCTGTTGTATGTTTGCTCCAAGTTTTCACAATTAAAGACACAAGTCATTGCATTGTCTATATCAAGAAATGAAACATCTTTTGCATCCTTATGTAAATTATACAGAATTTTCTGGATAAACAGATTTGAATTCTCAGTTGCTTTAAGAATCTGGTTAATTAGTTTTAATCTCTTGATAATTTTCATTAACCAGGTTGCTTACATGGCTCTCGTGGGATCGTTTCCATTCAACTCATTTCTCTCAGGAGTTCTCTCGTGTATCGGAACAGCAGTTCTTGCTGGTAAGTAGTGTGTGTTTTTTGAACATACAAGTTTCTCTACCTGTCTACCTGTTCTAAAAGATTAGCTTATGAATGTTTGGATACCAAAATGGTAATCTTTTTGTCTCGTGTACTTAGTCTGCCTCCGGATTCAAGTGAACAAAGAAAACAAGGAATTTAAGGTAACATTCTCTTATTCAGACAAAACAAATCAAAGTTTCTTTAACTCATCAATAATCATTACGCTTCTCCGATCTAATCTCAATATCTGGAATTCTAGCTCGACTGATCTTTGTTTTCCTTTCAAATGTTGCAGGATTTAGCACCAGAGCGAGCTTTTGCTGATTTTGTTCTCTGCAACTTGGTCCTGCACCTGGTGATCATAAACTTTCTCGGATAATCCTCTCAACTTACTACCTCCTCATAAACTTGCTCTCAACAATTACTACAGTGCTTTCATACATCAAACACCTGTAGTACAGATATTTAAGATTTTTATCAGAGCAGCAACTTTTGTCCTAATGCATAGATGTTCGTTTTTTTTCTTTTTGTAATGAGACTTTATCAAGTGATGGAGCCAACCACACGGCCACTTAAGGTTCTATACCAACAGTGAGATAAAGATATGATTACAAAATATCAACATCAGCAAAACACACAATTAGCGATTGCTTTTCTGAATTTATATGACACTTGAGTTCAATAGCAACCGCTGATTACACATTCACCAAGTGAAGCGAAGAGAAGAAAAAAAACTGAAAAATCTGATAAATTAAAAAGGGTACATTGCCATAATAGCCTCAAATTCGCTTCTGCAACTACAATAAAAACGTTAAAAGGAATTTTTACTCCCAATTGCTACTTTTTAACTTACACACACACTTTGGACCGACCATCCTCAAGATGGGCTAAAGAACTACTCCGAACCAATTGATCTCTGATACCTAAAATCCTACAACCAACTGTTAGCAAAGAACCGCGGAGTGTTGTTGTAGCTGCTACTTTTTATAACTGTGTTAGGAATTGGTTTTGCTGTATTTCTTTTCACATTGACTCTTTGTAGGCATCAACCTTTGTCTCTGCGACACCTGTTTGATTGGAGTCTGGTTCTCCGTCGTCCTTATCCATGTTTATCCCTTCAAGTGGAGGGAATGATAATAGTTGGTCCTGCAAGAACAAAAAAAAGAAAAAAACAGAAGACGAAGAGTTTCACTGTCTGTGTCTGATGTCAAGTGAGTCCATGACCTGGTACTCGTTAAGCTTGGGTAGTTGGCTCTAAAACAAAATCTGGAAAGGTTTTCTTCTTTTACCTTGAGAGAGGTATTCTCAGCGCTGAGCTCTTCGCACTGGCTCTTGAGCTTGTTGATTTCTGCTCTTAGGCTAGTATTTTCTTCACTCAACACCTCAGCTCGTTGTGCCAGCTCATCACATTCGGCCTGAAACGCAAAAACTTCTTCAGCTTCCATAGTTACTGCTCATATGGGCGTGCTAGAGGCGATCTAAATGGCTTGACTAGTACCTGTTTACGCAACCTGGATCTTCGAGCAGACTCTCTATTGGACTGCTTCCGTCTCTGTCGCTTAAGTTCTCTATCGTCCTAAATGCAAGACAAAGCAAATTTTGAGTTTGGGGACCAAAAAACCTTGAATCTATGAGAAGGATTAGGGCATAAAAAGCATACCTGTAACCAGGGTTGTGAATGGCCACCATCTCGCGAGCCTGGTGCAACAACTCCAGGAACTGGTGTAGATACTTTTCCATGCATTCCAGGAATAGCGGATGAAGTAGGAGCACCCCAATAATCCATTCCAATATTTAAATTTGTTGGTGGGCCTGGAACACCTGCAGCTGTCATTGGCATGATTGGCACGGTCTGACTCACCGGTAGAAGAGGTGTACCAACACTTCCATTTCTGGGACCATTAGCAGAACCACCATTCTCTGATGCTACTTTAGGTGATTTGCAAAACAATGAAGTACTTTATGGTAAGCAAGCTTTGACAAGGTTAGTCACATGATAGAAATGAATTAAAAATGGAAGGAAAATGAAAGGATTCATAAACCAACCATCCTTCCCGTCTTGTCCTGATCCAGAGTCCTACAAGGATTGCAAAGCAAATCAGAATCACTATCATAATTACTATAGGAACTCCTCACCCTCATACGCAGAGAGAATATCTTAAAGACTTTTCAACCCCAATGATCTAACAGGAACCATTTATGGAGCACGGTATACAAGTGAAAAGTTTTGTGCGCCGATGTGTACAATTCAAGTGTTCTAGCAACAATCAACATTCATGGAATATCCATGAGAAATCCAAGGGGTTGCTGGATAAAAGGACCCTAAATTCAGATCATGCAAGTTCTTAGCAAATAAGTTTATTAATAACTCAAATGAAGGATTACAGAGTCGACCAAAAAGGTAATCCCCATGAAACAGTGCCCTATCCCAACATGGTTGCCAGAAAGAATGCATACCAACGTAATTACGAGTAAAATGACAAGCCTGATGATAAGTTTCAGAAACTTACATTTTGAGAGTTTGCATCACTTCCTTCACTTGAACCATCAGACGCACTCTCCCCACTGGAACAAAAAAATTCCAACAATCTCAGAGCAATAATAGAATGTATATTATCTAACGAAGCTAGCATAAGTCCAAAAGAGGTCAGAGTCTAGAGATAATTAACATCCTATATAACAGCCTCACATACAGTATGCCATATCCATAAGTCCACAAGAGGTCATAGCAGAGGTTACATGCCTTTTAGAGTAAGCTCCATTAGCTGATCCTCCCGAGTTTTTTCCAGGCTCATTGTTTTTTCCTGTAATCATGTTCAAACTTCCCAAGCTTCCTCTTGATCTTTTGATAGGCAATTTTTCCTTAACATCAGATTGCTTAGCTTCACCTTCAGTGCCGCCTGTAGTATTGCCCTGCAGAAAAGCATCTCTCGATTACGATCCCACGATAAACAAAGGTAGCAAATACCATTGGAAAAGAGTCCAATGAAAAAATGATGGGGCGTAAACTCACAGAAGCTTCTGTCATTCCATTTGGAGAAGGCATAGCATACGGACTATATGGATAAGAACCCTGATACAGAATGGGACATGTTAAGGAAATGATTAACAGCCACCATTTCAATACATGTCCACTGCAATAGAATATCTACAGTATGACTGTACCGGAGGCATTGAAGGATGCGCGTACATGCCACCTGGGGGATACATTGCAACATACGGATGAGGCGGAGTTCCATAAGGAGGCATCATATGCTGCAAAAGTTGATGTCACATTCAGCAATCAATCAAACCTATGGTGATATTGATAAAGAGCAGAACGGATTCGTTATTGTAATGGGAGCTAATCTTGATTACGAACAAGACCAATTCACAAAACAATCAGAATATCAATATCAAACGCTAACATTCATGTACACTAAACCCCCAACCTCAAAGAAATACAAAAAGGAAAAGTCAATCAGTCATTTGCAACTTTCCAGCACACTGAACACCAATACACACATGACAATAAAAATCGATTAATGTAATGTAAGCCAGTGTACCTGTACCCCCCACATATAAGGGTGAGGTTGGGGACTTGATGCCACATAACCATGTGGCGGCATAGGAGAATATGCCTGTCAAAGGAGAAGAAAAAAAAAGAAAGAAAGAAACCCATGGCGTCAAATACAAAAGAAAAGAAAACAGACCACAGATCCATAGAAGGAGGAATCTTTCTTAAACCTGAAAACCAGACCAATCTGGAGTAGCCATGCCAGCACTCACAGCCGATGAAGGTTCCTGCAAACACATAATATTCATATAGCACTAACAGGGATACAGAATCATAAATAAGCTGAAATGCAGGATTTTTGAAAATATTTCTATTTCCTTTTTAGTATCTTAATTCTAGTCGCTAAAGTCATGGGATATGTTTCCTTTTTCAAATTATGGTCTTTTATCTAAAAATTGGAAGTAGAGATGGGAAAACGCAAACCTGTGAAGAGGGAGGAGCAGAAGAAGAAGAAGGCGGAGTTTTAGGTTCCTTCTCTTTACTTGATTTGTCCATCTCGCTGCTAGCCATTATCACATTCACCGATTTTTAAACAACCCCGCGAGAGCTTCCTACAAGACGAACTTAGCTAATTCACGACAAGATCTACTTGATGCATAAACCCTACAACATCCAACAATTAAGCATCCCAGCTAAATTGATATTAGAGATTTCGAGACCAATACAGCTCCTAAGAACCAGAGACTATTATATTGACAATCCAACAGCTAAAAGGTATCTAGTCTCTTTCTCCGGATGATGCAGGAAAAACAGTGTGAATGTAATAATGTCGAAGCTGATAAATACCATAACACAAAATCCAGAAGGATAAACATAGAGCCCCCGAAAAGCCCTAGAAAACTCAATTGAATTCAGAACAGAAACGTAAAATCAAACTGGAGATGGGACTGCAATACCAAACGACCGGTTATGTTTGAAACTTTGAGCACAACTGGAGATGCAGGTATGAATCTGTAAACTTAAGTTTGCAGAGATTTAGGGAATCTATGTCTTAACCAAGAAAAATTGGCTGATTGTTTGTGTTTTCTGACGGAGAAGAAGGGGGCGTGAAGTTCACGAGGAATAAAAAAATTGTGTCTTTCCTGTAATTAAGTATTTATATAAAAATCCCTTCCTTAGAACTTATTTATGAGTACCCATGTAAATATGTACAGCCTATCAATAGCCTACCCCAAATTGCCAATATTCATTATTCAAAAAGGAGGAATTTCGTTTTACCCAGTTGAAAAGGAAGTTTTTTCCAACCAAATTTTGATAGTTGTTGACTTTGTTATATGTATATGAATACATAAGCTTGAAATCCAAAATATAATTCAGTTGTTTTTAACTATAAGTTTATTCTTAGAAAATAGATTGATATAATGGTATTCAATGACTCATTGGTAGCCATTAGCCAATATGTAAGCTTATGTTATTTTTTCATCACAAATCCACATAACCATTTTAAGGGTTTTTTCAATAAATCTATATATAACTATAAGATATTTTATGCCAAAATAATTAGGAAACTCTATTTCATGTAAGTGAAAGTACTTGGATTAATCTAATTTCCTATTTTTAGGAGATAAAATCTGGATTAAAAAATTGTCAACTCAATGTGAAATGTAAAAGTCTAAAAAATGTTGTATGTAAATTCTCATAAAAACTATTAGGCACAAGAGATACATTTTAAAACTAAGAGGGTGAGAAATATAAATAATGAAAGACTTAGGGTGAGAAAAGGAAGAGAAGAAAACGCAGCTCTCTTTGGCCCTCTTTCAAAGGTGAAGTTTTGAAGGCGTCTCTGTCTTGTGTCTTCGTCTACACAGCAATGGCAGCTTCGGAATCAGACCCAGATACTGGAAATGAAGCAATACACCACAAAACCATAGCGGAATCGAGATTCAATTGCGGTGACTTGATGTCGGCCCTTAATCACGCGCGGAAAGCCCTCAGCTTGTCTCCGAACACGGAAGGTGTATCTTCCATGGTCACCGCCTTCGAGATCATCAGCTTTGCCGCCGGAGATACGCCGGAATGGTATAAGATTCTAAAGGTAGAGCCTTTCTCTCACATAGATACCATAAAACAACAGTATAGGAAGCTAGCTTTGGTGTTGCATCCTGATAAGAATCCATACGCCGGGTGCGAGGAAGGATTCAAGCTTGTGAACGAGGCTTTTAAGGTTTTCTCTGATAGGGTTAGGAGGGCTGAGTATGATATGAAGCTGAGGATAAGGATTCAGGGGGAGTTAGAGAGTGGTGCTTGTGGTGGTGATGATGAAACGTTTTCGACGGTTTGCTCGTGTTGCGGGTCGGTGCATAAGTTTGATAGGAAGTATTTGGGGCACAATTTGATGTGCCCTAGTTGCAAGAAGAATTTTGAGGCAAAGGAAGTTGAGAAGGAAGAAGAGGGAAGCGAAAATGGAGCTTGTACTTCCAAGATCATAACATATAGTAGGAGAAAGAAGCGTGTTGGTGAGGATGGTGAAACTCTGAGAAGAGCGAGTGAGACGGGAGAGATGAGAGAGGAAGAAGCAGAAGCTTTAAATGCATCTGAGAGGTTGGATGAAGAAGATGAAGGGATGATGACTTTAGCAGAAATGCAATCAGTGATAAAGAGAAATAAACCGAAGGTAAAGTCGAAGATCAGTGAGAAAAATAGCTCTAGAGAAGAAAAGATGGGAAGGGAAGCGCAGGAGATATCTTCCTGTGATGTCTCAATGACTGAAACTCTAATGGAGATGATTACTAACAACGAGAATGAAAAGCTAGAAGCTTTAAAGAATAGGAAGAATACAAAGAAGAAGAAGACGACGAATCACAAGGAGGTAGCTGAGATAGTGGATTTAGAATATCTGCCACGGGTTGATAGGAAAGGGGATCGTGGTAAGTTGAGCCAAGAAGTGTACATGGAAGACGAGGATTTCGAATTGTATAATTTTGATAAGGACAGAATGCCGAGGAGCTTCAAGAAAGGGCAGGTTTGGGCGATATACGATGGTAGTGATGACAAAATGCCTCGGAGTTACTGTTTGGTAAGTGAAGTCGTCTCTTTGAACCCTTTTAAGGTATGGATAAGCTGGTTGGATTTTGAGAGCGAGAAACTGATCTCTTGGATGAAGATGAGTTCTTCTCATATGCCCTGTGGGAGGTTCCGCGTTTCAGAGAAAGTTTTGATCGAACAAGTGAAACCGTTCTCTCACGTTGTCAACTGCGAAAGGGCTGCACGAGAAGTATACCAAATATATCCCAGGAAAGGCTCGGTCTGGGCTGTCTACTCAGAGAAAAGTCCAGGTCTTCAGAGAAGAAAGACCAGATGCTATGAGATTGTTGTGTGTTTGACGATGTATAGCGATGTGTATGGCTTGAGTGTGGCTTATTTGGAGAAGGTTAACGAGTGTAACGATTTGTTCAAGAGACGGGATTACGGGTATAATGCGGTCAGGTGGATCGAGAAAGAGGATGTTGCGGCCTTGCTCTCTCACCAGATTCCGGCCAAGAAGCTGCCGGAAGATGAATCTGGAGCTGGTCTGAAAGAGTCTTGGGTGCTTGATCTTGCTTCTGTTCCTCCTGATTTGGTTTCTGCCACTTAGTAAACGTAGATGGTTCTTCCTTTCTTTCTTTCTCTTTTTTTTTCTCATCATCATGATCAAGAGAAACAGACATTTTCATGTCAATATTTGTCTAATTTAGTAATTTTGATTTAGATCTACAGTAATCGAAAACTCCAAATCTTACTATCACAAAAATGATTTAATTGTACATACACTTGCTTAACTTAAATATTTATACAGAATGTTGATAGTTTATGTGCCAAACCTAGTTTTATTACCAAAAAAAAAAAAACATACAGTGAATCACTGCATTTCTCTCTAAGGGTGGATTTTTATGGTTTGTAAAAAAGATCTTAGAAGAGGATGCATGTTTCTTGGTTAGGTTACGCGTTTAGACCATTTTTTTTTTCTTCATTGCATAAAAGATAGAGAATGCAGATTGTGAGATCTGTGAAGTAAAAAAACAATTGAAGAAAGGGGTTCAGATCTAAATCATGTGTGACTCTCATATCAATAAAAAACCTTTAGTGTCGTAATAATCGTGATCTTGTAAATACATTCTTAGAGTAATGATGATGTATCGATGTTCAGTGCGGATTTAATAGACTGCAACTCGTGTAGAACATCTTGCACACCTTGGCTCAAAAGCTCGAATTGTTGTTTTGGTATTTGATACATCACTTCACCTCCTTCACCTACGTGCTCCTCCATTTTCACTATCTCACTCAGAAGCTTCAATGCATTCATCATCCCTTCACCTCCTCCTTTGCTGCCAGCCCGAGTTTCTTTTGAAGATTCTTGTTTCGGATGAGCTTTGAGTCGGTGATCAGCAACATTTCTCTTAACAGCTGCAGGAGTGGCTCTAGATGGTGAAATCCGATTCGAGGTAATAGCTTCTGGGGATCTTTTTGGGGACTTCTTGCTTGTTAAACAAGGAGAAGGAGAAGATGAAGATGACGAATCATTTGGTCCTAATCTTGAAACTTTTTGTCTTGTGGGGTTAGCTTTCTTATTATATTTTTTCTCTTCCTTAGGAACAACAGGTGATGCTTTTGGTTTTATGATAGGAGTACCTGCACAAGGTAGTAACAAGTTAAATGAGAAATAAACGAAATCAGGAAACAATATGAGATCAAAACCTGTTAACATATCATTTTGATTACTTTTAGAGTTTTGCTTTTGAGGGAGTGACTGATGAGTCTTAGGTGAGCTAGCAGGCGAACCGGGAAGCAGAAACTTTACATGGCCATGATTTTTTATCTCCTGCGAGCCCCTTAGACCTCCTCTACGTTCTTTGACTTCATCTACTCCTCTTCCTGGTAATGGTTTCTTGACCCATTCAGTCTTCTTCAAAGGCTTTGATTGCTTATCCGCTTTCTCTGAACCTGTGAGACTCCTCGAAGAGCTACTTCCACTGCTTCTACCATTCACACTCTTTAAAGCCTCTCCTTTCAGCTCTGCTTTTGCTCCTAATGTTTTAGAGTTTCTTGGAGGAGAAGATTCAACCCTTGTCGTTGTTGTTGTTGTCCCTGTGGGTTTCTCTTTGAGAACCTTATGGGTACTTCTATCAGCCATGGACTGTAAAGTTGTAACAGACTGTTTCCACCATCTTATGTACTTAACCGTAACATCAGCTTGACGAAGCCTAGAAGGAATATACATCATTTCATCTGTAATTGGTCGGATATAATCTTTCCAAGCCAACTCCGGCGTCTCAATAAGCACCGGTACTACGCCAGGAACATCCTGATCATAACCAAACTGCAACGCCACACGGTGAGGATAATAAGGTTCAATGCAATTCAAACCCACCAGCTTAGAACATCTCAAACATCGACCAAAAGCTACAATGTCTTCATCCTCCAATGACACCCAACAGTCATCTTCCAAGTAAAACTTAGGGAATTTGTAGTTTTTCAAAGGTTTGGTATATGGACGGTAATCGAAACTCTCCTTAGCCGAATCAAGAACCGATCCGATACTCTCTCGGCTCTGGTTCGACTCATGACCACCACCGTGCTGGTGCCACAGTGCCATTCTTGGCTCATAAGGCTTTAACTGGCTAGGCTGGCCATGTGGACGCAGCTCACTGATTCTCTCCCAAGCCCAAACCTGCACAAACTGAAACGGTGAAGTAGCCGTCATCACCGCGTTCTCTTCCTCGCCGGAACCGAACAGCTGCTTCTTCAAAACTCCGAGATTGCTGTAAATCCCGGCAAGAACGGCTGGAGCCAGAGCAAGCCTAATGCCTCTAGCGAGCTGAACCGCAGCTGCAAATAGCTTATCTCTCACGAGATCAGCTGAATTTGGGAAGACGAAACGTGAGAGCCATGAAACCATGAACGCTTCATGCTCAATTTCATTCCCGGAGTTCATCATCTCCCTCATCCACAAACTAACGCAACATTTCTTCATCGAACTCGCCTCGATCTCGCGTTTCGCTCTCTTCAATTTCTCCTCTACGGATTTCATCGATTCGCGTTTGATCGAAGCCAGAACGTTGTTCCCGATGGCCGAGAATCCTCCGAGAACGATCATATCCTCTAGCGTCACCGTCGATTCACCCCAAGGGAACACAAATGAGTTAGTCTCGATGCACCATCTCTCCACCAACGCCATCATCAAATCGTCCTGCTTCGTTATCTGATACCGCGACGCCATAATCGCGTCGTAGACGCCGGATTTCCGCCACACCACCGCGTTTGACTCCGCCATCGCGTTTACCCACTCGATCCAATTCACCGACGGCGAACCCCAGCCGGAAAAGGAGAATTTCGCGGGCGGTTTCTCTGGATCTGACGTCTCTGGGCGTGACACGAACGCATCGAGCGGAAGCTCGAAAACGTCGTCGTCTATGGAGGTGGTTGTGTAATTAAGGAACCTCGCGGTTCGAAGACCTTCGAATCTTCCGCCGTCGGGACACATCAGAGCTTGTCTAACTTGGACGATCCGTTCATCCTCCAGATCAGAAGAAGCTCGAGAATCCATCTGATCGGAGAAAACTTGTACGGGTTTTGGATCGATTTTCAGTATATCAGGAGGGGACAAAGGAAAAGAGAAAGAGAGAGAGAGAGAGAGGTGGAACAGCTAGAATTGCTAATTTGGGATCTCCGTCATGGCTAACGACGGCGGTCTCGATTTTCCCGGCAGATCCACCTCTGACTTTCCCGCTAAAACTGTTATTTATAGAAATTCAGTTCAAGTTTTATAACACGCGTTCATATCTCAAAGGGCTATAAAACTTGTCTACGTTCATCCAATGGCTACAAAAACCACAAAAGGAGTTTTCAGCTTATATGTGAAATTTTATTCTGAAACAAACTTTTTGATTGTGATACTTTTGAAGTTTATAAAGACATGAAAATACGTATACTCTATATAGAATATACCTGAATTTCCTAAACTAAGATATAAAAATACATAAATGGAAAGAATACAAAGATACTCTCACTAAACTAAAATATAACATATTAAGATATTTCCCTTTATGAAAAACGCTATCTCTCAACTATTTAAATAAATGGAAAAAGGAATACAAAAGTAAACTATCTCTACTAAAATACTAATAAATATCAACCATATTCTGAAATTACGATTTCAATTTTTTTTTTTTGCCAAACCCAAAAAATTAAAAATATTGTCGATTGAAACCCTAGATATAAAACGCTAGTTTTCAATTTTTTCTATTGTTTTTCTCAAAAACGCTAAGTTTGGCCTTAACCATTGTAGACAGACGCACACAGACATTTACACTTACACGACATGTCTAGTTGGCAACGGATTTTCTTGAGGGTGCAAATCGATCAGTAGAATAATATTGTCTGAAGCTTCAGTTTTTCCTGTGTATAACCATGCACTATGATCCCTGCAACCATGATCCGATGCTTTCACATGTTGCGACATCGAAAACGGTTAGTAGAAGAATATTCCATAGAATTTTTTTTCTTTGTAACATGTGCGATTTTTGGACGAAACAAGCAATGATGGTTGTGCATAATCGTTGTCTTTGGCTTCGGTGCTTTTCTGTTTGCAATTCTAATAAAAAAAGTACAAAAACAGATAAGACGACGAGAACACTTCCAATAAAAATATCTAGTTTCAGAATTTTTTCGACAAAACTTTGACTGATGAGAACTTACATTCATAAATCTATATATTCATAGCGGTTGTTAATCTCCATTACACCATATTTTATGTAAAATATGTTCGCATTGTCTTCTTAATTCCATCAATATACATTTATAAGGAATGTAATATGTACTTTTACAGATATTCATGCATTGTAGCATTTTGGTCTCTCCTCGAGTCTCTATAAAAAAAGTTAACCTTTGTTTAAAAAATAAATAAATAGATAAATTAAAAAGTTACCTAGAAATAGCTGCATCCGTACAACTTTAGTTTAGCCACCCATAGTATAGAAAATGCAAGATAAAAATGCAAGATAAAAATGCAAAAATCAAACTTGAAAATCTTTGAGGGTCAGCTACATGTACTTATTACGCCATAAGTCCTATTTTTCAGCCTGAATCAGTTAGTTGTTCATAAATTCTCTTGATTAAAAATTTTTCAGATTCACTCCATGTAAAGACGATATCAGTAAAGTTACTCCATCGGTTTATAGATTATTGCTTTGTAATTATAGGATATATTGCATTATCCGAAATTCCCATCCAGTATTTTATCAGTAATACATCGGGTTAATATTTTTCAATATCCAAATTACCATTTCTAATCGTCACCCACTACTTAATCTTCCGATTCCCGAAATGGACAGACGTAGTTAAACCCACATCTATCATATATATTATAAGCAAAGTAAAATTTTGAATTAAAACCTTCTCATTTAATTTCAGAGTGGTTAATTACTCTTTATCCCTCCTTATATCTTTCTAAAATAAAATTTAATAAAAAAAAATTATTAAAAATCGAAAATTAATAAAATTTATTATTAAAAATCGTAAAGAGTTAAAGCCCTCTCATTCAATTTCAAAGTGGTTAATTACCCTTTACCCCTTCTTATATTTTTCTAAAATAAAATTTAATAAAAAAAATTATTAAAAATCGAAAATTAATAAAATTTATTATTAAAAATCGTAAATTAATAAAAAATTATTAAAATCGGAATTTAATAAAAAATATTTAAATTTTGAAAAATATTAAAAATTGTAAATTAATAAAAATTATATAAATCAGAATTTAATAAAAAACATTTAAATTTTAAAAATTTATTAAAAATTGGAATTTGATAAAAAAAACATTAAAATGATATCATATATATTATTAAAAATCGTAAATTAATAAAAAAAATTATTAAAATCGGAATTTAATAAAAAAATATTTAAATTTTAAAAAATATTAAAAATTGTAAATTAATAAAAATTATATAAATCAAAATTTAATCAAAAAACATTGAAATTTTAAAAATTTATTAAAAATTGGAATTTGATAAAAAAAAACATTAAAATGATATCATATATACTATATGCGAAGTAAATTTTTCGCTATAAGTTCTCTTATTCAATTTAGGTGACTAATCATCATAGTATATATTAAAAACGAAGTGAATTTTAGCTTTAAAGACTTCTCATTCAATCTCAGCGTGGTTAATTATTTTTTTGTCCCTTTCTAAAAGGTCATTAATATCCTTTAATTGGTTAAAATTAAGTTTTATTTATAATTAACTATACCAAATTTTGTTACCATGAAGTTAATATTGGATCTTTAAATGCTATAAAATTGTATGGTTTTGTATATGAAAGCCCCAAGGCTCTCACTTTAGCCATAATCTCCGATTAGTCAGAGCTTCTTCTTCAACTGGTGGTTTCTGTGTTTTGACGTTTGAGTTGTATTGCTTTATTAAAATTTTTGAATTAAGGTTTTTGGTTTAAAAGCTTTCGGTTTGTGTTCATGATGAATGAGGACGATTGAGTATTTAAGCTTTGCGATTAATTTCCATCGATATTGCTCTATAAGTTTATGACCAATCGGATCCCATACTGTTTATGCTCCTCCATCTCAACTTTGTTTCTGTTTTCGGAATGTGTCTGGTTTATCCAAAAATAATTTTGCTTCGGACTTGAGATTCTATTTGGATTTCATGTTTAAGGTGTATTCATCTCAGTTAAATTTTGAGGAATCAAAGTGATGTTAATCATACTGATTTAGCGTTGTTTATTGTGATGTCCAGTTATAGTGAAGAATATATTCACAAGCATAAAATCGTAGCAAAACAAAAAAAAAAATTCACAAGCATAAAAAAGATCATATTGAACGAGTTTCTACTGTTCTCTAAGCCAAGTCGAATTGATCGCTCTGCTTCTTCACTCTAATTATAGTAAAGACTGAAGAAATCGTTGGAATAAAGATTTCGATGAGCCCGAGACTCTTGCCCCAACCAGACTTTTTTGGCCGTGCGAAATACATGGTTATTCAAGGTGAACCAGGATGATGCATAATGGAATATAAATGGGAAATTATTGATTAAATTTAAAAAAACTAGACCAATCAGGGTTTTAAAATTATAATTTTCATGTTAAATCTTGTGGAATCGTTGAACAGAAAGTGTGATTTCACTAAAGACTGTTATTGGTAAAATCTTGCAATCATGCTAATTTAGGAATATTAGTAATGACACTTTCAGTGAACTTTTGTTACAACATTTTTCTTAAACGGACCAAAGTATTTATGTGGTTGATTTTACGATTGGATAATGGAATGTAGGAGGGTCTTGAATTGGAAATTTGCATATGGATACTACCTTGCTCATAATGAACATGCAAAGACACAATTTTTTCGAGTATTTGAAAGAGGCTTCATCATTGTGCAGAGATGTAGTTGGAACAGTTTGTCTCCGGAACTAATGAATCATCCAAAAGTTTCAATGATTTCGTTTGACTAAAGTAACCAAACCTACTTTGAAAAACACGTGAAAGCTTTGGAGAATGGTCTTGCTGATGTGGAACACAATGAGAGCACAAATCAACAACAGACTCTAGATCTTCTTTCAAATGACAAAGGTTGACAAAGGTCTAAGAAAGATCCAAGTGGTAAGTGAGAGATATTTCAGCTTCAGATTTATATTATTGGTGCAAAAAACCGTATGGTTTATTGCAAGTGGTATTTTCCAAATTAAGGATCATACCAAGTATTTGGTTTACAATTCGGAGGGACATATGAAAAATTGTAAGTTTATAGAATTGAGAAGCTATTGGTTAAGATAAATAAAGAATATATTTTTTCCCCTAAAAAAAACTTATAGCATCACTCCGCTAATTAAAAGATTTTTACTTCTTTCAATGCCTTTTAGAAAAAATAATCTCATTATGTAAATCTCAATAACAGAGTACATTGGTAAAGTTTTAAAAACCAGGAAATAGTCAAGACAATACCAGTAGGTACCTTACATAACGATCAAAGGGAAAATGAGAAACTCTTTACTATAGAGTATGGAAAAGACTGACTAAGGGGGCAGCTAAGTTGGACAGTCTCCTTCTCGGCAGCAATTCCCCTTGCCTTTTTTTCGTTCTCATGGCTCATCACATGTCTGAGCTAAGAGTTGGTATGGAGCTTTCACAAACACTAGCATTCGATGCAGCAGACCTTCTCCGACTGATCCGCGGCTGCTGTTTCTAACTAATTACTGTTGCTAAGCTCCCTTCGGGAGAGTGAGCTACACTTGCTTGTATTCTTTTTCAGGTCTCTACGAGCGGGGTTCCATACTGTTGACATGGTTAGCTCAGCAACACATGCTTAACACAGCAAAGGACCGTAGGCGCGCAGCGCTGCCTTCCTGGCTTGCTTGGGAGTAGCTGGCTCGCTTACTGTCCGCAAGGTTGGAAATTCCTGCGAGAAGGTAGGTGTAAACTCTCCTATGAGAGAGTCATCTTATTTATAATTGTTTAAGAATCTAATATTTTTTTAAAAAATAATTGGAAGAATATATGTCTCAAATAATAAATAATTTATTATGTGAAGATTATTCTTTCTACAAAATATAAGAAGTGAATACAGTTCTAATTTTTATGATTAAAAATTAAAACATGCTTTAGTTGTTTGGATTTATATATAATTTTGGAATTACTTTTTAGGCAATAAAGAATAACAACTTTAAGAGTGACTTGGTTTCAGCTTCCAAACTATATTTCAACTTTGTTTTAAGAGGAGAGTTCATATTAGAATACTCGGATAATATGTGTCTATGTTATCTTTGTGCTTCACTTCGCAAGATTTTTTGAAATTGATAGTTTATACAAAGATAATCAAGCCTATAAAATATGTGAAAATATACATCTGAAAACTTCCAAAAATAAATAGTAGAAGATAACACGAAGAAGGAATAAAACTAAAAAGAAGAAGAAAACACACAAAGAAGAAGTTTGTTTATTTAATATTTTATGTAAAACAATAAGAAATTGTAAAATATAGACTATATAAAAAATAATAGGAAGAAAAAAATTGAAAGAACAAGACAAAAAAAAAATTGAAAGAAAAGATGATGTTTCCATCCGTGCAACGCGATTTTGAGTAAGTTTTTCAAGTAAATTAGCGATTTTGAGTAAGTATTTTTAATGAAACATTTCCGCCCGTACAAGATGCGGGCTAAACACCTAGTTTGGTTGAATGATACATCTAGAAACATGAAGCAGTAGAAAAGCCATTAAAAGGCCTAAAGAAATAGCCCGATCTAGGCCCATAAAATTTATGGTTCGTCGAAAATAATCGATATTTTTATGCTTTTTTCATAATTTCATATCCCCAATGTTTTATAAGCATAAAAGTCGCGTGGGGCAATAAGAAGCGGATTGTTTTGAAATTCGGTGAACCCTAGAATTCTCAAAGCCAACGAATAATTAATTCATCCACCCAAGGTCACGCTTCAGAGAGAGAGATACTGGGCGGAGTGAAACGAGCATAGCGGCGAAGTGACGCCATTGGTGACTGAAGTTTTCTCTTGTTTTGCGTCTGCCGAAAGATCAGTTGTTCTTGAATTTGACAGGTATGATTGCTTTGAAACCCTAGCAGAAGATTTGATTTTGCATGGTTGATGGCTGCTAGTTCAGATTTTCCGCTCATGGGTCTTGGTTCTTCTTTCGCAAACTCTTTTGGGTTTGCCAATTTTCACTCAAACAATTCAAAAAGATAAAAGCTTCTCCTCTACATCTAGAGTATTGTACACTTTAGATGTGTTCCTACTAATATCTGTCTTGCGTCAAGTTTTGAGCATTAAGCTGAAGTACCTCCGCTATATTGATTGGTTCGGCTACTTCTTGAATATATATATATATATATATATATATGTTTGTGTGCATAATTAGGCATATTTCTGATTCTGTCTTTTAAACCTTGATTGAAAACTATTACTGGAAGAAAAACTATAGATTATGCTCATCGTTCCTCCGTGATATCCCAATCAAGGCATTAATTAGAGCATGTAGAATGTCTCTTTGATAGTTTTCTTGCTTCCGGATCCGTGTGTTGCTTCAGCTTAGTTTCAGTTATTGATTAGACATGCTGGCTAATCTTGTCTGCTCTTGAAATCAATGTAGAAAGCTGCTACGTGAGGGTGCGATCTTACCACTGAAGCTAGCTATCAAGATGAATAATTCGTATCCGTCACGAAACCATATTCAATCTGCCACAAGCGCAAGCAAGGACACAGGCTTGCCTACGTCTAATGCTCATTGGTTCCATTCCTATTTCCCTGTTCCAAGGACCACAGGCATTGATCTTTCTCAACTCTCTCAAGAAAATCCTTCTGAAGTTGTCATGGTGCCTCAAGCTCGTTTGTTTCCCCCTCCTACAAGAGATTCCAGAAGCGACATGGAAACTGTGAAACACAAGTCCTCGAAACTGTCTCCTTCAGAAGCTTTGAAGCCAAAACCACAAAAGAAGAAACGCTCTGCATCCAAAAATCCAAAGAAAACAGCACCGAGCGTTCCCGAAACAAAGCGCGAGAAAAAGAATCCAGACATCAACATTGACATCTCAAGCTTCGATGTTTCAGGGGTTCCTCCTCCGGTTTGTTCATGTACAGGAGTTCCAAGGGTTTGCTACAAATGGGGTATGGGCGGTTGGCAATCCTCGTGCTGTACCATTAGCATATCGACATATCCACTACCCATGAGCACCACAAGACCTGGAGTTCGTCTTGCTGGAAGAAAAATGAGCAATGGTGCTTATGTTAAGCTCCTTATGAGGCTTGCCGGTGAAGGCTATGACCTTACCCTCCCGGTTGACCTCAGGAACCATTGGGCCAGGCACGGTACTAACAAGTTTGTAACCATCAAGTAGCCGTTTTATCAATTAGGTTCGGTTTTAGGTTTTTAGCTTTTGTGGTGTCCTCGTATCTTCGTTTTAGTATTATTACCTTTCTGTACATATATGTCGTAGTGGCTTTAAAATCATAAAGGAGATTTAGTTGATCAAATAGGAGAAGACTTTTTTTTTTTAATCTTTCAGAAGAAATGTTTCTTAGAACAATTGGTATTAACAATGTTTGGTTGAATCTGGACTTGAATGTCTTTCGGGTGCCGTAAAGGAGGAGACTTTATGGATGGTTCTTTCTATTGAACGAATAGTTGTTTCTCTGCTGTTTCAATATTTCGGTTTTCCGTGAAAACAATAATCAGAAGCAATTGGTGTTTTCATCTGTTTCTTTTGGACTGCATTGCTATATGAAGCCTTGTTAGAATTTCGATCATCTTATTAAAAATGTTGAAGGCATACAACAAAACACAACACAAAAAAAACACAACATAGCATTATCGCAGACAATGGCACAATGGTACTTACACTAGTAGTAACTAGTAAGATAGTCTAATACTATAATCAAACCTTCTAAGAGCGCGGTATCGTGGAAGGTATTTGCTCTAGTATATGTATTGTATCCTCTTACTTGTTTCCCCTGAAGTAGAGGTATATTTTCTGCAGAATTCCCAACAATGGTGGAAACACATCAAGGCAGGAATTTAGCTAATATATGTTGGGATTCGCAGAAAAAAAAGGGTAGACTTGTATCATTTTACCTGGAGAACCCAAAGACTCAGAAGCGACTCCAAGCAGAAGAGACCGAAGCCGACAAAGTAGAAGATCTGCAGTAATAATCAAAGTCAAGCTAGTTAGCAACCAGGTTTCATGGTTAGTAGGAACTGACTTGGCAACAAACGTTTGATCCGCAATGAATATAGAAAGGAGGTCATGGTTCGTACCCCGGCTAATAAACTGGCTGAGATAACATCAATTGCTGCCAGCACACCCCTGTAGATTGGAAGAGTAAGGATCACTTGTCACAACTCAGGCAGTTAAGTAGATACAGAGACACATCATTATGGACGAGGCTTCATGCGCCAAAAGGTTTAGTTCAACGATTGCAAAGCTTGAGAAGGAGAAGAACTAAAGGAGCAATGATTGAAACTTACGTTAATGATTGTCCACGGAAAATGATCGGAGGAGCAATGGCAGCAAATATGCAAAAGCCAATGTGAATCTGTCAAGAGCAAAGTTCAATTATACAGAAACTAGAAAGTATACCAGCATAGAGTGAAGATAAAATGTTAAACTAGAGTAGAGAATTCTTTTCAATAAACTCACCAGGTAGAAGAAGAAAAACCAACCGAACTTGAAAGCGCTGTCAGTCCTGCAAGATGATAAGAAAACAATTCAGCTATAGGCAAAGTGCCAATATGACCCAGTGTAAGGGTAGTCAGATAAACGGGGCATCACCTCATTGCTCGGTAGAGAGGCCTGTACCATAATACATATGAAATTGGACATCCAAGCAGTGCATAGATTGTGGCTAGAAAAAAGATTTTGACTCCTGCCATTCGGATTTAAAACCCGCATTAGCTCAACCAAATCCAATCACAAATTTCATAATATAGTTCCCTGCATAGGGTGATTTTGTTATAGTATAAAAAAGCTCACCTCCGCCTTTAATCCAGCAGACTATCACTGCAATGACATTGAATACGAGACACAGAACTATACCTGAAAAATCAGACTCGAACAGTAACAAGCCCATCAGTTCACCGTTGCAGACTATATGCAGTTCGTGAGCAGGATAGATACGATTAATAAAACCTACCCAACCAACTAGCAAATGCCAGATATTGCAGTTTTTGTGCATGAACTGGTATCTCGTTAGCAATGTCGTGGTGTATAATTGGGAAAAAGGGTGGCCAGTTTTTATTGTTTATCTGCACACCAGCTGTGACAATTTTATGTGTTTCATTAGCAACTAACCAGAACAAAATTAAAAAACAAAAAAAAAGTGAAAACATAGTAGGTCATGAACCCTGTTGACTTACATTTAGCAATAGCGTCTTCTCTTCGTTTAATATCCTGAGTTAAGGAGTTAAATGAAAAAAATCAAACCAGCAAAAAGCCAAGAAACAGATGACAACGAACTAGTGATATCAGGTGTACTAGACTCTCAGTCACACTAATAATGTTAACCGATCCAGATCAGTGATACTAACCCTTTCTCTATTCCTAAGTTCTGCTTCCCAATCAGAAAGCTCTCTCTGTTTCTTTGAAGATTCCTGCACCAATTTAAACACAAATTTATAGAGAAATTCAAGTGAGAATGTGCATGAGTGTTACGGTACTAATGTTCTTACATTCACCGTATCCAACGGAATATCGACCGTAGCATCAAGGTTATTGCCAAACCCAACTGGCCTAGATGCCACAGGAACCCTTCCAGCGCCACCAGCTCCTTTCTAAAATAACAATATAAATATATATATTAAAACCACACATACTCATAGCCTGCGAGAAACTTCAACAGAAAAATTGATACAGCTAAAAAAAAACGAGGTTATACTACTTATTTAGCAAGGATTGAATCCCAACATTCTACCATATTTAAAGACTACACTATAAAGCAGTTCCAATAAATTTGGACCGGATAAACTTTCTGGCAAATTCGAGCATGATTGGCAGCTGCGAAGACACAGTTTCGATACCTTGACCTAGATAAGCAAGCTTATAGGTAAATCCAGACGAAAAATCCGAAGATCCATCAATTCAAAACCTTTGCATGTCCATAAACACCTTTCCTAGGGAAAGTTCAATCAGAAATGAGTGTTGCGGTTGTAGAGACTTCCGTTTCTGCTAATGTTCACTTTCCAGGAACTAATGAAACAAGTGCTGCGAGATCTAAGATTCTTAAGACTCTCGAGAACACATGAAAACTCAAAATCACCAATAAATTCCATCTCAAACCCGCGCGTCAGTCATGAATCTGAGAGGAAAGCTCATACAGAAAGAGAAAGGCGAGAGACTAGGGAAGAGTACAGAGAATAAGAAATTACTGAGAACGGATTGACGATTTCTTCTTCTTCTTCGTCGAAGGGATTGGGATCGTGTTGGCGATTCATTATTCACTTCTCAGCGGAGGGTGCGTAGAAGATGAACTGAGATCTTCCGGGGAGCGTAAAAATGAAACTAAATCCACCGACCGAGATAAGACTCCTTTCCTCCTTTACTCTTCCTTTCTCTCACGCGGGATTTCAAACCACTGTATTTACGAAATTGCCCCCAAAAGCTTTTCGAGTGTTCAAGTTCGTTAAGCCCAACCAAATAAAATTAGAGCCCAACTTGCTTTACGCGCGCGCGCGGCTTATTTTGTCAATTGTTTTGTATAGGAGTTACTTTTTCAAAAATATATTTAGGTTTGTAAATTGTAGCGCAAATTGGACAACGAGAGACATTTCAACTTATGCTGGAACATAAACTATGGCTAAAAAAGAAAAAAAAATCTTCAAAAGGTAAATAAAAAAGACCGAGGACTAAGGAAAGTTATTAGTTTGAAAAAAATTCGTCAAAAAAAACTCAATAGTCCCGAGCCTTTGCACACAAATTATGGGCAAAAAAAGATAAATCATGGGCAAAAAAAGATAAATTAAAAAGACCGAGTACTAAGTGAAGTTATTAGTTTCATAAATTTTCGTCTAAGAGTGGCCACAAAAAAAAAAACTCAGTAGTCCCGAGACTTTGGACACAAATTAATGCATAGAAGGATCAAGAACTTGACCAAGGAACAGAACAAGTCCGCTTCCGTATTCTTTGACGAGGAAGAGAAACGGATGATCAGCCACGAAGTCATACTTTTTTTTCGGAGGCATAGCAGCACCAACACCGATTACAGCAGCAGCAGCAGCAGCTTTCGATCCAACTTCATCGACATCGATGCAAGACTTGTGAATGATCGTCTCCAATGGCGGCAGATTCAAACCCAAACCCTTGATAGCTTCCGAGGCTTCGAAATCAAACGCAAATTTAAACCTTGGAATCTTGATTTTTCCAATACGTGCACGTTGGCCAAGAATGTCTCCTTCGCCACTCAAGAATCCAGGACAAGAAGCTAACCTCTCCAGCATTACAGGCAAACCATCTATCTCATCAGGGAGATAGATCTGCATTGAGAAACAACGCCAGTCTTCCTTGTAATCATCACGTCCTTCTCTGTAAGGTAGATCAAGGACTTTGAAACCTTGGTAAGCTTCGAGACTGTATCTGTAAGAGTAACCACCGGTCATGAAGGGCACACGCGCTTTGGTTCCATCAAGAAGGTGAAACTCGGAATCTTTTGTCAGCGATGGATCGAATTCTTCATCCCATCTTCCGTTGAAGAACAAGGCATTAGCGAATAGGACATCAGTCATAGGAGAAACAGATGAAAGTAGATCAGTGATGAGTCCTTTTGTCTGCTTTTCAACCCATGAATTCACCTCTTCAGTCACTTCATCAGCCTTTCAAAACAAAGAAACACAGAAAAATCTATCAATAACTTAGCCTATCCAACTTAAGCACACATCTAAGCATATAAGCCGATTTTTCGCTAAACTGTTCATTAGATTCTGCAGAATTTCGAACGAATCGGGGAAAATTGAAGGAAATAATTGGACACAGAAAATCTATCAATAACTTAGCGTATCCAACTTAAGCACACATCTAAGCATATATATATAAGCCGATTTTTTCGCTAAATTGTTCATTAGATTCTGCAGAATTTCGAACTGTTCATTAGATTCTGCAGAATTTCGAACAAATCGGGGAGAATTGAAGGAAATAATTGGGAAAAGATTGAAAAGAGTTTAGGGTTACCTTGGTGCGAAAATCGACTTGATTGAAAGAAGCCTTATACGAAGTCTCCAATAGATCTTTGAGAGAAGGATCGAGAGGGAGAGACTTATCGATCCAGACGCCATTCGCGGCCGAGATCGTTGGGCCGCCACTTGCGGTGCTGTCAGCGAGGACGGCGGTTACGATCTCGGAGGAGACGGCGTTAAGCTCCTCGGTCGAAGTAGCCTGTAATAAAGAGAGAATCTGGTCTTCAATGGCGCCGGGATATTTGACGGCGATGAAGCTGAGGATGACGTTGATTAAAGCCGGCGAGAAGACGAGGTTCGAGATTTTACCGGCGGTGGTGGCGATCACGTGCTTAGCCAACGTGAAACATGTCGCTTTGCTTCCTTATTGATTTTTCCAGGTCCATTTTTACCGGCCGGGTGAGACCGTAACTACCTAAGCCAAAAGATTGGGTGGGCTAGGGTAAACAACAAGATAAGCTAAATCAGTTTAGTTTAGAAACAAGTTTCCTATTAATCACTATTCCCTCCGTTTCACAAAGATTGTCGTTCTGACACTCTTCTTTTGTTTAAAAAAATGTCGTTTTAGAATTCCAATGTAATTTTTAACATAAAATACTATTTTTAACCTCAAAAAATTCAAAAAATTAATTATAAATATAATTACAAGAGTCATTTTCTGCAAATTAATAAGGGTATAAAAAACCTTTTATCTTATTTCTTAACTAGATTTTGCATCCACGCTACACGTGGATATTTTGTTGATTAAAATAATATGTAATTAATTATATTTATTAATATATAAATTTTATATATTAGAGTTTTAATAATATATTAAAATATTATAGTGTTGATCTAATAATTTTTATGTACATTGTGATATTTTAACGGTTTTGTTTTGAATCTATATACAATATATCATATTTCAAAAATATATTATTTAGTCAAACACTTATAAGTTAATATACCAAAACCAAATAAAATTTTTACAACTTAATAAAATGTTACTTTTTAAACATAGTATTAACATGATAATAAAATATTATACATTCACTTATTTAAATCAAAAATGTAATTTTTTCCATCATTTTTACTTATAAGTTAATCTTTTTTGATTAGTTTGTTTAGCAAATACAAATTTTTATTTTGATAAAATTAATTTAAAAAACAAACTAATAATTAAAATATTTGCTTTGAGATTAATAACAACTTTAAATTTGAAACTAAAACAATAGTTGAATATGAAATGAATAAAATCACACAAATTTGTGAATAAATATATTTTTGTCAATTTATAGTGTATTTAAATAATTTTAAATGATTATATGTCATCTCTTCTAATAAGAATGAAATTTTCTTTTCATCTTCTTCATTTTTATTCTTGTTATATCTGTTTTTTCAATTGAATCTATTATATTTATTTATTTTAATAATTTATGTATGATTATATTCAGTTTCATCATATTCATTCTCACTTCTAATTGTAATTAAGTAGATAAAATCAGTACAATTTAATACATACAAATTTATAAAAAATGAATAACAAATTGAACAACTCAAAACTAAGAACTTCTACATTAATATTTTGAATTCCAAATTGAATATATAAAATGTAAATTTTTTGATCAATTTTGCATAATATATTACATGAGGAAAAAAATATTACATACTTTCGCATAATATATTACATATTTCGATGAAATTGTTTTGCAAATGTTAAAAAAAAGATGAATATAAATCATAAATATTAGTTATTTAAAATTCTACATGAAAAGTTTTAAAATCAAGTAACTTAAACTGGTATAAGTAGTTATATTTTTTATAGATAATAAATTAAATTTGTGATTTAAACAGTGATAATGGAGATTTAATATCATGTTGATTTTTTTCTTGGTTAATAAAGATTTTTTTATTTTTTAATATATTTTTAATCATAAATATTAGAATTATGAAACTTTTTTTTAATTTATAATTTTGATATATACGAATAAAAATAAGAATTTAAATAGTGATGTGGATGCTTTGAAAATAATATAGCTTTAACTATCATTAATAATAGAATAATTTTAATTAACAAATTTTCCTATATTATTTTGTATAAACAAGATTTTATAATTTAGAGAAAATTTTAATTTTAGTTATTGATGTGAAATAATAAAGTTGACCTTTTATATTTTACGTAGATGTCCTTTGAGGCATATAGCTTTAACTTTTATTTTTCTTTAAATATATTTGTTTGTTAACAATATAATTTTAAAATTTAGAAATATTCTTAATTTTAAATATTGATGTTAACCAAGATAATTGAACTTTTAAATCTTATATGGACATTTTTAAAGGCATATAGCTATAACTTTTATTAATAATAGATTTAGAAATCAAAACTAAAAAATCTCACACGAGGCTCGTTGCGACAAATGATTTTAGCCTCTCCTCTTTATTATGAGGCTTCTCGAATGTATTCAGATACTGCTTGGTCAGCTAATTGTTACTTTTGTGGTTCATGTTGGGTTGTTAAAACCCATTCAGATGCTATGTTATTTCAAAACATTTCCTCAGATACCTCAATCTCCTCCGCTATGTTTTTTTTCTCTATTTTCAGTGTTTGGTTTTTCAAAAGTGTCGAGTATCAATCACTTGATATGTTTCTCGGATTGCTTGAAATTTATCATTGTTTTCAAATTTGGTGGCAAAGCTTTGGAGATTTTATGATATCTTTTTCAATATTAAAACGGCTTATAGTGTCTTTGTTTATATCTTTTTTCATTATATTCTTTATAATTTAGCTAATAATTAAACATATAGTTTAGTCAAGTTTGTTCTTGTAGTGGCTTTATTTATATCTTCATTATATTGTTTGTAGTTTAGCTAATAGTTAAACATATAATTTAGTCAAGTTAGTTCTTTTACGTTGTAATAACTCATTTTTTAGTGAAACCTTACTCTATCTTTTGTCTTAGTTTATTTTACATGGTTGCACACACAAGAAAAAAAACTTAAAAATTATTATAATTATGTGACAAAAAAATTGGATGTTCATATAAGAGTCTCTAAATATGTGTGTATATATCTAATTTAAATTTAAAATTTCCTATTTTAATATTGTTTATTTTAGTTTTTATTATTAATATCAATTTTATATATAATTTTTTTTTACTTTTAATAATTTTAAAAACAATAATAGAATTTGGAAATTTTTCAATTTTCAATGTTGAGGTGGACCAATAAATTTTTTTATAAGACCAATAAACTTTTTTAATTTCCTTTTTCAGCAATAATATTACAATTTGTAAATTTTCTTTAATATTGAATGTTGATGTGGACCAATAAAATTGATTTTTTAAATCATATGTGGATACATTCTTAATTTCCTTTTTTCAGCAATGATATTACAATTTGTAAATTTTTCTTATTTTTAAATGTTGATGTGGACCAATTAAATTAATTTCTTAAATCATATGTGGACACTCTTAAAAGTATTTAGCTTCAAATTTTATTAGTATAAGATTTGTGTGAAGAATGACATTCTTTGTGAAAGGGATGGAGTATTACCTTGAAAGAAGATTTGGGTTGAACATAGTAAATAGTTTTGAAACAGATTTTTGAGAGATTTTTGGTGTAGAAAATTTTGGTTTAATATTTTTTGGATAAGATAATCAAAATATTTGGGATTTGACCACGTATACATTTAGAATATTCTGTATAATACCCTTTTTATGAATCATTCTCTGAATCATTCTCTCTTCTTCAGATCTGAATTATTTACATATTCTAATTGCTATCAAGAAAGGAAAAACGACAAATTAGTGACATACGTAAGTTCAGAAACGTTCCTGAAAAAGAATACAACAGAGGTCTTGAGCTGGTTTAAAAATATAAGTTAATTATGATTATTGTCATTTGTCACAGACTCACAAAAAAAACAAATAGTATAATCCAACTACTAGTTTGATTTACAGCTTTCTCGATGTGAATTGATTAATTGAATGATTACTTTATTCTGTAAAATACAATGTAGCTGAACCAGAAAACATATCGCATTATTTTTATAAGCCTATAAGGGCATTATGTCATTTTTTGCAAGGCAATGAATCATCAATAATACAATTAATTAATTTTCAAAACCAAAGAAAAGTAGAAGCAGAAAACTAGAGGAGGCAGAAAGAAACCATAGGTCCATAACCGAGAATCTGTTGAAGCCAAGCAAAGCTTACAGCTAAGAAATTGTTTATCATCAACAGTCCACTGCAATATTCTGGAGACTTAGAGAAGCGATCTTTGTGGCTGCTTTTGTTATTCTCCTTTGGTGCTTTGGAGAATCTAATTCTCTTCGGACAAGTTTCTTTCTTCTACTGCTTCTTTTGTCTGTTTTCGTTGGAATAATTCAAAGTCAAGATCAAGGAAGGAGGATTCATCTTCTCCAAGAAATTGCGTAACCAGACAGAGTTCTAGGAAGAAAAAGGAATTCAATAGCATGGTTGGAATTTTCTCCAGATTTTCTGTTGGTAGAGGCGGCCATAGACGAACACAGAGTGCCATCGTAAGCTCTCTTTTCAACTTGCTTGTCTTACTCCTGTAGAGGTTTCAACTTTCATGGGCTCTAAGGTTCAAAGAAAATTTAAAGCTTTAGTTTTTTCTTCCATCTATTTTTTCTCTTGAAGTTCAACTTATATGAAACAGGGGATTTTTATATTTGTACTTGAGCGTTATGTTCACAGTGTTTTCTTGGATAAGCTCTCTTTAAGGTTTGTTTTTTCCGTTTTTACTCTGATCTTCTTCATACGCCAACAATTTGTGCTCACAATCTATGGGAAAATTGATCACATGCTTAAAATTGCTTGTCTTGTATATTTCCAGTTGAATCTTTTGAGGTCCTTTCATTAGTTCAAGCCAACACATTCTCTTTGTTCATAATATGCTTTCTGGAATATTACTTCCTTTGATAGATTTTAAGTTATACTTGAATCTGAGATCCTTTATTTCTCTGTTACAGTGTTTGCTTCTTCTTTTTTCAAGCTACATTTGATATGAATCTTGTCATATGATCAGGCTGAGAGGGGAGCATTGCCTCCAAGTTCTGATATTGTTGCTTCACCTAACACAGCACCCACTTCAACTCATGGGATCGAAGTAACAACAGAGTTTAAACCCGTGGAACACCCTTTCGAGCCTTTGGACAACGATCAACCGATCCAATGTCCACTCCCCGAGCCATCCATTCTCAATGTATGATCTTTGTTGTGACAAATGAAAAGATATGAGTATTAATTAGGAGAAAGATTTACTCTCTCTTTTTTGGCAGGAGGGGAGAATCTGGAAGGAGAGAGTGTCGGCTTCTTCGATGAGGAGACGAAGCGATTTGGCCATTGTTAAAGATGGAATGGGTGAAGAATCTGATGGCTCTTTGACAAAACCAATACGGACTAGCCAATCTAATCCTGACCGTCTGATTTTGCCTTCGCTCAGTGCACCTGAAAACAACTTGCTTAATCTACTAGATGATTGCAAAGCATCCGGCAGTATCTAAGAACCAAAGGTGGTTTATGCTCTTTTTTTCTTTTCCTTTTGTGTGTAAGAACAAAACCAAACCATAGTCAATGTTATAATACTTTATTGTTAACTCAATTCATAGAGCTCATGTTATGTGAATCATGAATGATACATTGTTTCGTTTGTTAAGTAGACTGATGATGCAGTCCCCACAGTACCTTGCATCACACGTCACGCAAGTTTCCTTCAATTTCCTAGTTCCCTTAACTGCATCGATTACATTTCAAATCTCCCATTTTGGTCTAGCAAGATTTACGAGCAGATCTTTGGTTGAAGACTTGAAGCAGACAATGAAACAGTAGGGTTCTACCACAGGTTCAGAGCTATCTGCTGAAACTCTAGGGCTCGTCGTGATCAATCGCATTTTTTGACAGCTAAATTCGCATGAGACTATGCTAGTTTTATAATAATCCATCCATTTTGAAGCATTAAGAAAATTAAAAATCAAACAAAACACATGGATAAAAATGAATCAATAAATAAAGCTCATCTCATCGTCAAGAAAATTACATAGCTGTCAACACGCCGCGAACTAGCTAACTACAAATCTCTAAAAAAGAAATTCAAATTTTCCTCCAATATTCATGTTGTGTTCATATCACATTCTGATTTTCTTCCAAGATTAAATTTTCTTTTAAATCTCCAAGAAGACGAACAAAACTCTGATTTGGTGTATACCTGTGTTGTGTTAAAGAAGATTAAATATTTTGCTCCTTTTTTTTCCCTTAGAGGTATTGTGTTTGTATCCTGTCTCTGTTCTGCTCCCACCATGTCTTGGCATGCACTTCCCCAAACCGTTCCCGACTGCAAACACCCGGTTCGATTTGGGTAACGGTTTAGATTGAAATACGGAAAATAAAAAGGGAAATGCAACAAGTGTGGATTGATTTTGTCTTGGATAACTAATTCTAACCGATTGTGTTACCTGAATCTAACGCGGCGTAATTCTCTGGTTCCGTCTGGTAGCTGTCTGATGGTAATGTAAACTCCAGGCTCGTCTTCTTCGACCCACTCTGCTTGCATTTCACTCGCATTGCTGACAGATGGCGGTTCGTCTCTAGACGATGTGGTGGTTCTTGCTGCGTCCATTTGAGGTCCATAGAAGTGATGTGGGACGCTACCTCCTGGAGGTCTGAAGTTGTTCCTCGGGGTCCAGTCTCTGCTTTCTCTTGCTGATTCGATTCTTGTGTATGTTGAATCTCTCTGTGACTGAAGAAGAAACAAACACAAGTCAAAAGTTGTATTACTCCTAAACCTTTCCTTTTGTGGGTATCAAGACAGAGCATCCACACATCAAGATTCTTGTCCAAAGAACAACTTATGTTTCTTACATACTCTATAGCTTTCAAAGAGTGATGTTTTTTACCTGGTCCTCTGATCTACCAGGGGTTTGAAGGGCTTGCCGATTGAATCTCTGAACATTGTAAAGCTCAACAATTCTGTCGTAGTTCTCACCCCACCACCTCTGAGCCTGCCACTTGTCGAATACCTCCCGGCTTCAACAAAGACATAAATAAAATCTTAGTTTCATTCTCCTGTTGAATCATTGTATGTCATGAAGTGACACTAGTGACCAACCTCTGACAGTAGTTACAGACAAAAACTAACTAAACTGGTTTGGAACAGTTCATACGACGTTTAGAGAAAGAACCTAGCCATTTACAAGTTACAAGAATACAGCTAACATAGTTTCAAGAAACATTCTAGTCACCAGTTCTGCTTTGTTTTCAGAGAAAGTGAACGGAATTCAAATACCTGAAACGTATCCGTTTAAGATCATTTCCTCCATTGGGAAGTGAGACGAATGTGATATGAACACCAGGCTCTACCTGAGCCATCCACTCCTTTGGCTCGTCATCCTCTAGTACCACATCACACGACTGAGCAGAGACAGATTCGCGTTCACCACCATACATTGATGTGAATCTTGAGTCTGCTCGTCCAGCTTGATGGTGAGACGAGCTTGTGAAGTCCCAAGCAGGTGTGGAACTCGTGCTTCCACCACCCATATAAGGGTATGGAACACTCTCCGATGCAGTGTCGAAATCCGGAAACTTTCTCTGTTCTTTCCTCAACGTGCTGCTTGACGAGCCAGCCGTTGGCTTGGATTGTTTATGAGAACCGGAGAATTTAGACGCCATATCTTTGATCTGCATGGCATAGTACCAGGTGATCATTGGACATTCAACAACAATAGTGTTGGATAGAACAGTTCACAAACAGTAAGTAACTAGTAAAGTCTTCTGCCATGAAAAAAATGCGTCAAATTTTGGATGATTTGTTGTTTTTTTTTTTAACCCACCTAAGGAAAAAGGAGTCCACTATCATCATTCATAAAAAGAGCATCAATAAAGCTAGGGGATCTGCTAATAATTTGAAACATAAAATATAGTTCATCTTGTCTTCTCCGTGAATAGAACATAATCATAACACTCTCTGTTTTTTTCTTTTCTTTGTTTCTTTTGATTTATACTATATACTTGCCCCACCACAAATTTCTTTCTTTATTTTTTTCTCTTGTCTAGATAAGAAGAATCCACTAGAGCTTATTCTAGGAAAGTATACATAGATCAATCTTCAATAACAAGCAAACATCATGTTCAACAAGGCGTGACTCCATAAGCCTTCTTCAAACTAAATCTTAAAACAATATTATCCACAAAAATCATCAGCCGTAATCCTAAAAATGAATGTGAAACATAATTTTGAGATTTTGCTAGATGTTTTTAATTATTGTATTTCCATTTTATGTCTAGTCACATACAGAGGGGGGAAAAAACACTGACAGAGCCTATTAAAGAGAGATTGGTAAAAGATTTCAGGGAAGTGATGTTGCATCACCATTAGATCTTGTCTAAAGATCCGAATTTCGTCTGTAACCTGCAGCCTTAACAACAGTAACCTCTAACTATCTTGTGAACTCAACTCTATACTTTTCTACTTGATAGCCTAATTTGAATTCTTTCATATTTTTTCAAACAAAATTAAAAAAAGGATTTTTCAACCTTCTACTTTTTCACCACAATTGCTAAACAGTTTAAGGACCATTTTATAAAATTTGGGGTCTGTGGATTTGTTTGTTTGTTTTACCAAGGCAATTAGGAAAAGCAGCAATAATAAAGTGAAAAAGAGTAAGGATTAACAAGGAAAGAACAGATCTTTAAAGAGAGAAGAGACCTGTGTAGTTAGGCTTTTAACAGCTTCTTTAGTGTTGGGAGTTGTGCTCCCACGCGCTCCATCTTCTTCTTCATCACCCCCGTCTGCCATTTTCGTACAATTTATGCAAGTAAACATCTTTGCACTTTTCTTTCTTTTCTCTGCCTTTTAAATCCTATGAAACCATAAACAGAGTGTATAATTAAACCACTACTCATAAATGAAGATGGTTATAAAACAAAGCAATGAAATGTTAGCTGCTAAGTAATGCTAGACAGTAGTTACCTATAGTCGATATGAATAAGAATAGGGCTTAATTTATTCATTAGATAAGCAACTCAACTAATGGAAAGCTGGTGAATACCCAATAATAAAAGGATGATTTTTTTTCTTAGGAAACATGTAGTTATCTTACAATTAGATGTAGTTAGCATTTGAATTGAATAGACAGGACCATGAATACATAAAATTATGAAAGATCACTACCACTCGACACAAGTCACACAACGACTTTAAAATTTTCCAAGTATTTTAGAATCATAAAGAATAAAAAACCATATCCCTGAAAGTAATTCAAGAAATTCAGGAACTCAAAGGATACAAGTTTACAATATAAATAAAATAAAATAAAAGCAAGCTGTGAAGGTTCATTATTAGGGGCAATAATCTTGATAAAGGCAAAAGTGTCCATAGATTAACCTGGGGATCAGAGGATTGGACCCCAACGCCAAAAAAAAAAGAAGGATTTTCTAAGCACCTGAGTAGATCAAATTATAGTCTGAATAATAAAAAAAAGTTTGAAATATGAACATGATAGAGACATGAGACAAGGATGGTATTAAAAAAAAATGTATAATTATTTAGTTTTCTTATAAGAAAGTGGTCTATATAAAGAGGCCAAACTGAGTGTGTAAATGCTTTGTTGAGCAGCAATACCAAGTAAAGACCCCATCCTTCGTCACACACAAATCAAAAGTTTCAAAGAATATTTATTTTCTCCTGCGAAGCCGAAGTTTCTGACATTTAAATATATATATTTAGAGAGCATAAGAAAAATATATACAATTCTATAAGTAAGAAAAAAAACAAATGATATGTTTTCTCCTGATCCCTCGTGTCCATCTAAAACTGAAAATACTATAAGAAAAAGACACTCGAAATTTCTTACTACCAGAAGTAAAGAAATTTAAATATATCTGCAACAAAATGGAATCTTTACCAGTCACGTGTTTGTAAAATAACGAGACGAAGAAAGAAAGAGTTGAGTTCGAGTGATGATGGACCAATCTAATGCATGTCGAGATAAATGAATCGAATCGATAGAAACAGAGACGGTAAACAAAAATAAAAAATTTTGTTATAAAAATCGAAGAACAAAACCTCTTCTTTAATTTGTTTTTTTCATACCATACCCAACTGAGATATTTAAGAATAATAATAAATAAAAAAATCTCAGGTATTGAATGGAGTTATTAAATTGAAGTATGGGAAAATTTACCTTTTGTATCGATGTCTGCAGGTTAAGCGTGTTTATATCTGAAAGGTGAAGGTTTACTTTAAATTGATATTGAGCTCTGTTCCTATAAATAGACCATCAAAGGCTACAGAGATTTAGCAGCGTTACAGGCACAATAGTAAATGCGGGAGCAAAAAAGGACGAGGTAATTGATGATGAATGTCTTTTGATTTTCTATTGGAGAAAATCAACAAATTTCTCTCTTTTCTTTTTTTTTTCTCTGTCGAGTAAAAGCAAAAGTAAAGTATGAACAGTAGTCAATGCCAATGAAAAACTTTTGAATGAAAATGCAGAGGTTAGTAATCAATATTTTCTCCATGAAAATCTGATTCTCCTACTCGCCAGAAGTGTTCTGGTCAGTTAAAGTGGTGATTTACGTAATCAATCAGAGATAATGAAGAAGAATGCAACAGTTAACGAAAATTTCAAGAGCAAAAAATGAAAAACAAAATTCCACTACGCTCACTGGAATGGATTCGAGAAAAATTTTGAATGGAGGAATTTCTGAGACGTACCTGATCACAAAACTGCTTCTTAGAGTGAAATGAAAAACCAGAATTTGGAGAACAAAGAAAACTCCACTCTCTCGGAGCAAAATTTACTCCGAACAGAAAATTCCACGATGAGAATATCAAAAAATGGAAGAAGCAGAACCAATATCCACTTCCCTCTCTTTAAAAACGAGAATGGCTAAAAAACTTTCAAAAGTCTCGGGGCAAGAATCCGGGTAGCCGGGTCACCCGGTTTGTACGAAGCTCCACGTTTTGTTTTTTATTAAAGAAAGATGACGGAGAGACAAGAGAGAAGAAGACATTTGGAGAACCGTGAGTAATTTATAAGAGGGAGGAAAAAATTAATATTAAACGGCGTTACAACGTTCGAGTTAGATTCTTACGCTGTGAGTTAACGGAGATACCTTTTGAGTAACGATGAAATTTGGTCTCGAGAAGAGACGGCAACGAGGGCCCATGGTGTTTGCCGGTGACGGAGAAAGAGAAAGAGAGAGAGAGGATCGCTTACGTGTGCAGGAAGTAGGTTACGTAGTGTTCTCTGATTGGTTGAAGCTAGCTCAAACGGGTCGGGTTACGAAATGTATTTGACAGGCCCATGGAACCGTCGCATCACATTGTTTTTTTTTTTTTTTCTTTCTTTTTGGTTCGTCTATTCATTCATAATTTTTTTCCATTGTTTTCTCTTGTGTTTTGATAGAATGTGTACATTGTTAAGAAAAATTTGTATGTTTTGACTTTTGATCTGATCGGAATGCTTGATAGCAATCGAACTTGCACAAATATGACGAGAAGGCACTTTCGAGGGAATAAAATCCCAAATAGGCCCAGAATCTTTAATCTGGGTTTGGAAGGCCCAAACTAAGAGCCTAACCTACACCTCCATTAATCAATCACAAGGAGTAGAGAGAGTCACTGAAACATTTAACTCTCTAAAGTCTCTGTAAATCTAATTCCGTTTGATCTAGGGTTTTAGACGACTGAGCTCTCCTTCCAAATTCAAATCGGTTCGAAGAAGAAGAAGAAGAAATGTCGACAGTTTCTAGGGTTTTCGGAGCTTGCAGGGTATTGATGGCGAAGGCTGCTACTTCCTCCGCCGTTAGCAGCGGTAGAGAAGGTAAAGGCATACTCAAGGTGATGCCCGTTTCGCAGCCGCTCGCTAACTTCATCGGGGCCAACGAAGTCGCTCGAACAACCGCCGTGAAGAAAATCTGGGAATACATCAAGCTTCACAACCTCCAGGTTAGGATTTTTCTTACTTGTTACTTTGAGTTTGGTCGTATCTTGGTATAACATGAATATGCATTTGGGGATTTATTGATCTAGAGATTGTTGACTGCTACCAAAAACTTGGGATTGCTTATATCTGCTAACGCATTTGTTTGGTTTTTGGAGAAGTCGTACTCGTTGAGTCTTGTCTCTGTGACTGCAGCTAGAACTATCTGCTTATGATCTTGATTTCATGTTCCTGAGTGAAAATTTCAATGCCTAACCTTTTTAGCTATATACCCTTTATTTTCCTGTTCTTGTTAAGTGAAGAAAACACTTGTGTTGGACAATGCATCATGAACAGTGAAATTTACACTGATCGTCTTAGCCTTAACTTGTCTTCATTGATTGCATTCGTTTTTTCTTTTCTCACACCTATGTTGAGAGATCCTGATTGATAACAAATATGTGTTGGCTTTAATGTAGAATCCGGAAAACAAGAAGGAGATACTATGCGATGGGAAACTGAAGACGATATTCAATGGGAAAGACACGGTCGGGTTCCTGGAGATTGCGAAACTTCTGTCTCAGCATTTTCCCAAGTCTGCTTGATTGTCGCTTTTGCATAATCCTTAAGACGCTTTAGCTTATCATTCGGTATCTTTTGCTTTATCATCCAAGAAACGTTTTTTCCTTTCTCTCTCTATCTTCTTTTTGGGTGATCTTTGCCGGTCATATATAGACTTTCGACCAGGTCTTAGAAGTTTATGTATCGATGATGGTTTAAAGTTGATTATGGTTTGTCTTGGAACTTATCTAACTCGGCTACTATAATCCATCTATTGACATAAAATAGAGATAACTTATATTTGAAAGAAAAAAAATGATTTTCTCTGTATCCAAACCTATCGATAAAACATGATTATACATTAGTGGAAACACTATCCGATATAGAAGGAAGAGAGTTTTACAGTAGTATAAAGCCGTAAGAAAGAAAGACAAAAAAAAACTATGTGAGCCTCCTTGTGACCCAAGAAATCGTATGAATAGAAAACTTCTTCTTTTTGGAGTCTTCTCTTGCGGGTCAAGGCATCAGAGAGGAGGATGATCTTCTTCTGGTGTCTGAGGAGGAACCGGTTTCCAACCGGGTTTCTCGTCCCAGTACATATCGTAGTAAATGTGTCCTGGAGTCTTGTTCTCCTCACAACACCATATTCCCACATATCTCTTTACCCGTCTTCTGAATCTCTCTTCTCGCCCCTGCGCACAAACCAGATTAGGTCAGATCAGATTTACAAGTTCTATCAACATGTCTGAATGTTTCACGGTTCAAAAATCTACTTGCCTTGTCTGAGAATCCGATGAAAGCATCTTCAACTGAAGAAAACTTTATCACTTTGACATCGTGGAAGGTAGAAAATATCGCCTTGAACTGAGGTGAGCACGAAACAACGCAATGAGGGTAAGCCAGCGATTTTTGTGACATATATAGTAAAGAGTGATAGACACAGTTAAAGAAATTTTAGTTACCGTATCTTCATTGCTCCTCTTTGGGAACTTAAGAACCCGAGAGGGGCTTGTCCTGTTTGATGCCTCACATCCTTCTTTTCCTTCTTGACAAAGCTGAACATCAAGCCATGACTCTTTTACCTGAAATAATTAATAGTTTCATTCCTGTGACATTCTTATGAAATGACTAATTAGAAAAACAACAATACTAGGGCGGCTTATATTACTTGTTTTGGCAATGATGGGTTATCTAGGAAAGAATATTCTCTGATACCGATCCCAGGGCCAAACTCATCCTCTGGTAGCTCCTTCAGCATGATATTGACCTGAAATTGAAATTTGTCAGGGTGTTACGAGGCACTTGCAGAGAAAGAATCAGAAGATATATTGACATGCTTCAACATTATTACCTCAAAGACATGATCAAGAGGGCAAATGAAAGGTTGCCGGGTCATAGATCCCACAAGAGTACCGGGATGCCCAAACCAAAGCCTATCTAACCTACACCATATTGGTGGCATCACCTAAAAACATTGTAGAGACCAACCAGATATCGTACAAATTAATCCCTATCACCAGGACATATGCATATAATTATAAGCTGTTGACTAGACTCACCAGTGTACGATTTAGTAGAGAAGCAATGGCCAGAGCTGATCTGATCTGTTTCATCTGTCAAAATGGTCAAAAGGTAGATGTAAAATTAGAAGCTAGTCAAGTTAAACATAATTTCCTAGGGACAATGTTAAGTTAATAGATGCGTACTTGGTGATTAACGAGCGCAAAGTGCGATACAATGGTATGCTTCCCGTCTAGTAACAAGCTCTTTGGAATAGATGGTTTAAACGAAATGAAACCTCCTGCGTTGTGTTGGAGTATTACAACATTGGTTTTGGCTTTCCCCATCAACAAGATTTATGTTAAAGAATATTCACAAAAAAATGAAATTTCACCTGGTGCATCATAATATTCTGGTGGGTCATAGAAAACCATCCCCTCTCGAAGCCTGTGGCGTTTTCCTTCAGTACCTGCATACTGGAATGTTGTATGCAAGGCATATGGTTCTAGTCTGAGCTGTTGATACATAGCCTACAGAAGAAAAGGGAAGTAACTATCAGAGTGCCCACAAAAGACCAAAACAAAAACCACCAAAACAGGAAACGGCATGTAAAATGGTACCTGAACAAAATAAGTGTGACCACTGCAGAATATGCTAGCCGGTAAGATTCCAACCTTAAGATTTCCATCATAAGCGTAGAAAAGTCCACTATCACCATCAACAGATGGGCCTAGCTGTCTCCTAACAATCTCATTGAACCCATTTTGATCCCAAACCTTATCGTCCGCTAAGAGGATTTCTTTCCACTCTTTTGCCAACTTTTTGGCAGATTCTGTTGGCCGCCAATGGAAGATTCCTATATTGTAGGCGGCACCAACTTCCAATTTTCAAGAAAAAGAGTAATCAGACTAGCTGCTAAAAAAGAGGGCAATGTATGTCTCTAGATAATATCATACCTTGTTGCCATATATCCAAACTGTCATCCACGACTGTAGGCACAACTTGATCGCTTGATGTCAAAACATCAGCATCCGGGTATCGAGCCAAATAAGGCAGAGGGTTCTGTCATACAAATACCATCAGAAGAAAGTCTATCGAGGAAGATAACATGAAAAATAACAGTATTGCATATATCTTGAATCAGCACCTTAAGCCACACCATGTCAGTGTCGCACATTAGAAGCTCGTAACCATAAGGCAAGACAGAATCTATGAGAATAACTTTTTCTCTTCCCATTTTGTGAAATGTCGGGGTACCCCACCCGACATCCACTGTGCTCATATGACTTCCCATGTCAAAAACTGGAACGCCTTTCCAGTACAAAGCCTCTAATAACTTTGTATCCATTGCACCTACAAAGGCGCCATAACATGAAGTTACTAACTTTCAGAAAGACATTGTTTCGGACAATAATACATATGTACTAGGAGTGAGAACTCACCAACTAGAATATTGGAGAGATCTAAATCAGTCAGGTGTTTAACCCAAGTCAAGATGAAATCCATAAAAGCATAGTTCCCAAAGGTGACTATTATGACATTATCCTTAACTCTTTCCCCAAACAATTCTTTCGTCAGTTTAAAGGACTCAAGCGGTGGCATCTTCTTGTCTCGTGGAGGAGACACCCATATTTTACCCAAGGATTTGACTTGAGCTATCTCCGGAGCTGGCGGTGGAAGTGTCTGTGGTGGTGGTGGTGGTTGTGCAACTGGTAACTGAAACGTTACATTTTCTTGTGGAAGGTCGTGAATTCGGCCAGCAGCTACGAATAAAACTCATCAATACATCGTACATATCGAACAAAACAAAAACATTTAAATTTCTACTGCTTACTGAGATTGGTGTAAACTCAAGCAAGCCTGAAACCATGAATATTTAATTGGCGAAAATGATCTATTGAAAACAAGAAAATACAAAAGACTGAACTGTAATATAGTGTCTGAGAGTGACTCTAAAGAAAAAAACAAAACTTTTGTAGACTAATCGAACAATCAAATGGAGATCCAAGTACAATAATTAATCACTTGATCGAATACAAAAACTGCGATGTAAATCAACTAAAAGTGATCGGAAGTCAAAACCCATTTCAATTTAAAGCAAATCTATTGTTTCCCTGTCTATGATAAGAACTAATTTCAAACGAACATTGAGATTTAAGGTCAACGGTGAGCTCGGATTAGAGTCAGAATCAACGGATTAGTGAGCCTAACCTCAAGAAATCTCACCTAATGATCACACATCAACTCGATCATGGAATCAACCCAACAATCAAACTCATACAAAAATCCCAACTTTCAAGCGATGCGAGGCAGAAATAGCAATTTGCCACCGAATACATGCATAGAAGGAGAGAGAGAGAGAGAGAGAGAGAGAGAGAGAGAGTGGTTACTGGAAAGAGGAGGAGAAGAGAGCCAGGATGTGGAGCCATTGGTGGGAGAGTAAATGGCGGAGAAGACGTAGAAGGAGGAGACGAGAACGCCGATGATCACCGTCGCGTAGATCGTCACGAACAGAGGCTTCGAATTCGTCGCCTCGCGAAACCCATTTCGCCAACCCTCCACCATTCTTTTCCTGAAAATCTCAATTTCAATCTCTTCTTCTTCTTCTTCTTCCTCCTCAAATCTCCATTACAGAAGCTTTATTCCTTGACCAATTGTCTTCTTCTTCCTCTTCTTCGATCGTTAGGTAGTCTGGTCAACTTCGTTTTCGGCGTCCTCTCTACAGCGTCGCTCATAATCAATATTGTACTTTGAAAAAATTATTAAATTTGTGGGTTTAATTAGTAGTTTATTGTCTCTATTATAGACAGATCATGCATTTACCCAAGTAGTGCAAAATAGTGGCATTTAAAAACATAGAAAATAAATAAAGAAAAATAATAATTTGTTAATAAATCGTCATTTCTTTGTGTATCAATTGAAATCAGTAGCTTTTTTTTTTTTCCGTTTGATCATAAATCGAAGCCGGACTAAATTTCTAAAAGTTTGCCAAAGATGGTACATTATTTTTATTAACGTTGGTTACCATAGTTATTTCATTTCATATAAGGTCAAATTCGAATAGCAAAGGATCGCCATGCCTAACCCATCAAAATGATTAAAAATCAATGAGTCAATCTAATCCATAAATCTGAGTCTTAATGAATTAAATGGTTTAATGAGTTTAATGTGATGTGTTGAAATGAGTTAGGTTAAAATGAATTCATTGATTACCCATAACCAAATCCATCATGTTTTCTTTGTATTTAGCAGTTCTATTGCAGATTATCCCACATGATGTAGTAAAAAAAAAGGGACCTAAACGGGCTTTTGACTTAGTCTAGAGAAGAAGAAGGTGAGCAATCAGGCTTCATATAGAGTCCAGAGGATGATTTGGGCGATGGACACATCTACCGTAGTTAATTTACGGCCCATTTGTGCTAAATTAGGTGGTCCGACAGCAATCTGGTTTATATATAATTTACCGCAGAAATCTTGTTTATAATTTTCCTATATTTGGATTATAATCAAAAAGATGTACATCATTTCGACCAACAAAAAATGTAGATCAAATAAATGTTCAAATTTACAACTTCGAGCCAAATGACACTAAGGTAAAATTCGTGATGGTATTTGAAGGATTATCGCAAAAATGATTATGTCAAATACTCGTCCTTAATAATGCGATGGATGTCAATCCGATTAACAAAATCTGTATAATTTTTTTTAGTTTGGTGTACTCCAACTCGGTTGTTTTTTGTATAAAAAAACGCAATCAAGTCCTGACATGGTTACATTGTAAGTGTAAAGACCTTGTATCGGAGTACGTTTCTACTAAAAAATTATGCCGGAATGTGAGTTGTGAGATTATTTGTGATGGAGACGAATAATTTGAAGTTTAGGAAACTCTTGTAATCGCTTTAGATATCAATAAATAAGCTGGTCTTTTTTGTAACATTTAGGGGCACAAATTAAAATTTGAGTGATTCTATTTTACACCAAATAAATAGGTTGTATAACTCGTTTTTAAAATATTTTCTAGCATTATTTATTTGCATAATTTTTTAATAGAACATTTTTTTTTCATTTGAACCCATGTTCAATTCGCGGCCGTTATTTCCTTAATTTTTTGATAGATGATGTATAGTCTTCCATTGTAAAGCCAAAAACGCACACCCCACATGTCTCATATCATAAAAAACTAAAAAGTTTGTCGGAATCTTATATTTGATAATCTTTTAAATATATAATGCTAATTAAAATATTATAAAATTGGTACCAACTTGTTAATAACCTAGTACAAGTACCATTTATGTATCACATCATTTACTAACCTTTTCCTAAATCCAACTTCAAAGAAAAGGGGTTAGGTCTAACATCCACCTCCACGATCATTAATCTAAAATATCTTTTCTTTCTTTTCAACTCTAAAATATTTTCAGTTTTCTTGTATTTGACAGAAGGTACCAATGGTACTAAAGAGGTTAAAATTTTAAATATCAAGTGACACAAAACTGATGATAAAAATAAAAATTGTTGAGCGGACGACTAGTGTTCTTTTTCTCTTGGCGGATTAATGATGATACATTCGCATACATTTATTTATATATTTTTTCTTATGTGTTTGTTGTATAACTACAGATTTAATATTTATATATACAAGTAGCTACCAAACAAACATTAACACAAATACTATATTAATGGATACAGCTCAATTTTGTCGAGAATATTACCTTTTCTAATAAAACATGTTCAGGTAAAAAACTTTTTCCAAGACAACGTTAACTTGAAATTCGATCGAATAACATTAAAGTAACTCAAAAAATTTAACAAGAGCAACTTGGAATTACGATGATAAAATAATGATTATCTTATTTCAAAAAGTTTATCCACTACATACATGAAGGAGTTTATCAAAACAAAACGGTTTGATGTTTTTGTAGAGTCGGAGTTGGAGTATCTTTTGTATCTCATCTTTTCTTTTCTTTTTTGGTTAAACTTTGTATCCCATCATTTGGCGATTGATGCTTATTTTTTTTCTGCTTAGTTTTTGCTGTGTTTTTTTTTTTTCCAGTCCAAACTCTGTTTTATGCTTTCTTTAGATTTCGATAAAACCTCCAAGCGATTAAATAAATATTTAATATTTTTCATAGTCATTTCCTTGTAGCTATTAAATTAAATTCAAGTTAAATTGAGTTAAAATTACGAAAATATTCAACTGTCTGATAGTTCAAAAAAAAATGCCATCAATCAATGACTTTATTTTAGCCAAGGGAAAACTACATCTAATAAAAAAAAGAATGGACATATCAAGTGATCAACGTAGAACGAAAAACACGAAAAAAACAAAAAAACTTAAAGCAACCAAAGAGAAGCTTCATGGCCTTTCGTAAAGGACGAAGTATCATTTTAGGAAAAAAAAACATTGAGATCGTTTTCTTGATTGACTCACGTTCATGTCCTCTCCACAAGAAACTATCATGCAACTTCTTCTCTTCTTCTTGATCTTCTTCTTCTTTCTTTTTAACCAAAGTAAAAACGGCACACAAGAGATCAAAGACAGACGAACTCTGAGCGACAAAGCGGTAAATTTCTCCAAAACCAAATGGTATTTTAAGAAGCACCAGGAGGGTTCTTGTGTCCGATACCTTGACTAGGACCTTGGTGAGTTGGTCGGAACGCATCTTGTTCTATGTTCTTGAAGCGGTTGATCTTGTGGTACCACACAAAATCATCTTTAGGTGGCTCAGGTGGTGACCAGGAAACAACCGGCGCATGTCGAGCTGCTGTTGTAGTCTCAAAGTGTAGTTGTATCACCAGGAGAATCATAAGAAAACTAGACAAAACCGTTCCACGATTCACCATCACTACTTTGGGTTTTGGTTAGGACTTTCAAAACCCTTTAAAGCGTATGCTTAAGTGGCTGCTTTCTTCTTACAACAACAAGAGAGAAGTGTGCAATTTAAGAAGGATCGAAGGGTAGAGGACCCCACAAAACCGTGTGACTCGATGCTCAAGACTAGTGTTAAAACATGGACACTTATAGGCTTATAGCTAGCTAGTTCATAAAGCAAGAGTTTATACTTAAAGGCTCTTTTGAAGGTGCGCAAGAGGTGTAAATGCACTGAAAACTTGATCCTTATATATATATTGTTTACATAGCCACATAGATCTCTCAACAATTTATATTATTTACTTTTACATGGATCAATTAGCAGCGGTCTCCATGTTTCAGTGAAAACAACCACAAGTTTTGGAGGTGAACATGCCTTTTAGTAAGGAGAGTTTCTGGCAATCACACCACCGGTAAAGCACCAAAATTGCCAAGTCCAAATGACCAAATGGTCTACATATAGAATGTACATACAATGAAACCAAACATGTGACGATAAACCAGTTTAATTTGCGGTTTTCACCCTAAAACTTACTATAGCATGCGGATTTCTATAATGTTTTTTTTAAATTGAATGTAATAAAATATTCAAAACAGAAAAAATCGGTTTTTACATCATATGCAACAACTATAATTCTAAAAAAGAGAACATACATATCCCTTTAATAAAAAAGAGAAGAGTCAAACTGGTTTAAATATTCGTAACAGACTCTAAAATCTCTATGTATGTATTTGAGATTAAGACACATAGTCCGTAATACAATTGAATTAAGCTGATCCTCTGTATTATTTACACATGGAACATTGTCCGTCGTATTATACTTTGTTCGCGCTTTAGTTTTTAAGGCTTGAAATATAAAAGAGGAAGAGTATTCGCCAGCGAATATTTACCAAAAATGGAAAGTTCTATGTTCCTTGATCGCATCTTTTTTAGCCATTCATCAAAAGAAATGCAGGCATTATTGTTCTTTTTTTTTTTGGGTTTTGGCAGGCACTATTCTTGATAAGACATATATATACTTTTTTCCTAATGTTAATTAGGTTTGTGCGTTATGTGTATATGTTTATATTTATTTAGTCAATTAAATGATTTATTTCTCCGTTCAACATTCTCTGATCCAAGCGCTTTTTTGTTATAGCATCTCGCTTCTCTCCATGATTAAACTATTTGCTATATATGGCTTTAAATATAATATAAGTAGAGCAATTAGAGCCTTTTGTCATGATTTCGTGTGTCGAAGATAAAATAGTCCATTGTAAGCGTGATAAATTAAGAACAGTTTGTCATTGATCATTGTAAGTAAGTAGAATTATTCGTTGCAATATTATCTATGTAATTTTTCTAATTTTATAATATATAGTAATTCAGACAATGAAAAAACTAATAATATAACAACGCATTTTTATTCACTTATTGATTTAAATAATCAACGTAAACCACATGTTATTGGATTTGACATTTGAAAATCGAGTCTGAGATTTCAAGTTTATATAGAACTAAGATTATAGGTTAAAAAAAATATAAAAGAAAGTTAAAGGTTTTAAAAAAGTTTAGTTTCAAACTTTCATAAAAATTAGGTGTAATTCAAGTAATCGTTTATATATATTTTTGGTAAACAGCTTTGTATATAGAATGATTTAAAGTAAAGTTCAATAGACTTCCAGGTATAGAAATCACAATTTATGGTATAATCCAGATTCTACAATTCACACATGTGAATTCTTATAACAGATTTCGAAAAATTAGATATCTAAGATTACAAAACATGTAAAATTGCTTTTGAAATCATTGAGCCAATAATAGTGGAGGTTAACTTAAGTTAGGTTGAGTGTGAAGAATTAAACTTGTCACACAGACCAAAAAAATAGGGGAAATAATTGCAAACTCGTCATGAATAGATTCGTTGGACATGCATGTTGCGTGCATAATGCATGAAATTCACTCCTATTCCTCCTTCTTTTTTGTTGAAATAATTTCCGCTCCTATTTATCCGAATTTTTAATTATATTGCCTACAAAAATATATACATGTAGGCATGCAGATAGTTCTGAATTCGGCGTCGAAACTTATTTATCTAAATTAATTCACCACTAAATAAAACTTTGGATTAAATAAGAGACCAAGTGCAAGCATGTCCGGTAATTTTCCAAGAATCACAATTTATTGTTTTGCCAAAGATGCATAGAGTTGTACATAAGCTAGATTTCACTTCGAGATTTGAAAGTGATTTGTTTTTTCTTTGTCGGTAGTAGTAGTATATAAAAGAAAAAGGCGATCGAAAAGAAATGACTTAAAGACATATATAATTATATATATAAACAACATCATGCGAACTTTGAATTCCAGCCAGTCAGAACAAAAAGGAATTCAAAAGCAGTCACAATCAACTAAGATTAATTCTTTTTCTGTTAAGGAAACCCTTACCTCAAATGGTTTATCCAAGGAATCATCAGATACAAGCTAATAACTAAGTCGCATTACATATCGACCATATATTCGATTTCATGTACGTTGCTGCGTTTATATTCTGTATACATTCAGGAACACACTACTTTTACTTTATTTCGAATCTTACAAAATCAGACCGTAATTTTCCCTTTTGCAAAAATAATGATAACAAAAATTCATATTCGTACGCCTTTTTTCTTTCCGGAAAGCTAGGGTTGTGTTACTTGTGTAACCTGTTCAAACATTTTCTCCACAAGGTCCAATTATTTGCAAGCCCTTTTTTTGGGTAAAATAGAGAAAGATGGATATTTCGTAAAAAGACGATTTTTTTTTTTTTGGTTAGAAAGAAAAACCTAATGAAATCATTTTCTTCTCTTACTTTTGTTGACGTTTTTCCATTTGGTCAACAGTAGATTTGTTAGACGCGCGATGTGGATATGTAGACTGTTGTTTACGGAGTCTATATTTGCATGTTTTCTTTTTGTATTTTGTTATAATACTGTTTTCATTACTGATCCTTATACTAGGTAAAGTAGTTATAATACTGTGTGTTAGTGATTCTAGTGGAAAGTGGTGTTATCGTGTTGTTCTGACTTTTATAGGAACATACGTACCAGATATTTTTATAGTCAGCCGAAATATTCAAAGCTTAAAGTAATACTTTACGCTCTAAAATATACAGCGCTATAAAATTTCGTCTAAAGTAAAAGTCTGAAGTATACGTATCGCTAAGTAATTTGCCCAAGTCTTAAAAATTATTTTTTAGCTCAAGCCCTATATATCCCTACAAAAACTAACCCTTAAAAATTCTATTATATTTTACATTCGATTTAGCAAAATCTTTTATTAAAAGGTACTTAGAAATGCTAAAACGTTTTTTTTGTTTTGTTCAACTACTAAATTCCCTAAATAATAGTTAATATTTTTAACATATTTATTTATATATATATATAGGGGTTGGATCATATGTCCAAAAAATAAACTGATTTAAAAGAATTTAATATTTTTCACTACAAAATAAGCTGTCACATGAAAAAGAAAAGCAGTGGTCTGAAGAAAAAGAGCGAACAATGGGCCAATTATTATGGGTATTTAAAGAAATTTGATTGTCATGAAAGCCCAATCATGAAAATCTATCAGCCTTATTGTCTTTATTTTTTTCCCATATTTTTTTTTCTCTCACCAGCGGCGCTACTTGGCCGCCGAACCTTCTGAGTTCTGAGTTCTGATCATATAGCTTTTGAAAATTTGTAAAAATGTGCCCACTTTATTCTCCGATTTGTCAAATCAATACTCTGCCAGTTATCCTGACCATCAAAAAGTTCCTAAACACTAATCATCTTCTTTAGATCCAACGGCTCATATAAATTACTGATTTTTTCGAGTTAAAAAAATTTGGGATTCTCCCTCGCTCACTAAAAATATGTCTCTCAAATTCGTTTTTCTTTTTTTAAATTTATTTTGTTAATTATACAAAAAATATTAACTCTCGTGTAAAATGTGTATCTGAAAGCTTCAGATTTTTACTCTAGTATCGTCTTTCTTCAGGTAAGTTTTTTTTTGGGGTTAAATTCTTCATCTTCAGGTAAGTTCAGCTCTTCGTAGAAGTTTTCCCGCATTTTCTCGCTTGTCCTCATTGTTTTAAAGCTTTTACATATCTTCCACTTTGCTCTGTATCATGCTTTCTCTCAGTCGGATCTTAATTCTTTAGGTCGATATATCAGCAAATTTGTAATGTAAATTGAAGAACTTTGCATCTGTCGGAGCATGATTTCGATTTCAGCTCACTTAACTAGTTACAAGATTTTGATATTTTCCCAATTTTTACAAAGTCAAATCTACGGTAAGATCTGTTTTAATTTTTTTTATTGGTTATCAAATTGAAAAATATAAGGTGTTGCAGAAAAAGACTTCGTGAAAAGCTTCACACAAATATCTCACCATCCATTGAAAATAAATTCTGTTAGTTTTTTTTTTTTTTGTGTGGGTAATAATCATGTCATGACCTTTTGTATAACGGAGCTCTCTGGGTTTTCGAACCGAATTGTAGTGTTATAAAATTCACAAATTTACGGTTCCAAACTTCCAAAAGCTCTTGAATTAATCTGAATAAATGGCATTGCTACGTTTTCTCCTCTTCCCTGTTTTTTTGGGCAAAGCAGAGTTATGTTTTATTGTTTTGCCTTTTCATGTCAGATTCTTGGTTGGAAATAACAACAAAGGTTTTTGTTTTAGTATTATTTAAAACAGCAAATGTTTGACACATGGAAATACTATGCAAAGGGCAAACCTTTTGGTGGTTTGCTACATTTTCTTTTTCCTTTGACTAATCCTTATAGTGCCTACTTATGTAGAGATTAAATGGTTGGTGTAAAACGCAAGCTGGCTTTTCTGGTTTAGCTAAGAATCACAACACCATATTGAAATAAGCAAAGGATGATACTAATGAGAAGAAGGATAGGCTGCTGTAGCAGGGACAAGAGGGAGATGAGCAACGATTTCGACGAACAAGAGAGTAAGTAACTCTAATCTCAAGTACTACGGTCATAAGTCTGTTGCATTCCACCTGACATCAATGTGGTTCTAAGAGGCAGTATTGTGATGCAATGTCAAGCCCAAGTTAGTCTTGTTTCCTAAAGGGATAAGGGCTTTGGTAGTTAGCTCAAGTGGTTACTTTTATGAAAGGTGTAATTTTTGAAGTCCGAAATATAGTGTTGTCACGGATAAGAATAATCAGTGGATTGCTTCTTTGAAGACATCATATATTCACTAGGAAGAAGAAACCCTTTTTCTTATTGATCTCTGATCTGTTTCTTTTCTTCCTTTTTCAAATGACATTAAGATAGAAGCCGGGTTTGAACCCGGATGTAACAGGCCCCACCCATGGTCTACGACCACTGGACCAAAGTCCACCTGATTCACCAGTTTTGACTTTGGTCTGTGAGTTAGATTTATATCCCTAAAACTGATTAATAGTATAAAACAATGCCATATGTTTGTAAAGGTTTGGAGAAAAAATGTTATTCAGAAACACTTGATAAGTCTTAATGGTGGGTCCAATTCCAAGTTCCAGCACACAGAGGAGCTATCTCATTTTATAAAAACATATCCTTTTTGTGGTTTTTAGAGAATGGAAGCATTCTAGCTTAAAAACTTGGCTTATTTATCAAAAAGTCAAAGATTCGTGGAACACAGCGACTTTTGTTGGTTTCTGTCATTTGTTTTTTTATGAATAATGGTAGCTACCTTAATCTGCATATAAAATCTTTTTGTGAAGTCTCTTTCTCTCACCCCACTTGGTAAAAGAGACAATAAGAGGGTTGTCCGAGGTGGTGGAGTTTCTTCATGGTCACAGTCTAAATGGGTCCTCTCTGATGAAACATTATTCTTTCATGATATTTTTTTACTGTTTGTGGTCCACCTTATGATTTTGCAAAAGAAAAATGGTTTTTACACTCGAGGGTTTATAAGATAAAATTTTGCTAGAAGAAGCTTATATACCTTTTATAACATTTGTTCATATCTGCAATCATAATAGGTGTGTGTGTGATAGTTCTGATCATTCATTCTTTATATGTTTAAATATCTGAAAGAACATACAGCTTACACTTCAGCAGTTTTGATTCAGGAAGCTTGTAAATCTGTTCAAGTGACAATATATTCCCCATTTTTTTTTCCAGGTTCGATGGCGTATGGTGGCTTAGAAACTTGCATCGTCAACAATCAATCTTTAGAAGAAGAAAGTGGAACAAGCCGAGGAGATGAGTGCCCGACTGATTCATTCGATGATGATGCATTTTCAAGCTGTTCATCTAGCAAAGATGCGTCTGAGTCATTTTCGTCCAAATGGTTACCGATGAAACACAGTTCTGATGATGAGAAACATTTCTATAGAGAGGAGAAACCTGGTTATGCACTCTGCTATTCTGAGGTTGAAGCCATGAAGGAGAAGTTTTCAAAGCTATTGCTCGGTGAAGATGTCACAGGAGGATGCAAGGGTGTGCAAACCGCTTTGGCTTTATCAAACTCTATAACACAACTTGCCAGTATGTTTCAGTTTAACAATATTACAATACGAGGATTTTGGTATCAAAGACTTCTGTCTTGACCACTGTATAACTTGGATTTCGCAGCCACCATTTTCGGCGAGCTCTGGAAGTTGGAACCTTTGTCTAAAGATAAAAAGCAGAGATGGAGAAGAGAAATGGATTGGTTACTCTCTCCAACTAACCACATGATTGAGCTAGTCCCATCTAAGCAAGATGGCGAAAACGGAACATCACTTGAGGTACATTGCTAAGCTGTTTCTTTTTTTTTTTTTTAATCATATAACATTCCACTATAAGAAACTGAACTTGATTTCCTGTTTGATCAGATAATGACTCCGAAAGCCCGTGCAGACATTCATATAAATCTCCCAGCTCTCCGGAAATTGGACTCCATGCTAATTGTATATGATCCTTTTCTTTGATCAAAAACATTTTCAACTTCTTTTTTTTTTTTTCTTTTCTCCTGATTTGATGAATGCACAGGAGACACTGGACACTATGGTAGACACAGAGTTTTGGTATTCCGAAGTGGGTCGTAGGGTAGAAGGAAAGAGCAAGATTACAAGAGAGAGCAAAAGATGGTGGCTTCCATCGGCTAAGGTTCCCAAACCGGGCCTCTCCAATTCAGGAAGAAAGAAATTGCTTGAGATAGGCAATGTTGTTTATCAAATCTTCAAAGCTGCAAAGTCAATAAACGAGCATGTGCTTCTTGAAATTCCAGTACCTACCACTATCAAGGATGCATTACCCAAGGTAAAAGCTTGGTTTTCTTGGAATGTTATCTCTTACATATTCCATAAGCTAATTTTTCATGTAATAAAGAAGTAATATGTCATTTGTTTTCCATTGGTTCTTACAGTCTGGAAAGACAAGCCTCGGGGATGAACTGTTCAAGATGTTGGTTTCAGAGTCTGTCTCGGTTGATGAAATCTTTGTGTCTCTTAGGCTTGTAACCGAACATGCTGCTCTAGAGACAGTTAATAGGGTAGAAGCAGCTATCTATGCATGGAAAGAGAGGATTACAGAACAAGGAAGATGTGGTAAATCCCCTGTGCGAGCATCGTGGTCATTAGTTAGAGATTCATCGTCTGAGATTACTCGCATTGAGTCGCTCATAAACCGAGCAGAGAGGCTTAATGATCGGATCAAATCCAAATACTCTAATCTCCCTCAGTCATTTCTTGATGCCACAAAGATTCAATATGGCAAGGTGAGGCAAACATCATAACTGGTGCTGGTGGTGTTACCATAACTTCATAATACTTGCAAATCTCAGGTTCGAACATGGTTTCATGAAGGAAATTTTTTTTCTTTGTTTTTCAGGATATTGGCCATGCAGTTCTTGAAGCATATTCCCGGATCCTTGCGAGCTTGGCGTTCCGCATTTTGTCCAGGATTCGAGAAATCTTGCAAGAAGATGCTCTGAGCAACCCAAGTTCTCCTGCAACAGCAAGCTGCTTCTCTGGCTCCAACAACCTCTTCAGAACCACGGAGAGGGTCCTGGCCTCGTCCCGGCTAAAGCATTCTCTCATTCACGACATGAACAAAGCCGATGATGGGACATGCAATGGTAGCACAGATCCTAAAGGCAGCAGTTTAATGTAAGAGGGTTCCATAGTTTAGATGCGTGCCACCTGAAGCTTCTCCTTTGTTCAGAGGTTACCTCCTATTTTGTATGTGTATTAAAACATGATACCATTTTGAAATCATATATAGGTATATAACTATGAAGTAGGCCATTTTGTTCATAGTCTAAATCTTACCATCATGATTATATAATGAGATTCTACGCTAACAGTATCCCAGGGAGAGCTTTTCTTGTACTATAGTGTGGTGTATAAATATCTAATCTCCCAAGCCCTAATTTAAAAACGTTGATAGTATCATGATATTAATTCCCCCCACACCCCCACTAATCTCACGTTATGAGCCTTAATTAGAAATTAAAAGCTAATCAATTGCCTTCCAGACTTTCACCTCCCGCTCAAGTAACTAAAACTCCTTACCGTTTTGAATCTCTTCGCTTCCCCAATTTGGTTGTGTATAAAAACTCTTCTCAACTTCACACTTTCCACCACAAAACTCTCTGAAATCAACAATGGCAAACCTAATTCTCCTTTTCTCTATATTCTTCGTCTTCCTCTTCTCGGTGACTCTCTCTTCCATGGCTCACCCAAAAAACTTAACCATCGAGCTGATCCACCGTGACTCTCCTCATTCCCCACTCTACAACCCACTAAAAACCGACACCGACCGCCTCAACGCCGCTTTACTCCGCTCCATCTCTCGTTCCCGCCGCTTCAACCACCAATCCCAAACCGATCTCCAATCCGGTTTAATCGGAGCAGGCGGTGAGTTCTTCATGAGTATCACCATCGGTACTCCACCAACGAAAGTACTCGCGATAGCTGACACAGGAAGTGACCTAACTTGGGTCCAATGCAAACCCTGTCAACAATGTTACAAAGAAAACGGTCCAATCTTCGACAAGAAGAAATCCTCTTCTTACAAAAGCGAGACTTGCGACTCACGTAACTGCCACGCCTTATCGACCAACGAACGTGGATGCGACGAGTCCCAAAACGTATGCAAGTATCGTTACAGTTACGGAGACGAATCGTTTACCAAAGGAGACGTTGCTACAGAAACTATCTCCATTGACTCTGATTCAGGTTCCTCTGTCTCTTTCCCTGGTACTGTCTTTGGTTGCGGTTACAACAATGGTGGTACCTTCGACGAGACTGGCTCTGGGATCATCGGTCTCGGTGGAGGTCACTTATCATTAATATCACAGCTCGGTTCTTCGATTTCGAAGAGATTCTCTTATTGCTTGTCACACAAGTCATCTACAACGAATGGCACAAGCGTTATAAACCTAGGAACCAACTCGATTCCTTCCGGTCTAAGTAAAGATTCCGGAGTCAATACGACACCGTTGGTCGATAAAGAGCCTCTGACTTACTATTACTTGACGCTCGAAGCCATATCCGTCGGGAGAAAGAAGATTCCGTACACCGGAAACTCATATTACCCAAACGACGACGGATTATTCTCCGGGACGTCGGGAAACATCATAATCGACTCTGGAACAACGTTGACGCTACTCGAATCTGGGTTTTACGACAGATTTGGCGCGGCGGTGGAGGAATCGGTGACCGGAGCCAAGCGTGTGAGTGATCCACAGGGGCTTTTGTCGCACTGTTTTAGATCCGGAAATGCGGAGATTGGTTTGCCGGAGATAACTGTGCATTTCACCGGCGCCGATTTGAGGCTGAGTCCGATGAATGCGTTCGTGAAGGTTAGTGAAGAGATGGTTTGCCTGAGTATGATTCCGACCACCGACGTTGCCATCTACGGGAACTTTGCTCAGATGGATTTTCTCGTTGGGTATGACTTGGAGACCAGAACGGTGTCGTTTCAGCGAATGGATTGCTCTGCGAATTTGTGATTTTGCTACGCCCTTATAACTACGAGCTTAATTTTATATTATCCATAATTACCTACTATTTACCAGTATGTTCATCATGGAGAGATATAAAATCATAATCTAAGTTTAAGACTGTTACTACGAGTAGAAATAAAGTTAACACCTTTCCTATGATTTCTCTTTGATTTATTTTTTTGGTTATGATCGAAAATAGCTCCACAGTACAACATGGAAATTATATAAATTATTCAGATTCTTGTTTCTACAATGATCATGTACATTTTAGTTTCATATTCAGATTAAATGAAAGGGTTTCACCAATCACAGAAACATTCTACAAAACAATTCAAAGCCAAAAAATACAAAAAAGAAATACCGAAAATGAATGGCTCGAACCTAGTAATTTGTAAAACAGAAATCGAAATCGAATAGGGAAGACACTTGTGTGAATGTGATCAATCGGAGCCGGAATCGTAGAAGTCGCTAGGGCAAGGAGTCATAACTTCGGATTCAAGCAACTGGACGACTCTGTGCATTGTGGGCCTCTCTTCTGGATTTGAAGACACACACTTGGTTGCTATTGATAGAAGAGCATCAAGACTCTCTCTCTCTACTCCTTCACAGCTTGTATCAACAATCTCCCGTGCCCGGTTTTCGCTGATTAAGAAGTTTAGCTGCAAAGATTTATGACAGCAAATTAAAGCTTTTACTAGTCAAAATATTGTTTAACAAAGCTTGACCTCATTAATGCTTACCCAACCAACAATGTTATAGCCTCTCTCGATGAAGGAGGCATCCGTGGGAAGTTTACCACTCAAGACTTCAAGAACCAAAACCCCGAAACTGTAAACATCGGTTTTCTCAGTCGCTCTACCGCTTTGCATATATTCTGCAATAAGAACTCATGATTTCACAGTTTAGGTCCTATGACAGAGAGTAACAAGTAAAATGCTTAGTGCAATTTAGTACCTGGAGCCAAGTAACCGAATGTGCCTGCAACAATGGTTGTAATATGAGTTTCCTCGTCCTCTAGCAGCTTGGCAAGCCCAAAATCTGATACCCGAGCCTCGAGATTTCCATCGAGTAAAATGTTGCTCGACTTTATATCACGGTGTATAATCCTAGGAGAACAATCATGATGCAAGTATGCTAACCCTTTTGCTGCTCCTATTATGATATTTACTCGCGTATCCCAATCCAGTTGCTCGCCTCTCTCTACACATTCAAAGATTTCACTTCAATATAATCATATAATTCTCAGTTAGGAAAAACCAGTAAAGATTAAGTTGAAGATTTACGATGCAGAGCTTCATCAAGGCTACCACCAGGAAGGTAATCATATAAAAGAAGCTTTGATGTGGGTGAATTGCAGTATCCACGTAGATTCACGAGGTAACGATGTTTGATGCTTCCAAGAATCTCAAGCTCCCTTTCAAAAAACCGATCAAACCCTTCGTTTAACTTTACGATTCTTTTCAGTGCAAATACATTGCCATCTTCCATGGCCAACTTGTAAACTGTTCCAAAACCTCCACAGCCTATTATATGCTCTTCGTTAAGAGTTTCCAGTTTCTTGATAATGTCTTTAGAGGCATAGGGCAAATCTCCATGGAACATCACGATAGACGCACCTGGATTAATAAAACCGTCTCTTGTGGTGTCAAGTTTTGAGAGTAATATTAAATTGAAGTTCCAGTTTTTTTTTACAGATGATATCCACCAAAAGAGTCAGTATGGCTCACCTCCACTGACATCTATCGCAAGGCTTTTACTCTCAACTCTGCCAAGCTTTTTATAGAGAAAGCATCCCCAGAAACACATGAGGGCCACTAAGAGCAGCCCACCCACAGTAGCCGATGCACTTATAAGCAGCCTACCAGTCTTACCTCCTTGGCCTACAATATGGGCGACACCAAAAAGAAAACTCATGTCACAACGAATTCTACAGACTAGTCAAAATTTAAGCTACAATCCATAAACACTGACCAGCAAATTAAGCCACAGCTGCTTTACCTGTTAAAGACCCAGAACCAGTAGAGTTTCCACTGTCATCTTGGCACACCACATCGATTTGCTTTCCACACAATTTAAGATTTCCGAGGAATCTGCAGAGAGTAATGCATCAGTTCAAGGCTCCGTTATATTCAGATACACACAACACACTGGTACAAAGCTAACAACATGGTGCTATTGTGCACAAAGTCACAAAATATAACTGTTTTGCCAGATCAACAGTAGATAGATTTATCCAACTCTATTACCAGATCTCGGGTTGGAGAAAGGAGCTAGATGAAGTATACTTACGATTCTCTCGGAAATCGAGCGAGAAGGCCGTCAGAAGGTATTTTCCCCACCAAAAAATTATTTGAGACATTGCTTCAAAAGAAGAATTAACATAGTTAGCAACAATGACACTCAGATACACAGAGGGCTGCAAAAATAAAATACGTGAGTTAGAGACTAGCCACTCACAAATTAGTAAGCTTTTTCAACTGCCCAAGTGAGGCAGGGATAGCTCCACTGAGATCGTTGCTTGAGATGTCCCTTTATAAAATGAGCGTAAAAAATCATTTTAGTAGTTCGGAAGAATTCAAATAATATGTCATTTTGATATGAGTGAAGCCCTAGCATAAGTTGACAACACCTCATACACATGTTCAAGAGTTTTCAACCAATAAAAAAGTTCACAATACGTATGTTGGATGTTAATTATGTTTCTACCAGATTCTCAACCGCTAAGAATACCATCAGTCTGTCAGATTCCCTTTACTTTTTGAGGTTTACCACGACTAGAGGTTAAGTACTTTCACTATTGTAGTTACTTCATGGAAGGTGAGAAGAACCTCTTGTGGTTCAGTATATAATTATAGGGTATTAGGGGATACTAAAGTAGCTAACGGGCAACAAATAGCAGATCATGCAGAGGCCAAGAAAACAATTTTAGAGAAAACAGGGAGAAAGACCGCGTACAGATTTTTAAGCCCGAACAGGTTTCCCATTTCACTTGGGATTGGCCCAGTGAAGTAATTATTCTGCAAGTATCTGCAAGAAAACAATTTCACACAGATTCTTGTAAACCAGCTTCACTTTTGATTGACAAAAGCCGTAGTTTAGCGTCGCTCACAAGACACAACAATCTTATACAGCAACTAAAAAAGCAAATGTAGAAAACTTATACTGTTTCTTGTTAGGTAGATACTATAAATTTTAGAAGAAAAATAAAAATTCTCTTAGCCATGAAGTGTAATCAGCATAAGTATATTGGGAAAGCACTTACACTTCCTCCAGCGCCGTGCAATTTCCCAATGCTGTAGGTATTGAGTCATATAAATCATTGTTGTGAAGAATTCTGCGATACCAAGGGAATACACAAACGTTGAGCAGGAGAGGAGACTCTAATAAGCAATAAAATATAATAAGGTTAGTTACATACAAAAGCCTCAACTGATCCAGCTTTCCAAGCTCAGTGGGTAAAGGTCCCCTTAGTTTGTGATGCGTAAGACTCCTGCGCACAAGAAACTTTAGGAACCAACAAAGGATGCACCACATATTGAAGAAAAAAGGAGGTTAAACCAAACAAGTTTCAAGCTTACAAGGCTACAACTCTTTTTGATTTCGGATCACAGGTCACTCCCTTCCAGTTACATGGATCAGGATCCTCTGGTCTCCACTGACCGATGACACCATCAGAACTAGAAATTGCACTTCTAAAGCTAAGAAGCGCCTCACCTGGAGAAAAAGGAACAAAAAGGATTGAAACCCCACAGCGGACTGGGTGCAGTAAATGGTGATCATAACACAAAATACGTTAAGAGATTAAGGAAACATATCGCTGTACCATCAGGACTAATCGCTTCATTATCATTCGTTAGTGCACAAAGCAATGAGATCAAAAGAAGCCATGAGCAGCAGCATTTCATCAGACAGATGCCCATTATGGCACCGTACAAGCATACTATAGTTACTGCCAATCATCTGAGAGAACAGCCTCCTGAATGTTCTCCTCGTAGCATATAATCGGCTGCTCGGTGTTCTCCTGTCTATCTTCAAGAAACAAAAAGAGGCTCCTGTAATTTTTTTGTTTTTTATATCATTAGTCTGTATAACAAGAGCAACAGACCCACTCAGTCAAACTCAATCAAGGCAAATAATTTGTATGAAACTACACTGCACTATGAACTTCCAGATTTCGGAATCTTTGATTGACATCCTCTCTTGCCCATACAACAACCATCTACCAAGATTCCGAAAATACACTAAAGTTCTCTTGTTTAAAGTGAGCCCAGAATCATATGAATTCAAGAACATTTTCCTCATTCTTAACAATAATACCTCGTACATAAGCCAAAACCAGATTAACAAATCCTCAATTACATACAAGCTTTCCAATAAATCGATGCACAACCTTCTGCATGCTCTCATCTACATTTACAGCACCCAGATCAAATCCACCTCCCTGTTTCCAAAATCAGAAAGCGAAATCGAAATCCCCTTCCAATAAACCATAACCCCTCTTTAACGAGCACCTCAGGCAGCTAAAGTCTAACTAAAATCACGAAATTCCGGGACATCATTGCAGTCTCAGCACAAGAATGAGCTGAAGAGTCAAACCGTTCAATAATCCGAAACGAAAAAAAGGAAACGAAAAACGCGATTCGCCGATATTCCAAAATCCCACTTCTCCCCAAAAATATAAAATGCGAAAGAGAATAAAAGGAAATAGAATTTACACGAACCTCAAAATGGATCCGCGAGGAGGAAGATGAAGAAGAATAGGACAGAGGAAGAAGACGCAATTGAGCTGTAAAGCAAGTCTAACTAAAAAAATCAGACTTTTTTGGTTGTGATTTATGAGATGAGAGAGTGAAGAGAGAGAAAGTAAGAGTGTTCACTAACGAAAAAAATGTGAGTTACTTTGGAGAAGGAATCGGCTAGTTACGACCAATGAGAGAGGCGAAGTGGAGATCACACGTGCCTTATCAGGACTTCTCGCACGTGTCGACCGACGCTTTCTTTATCTTACCAAAACTACAATGAAAGTATGGAAACCCAATATTGTACCAGAACGGGCAAGGGCTTTTGGGTCTGTTAGGCATAAATATGAGCCTGATAAAGCCCATAATTCTAATAAACCTGTTTTAATGGCAACTAGCAACGAATAAATAGTGTTTTGTGGGATTTTAATTTAAAATCTTTCCAAATCTATGCTGGATACACTAAAGGGGTGTTTTTTAATAGAATTTAAATCCAACTATAATCTAATGTTATTTTAAAAATCAATGTTATTGGATCTCTTCATTGTAAATCATGTTTTGAAGATTTTAAAGTTTAGTGTTATTTAATGAAGATTTCAAATCTTTCACAAAAATTCAATGTTATTCAAAACTAAATGACTTTTAAAATTTTTATATATTAAGTCATTTCAAATCAATTCCAATAAATTTTGATGAGTAAATTATTCGAATCAAAATCTAATGTATATTACAAAAATTTTGGAATCTAAATAAATGAATCCATAAAACTGAGGGGGTGTTATTCAATCATGGTTTTTAATAGAATTTAAATCCAACCACAATCCACTATTATTCAACTAATGATTCTAAATAATGTTTTAAAATCAAGTGTTATTAGTTTTTTTATTGTAAATTATATTTAAGAGGTTTTAAAGTTTGGTGTTATTCATTAAAGATTTCAAATCTTTCATTAAAATCCAGTGTTATTCAAAACTAAATAATTTTTAAAATCTTTGTACATTAAGTCATTTCAAATCAATTCTAATAGAGTTTTATGAGTAAATTATTAGAATCAAAATCCAGTGTATATTGCAGAGATTTTAGAATCTAAACAAATGAATCCATCAAACTGATATCAATTTTTAAATCTAGAAGATTATAAAACATAGAAAATTCATTTTAAATTCATGATTGAATAACACCCCCTGATATCAAATTTTAAATCTAAAAGATTATAAAACCTAGAATATTCATTTTAAATTAATGATTGAATAACACCCCTAAATAGTGTTTTTTTAGCATTTTAATAAGTGACTAGTGAACTTGCCCACGCTTTGCACGGACTGATATAATTTTGCATTTGATTGTTTGAAAATCTAATAGTAGTTTGGATTCATTTATTTTTATTATCCGTTGGTGATTATATTTGTTTGTTAGATTTTTTGGTATTTTAATGTTTGAATACATGATCGTGAAAACAGTGTAGAAGAGACTAAGATAAAAACATATTAGTATTCAAATAATTTAGTTTAAATAGTTTTGAGATCTTTTGATCATTGTTCTATGTATTTTAGATATAATTTTATATTAAAATATTTAAAGTCGAATACTCTAATCTATACATCACAAATACCATCATTCTATTAGATAGTCTATTTATTAATTTTTACTTTTTGTTAGATTTGACTAATATTAGTTTTATATAATTTAAAAACGGTTTAATTAAAAATAAAAAATATTAAACCATAATAATTCAAAATTCTAAAGAGGCTGATAATTCATGATTTTTGAGCTTCAGAGTGTATTGTCTGGTGGCTTTCCATGATCCATTACGAATTCTGTCGAATAGGTTTTTTTCAAGACTAGAGGGAACTAATGACATTGCATCTTTGGGTTTTCTGCGATTGATCGGAGGATGGTCATGTAAAAGATGAGAGGCGAGCATAGCTTTTTCTCTTCAATGTTGGTTTCTAGGGTTTGGAGGTGGAGAAAACGAGAAAACGAAAAAAATGAGGAAGAAGTTTTGGTTATGAAAAATGTGGAAGCCAAATCGAGAAGACGAGTCGAGCAGATGGCTAAAATGCCATAATGTAGAAAAAAAAAGGGCCAAAATGCCATAATTGTAATAATTAATTTAATTTTGATTTTTGTTTAAATTCAAAACCCTGGAAAAACCTACACTCTCCTTGATATTTCGATTTATTTACAGTAAAACCAGGATCAAACCCATCTAGTTTCGGTTAATCCATTAACCCGACCCATTCAAAATTATTTTAATTATTTAAATTAAATATTATTGAAAACCGTTTTTTCTTTTTATTTTCTAGGTTTCTTTCCTCTTTTCTCTTCCTTTTCTTTTCATTTATTTGGAACGAACCCGTCTGAAAAGAACTCGTCTGAAAACCGTCTTCTTCATTCTCACTTCTTCATTCACACTTCTTCGAGAAACCGATTCGCGAAAACACAGCAAAACCGTTAAAGCACTAGGACTTTATAAACTTGTAGAATCGTTTTCTTCTGGCGAAAATCGCGAAAAGGGTGATTCCCGAATCTCCGATTTATGGCGAAGGTGAGAAACAAAGGTCAAGTGTATGAGTCTTCTTCTTCAGCGGCGGAAGTCCAAAACCCGCCAGAAAACGAAAAAGAGAGACCTGAAAGTGGGCCGGAAGGAAATGCGGCTGAAATTGAAAACCCAGAAAACGGGAACCCTAACAATCCGGCGGAAGGGAACCCGACTCCGACGGAAATTGAGGAACCCCGGCGGGAAGGAAGGGCTGCGGAGGAAATCGCAGACCCACAAATCGAGAATCATCCTGAAATTGAGAACGCCGAAGTGAGCATGGCCACACCAACGGCAAACGATGGTGATGGGGAATTAGCAGGAGAAGATGTAGCAGAGGAGAAGGAAAATGATAAGGAAAACGAAGAGGAAGTGGAAGAGAACCAAGAGGAAAAGGAAGAGAACAATGAGGAAGAGGAAGAGAACAATGAGGAAGAGAACAATGAGGAAGAGAAAGAGGAGGAAGAGGAAGAGAACAATGAGGAAGAGAAAGAGGAAGAGAACGAAGAGGAACCCAACCAAGAGGAAGAGGCGATAGGAGGTGAAGAGGAAGATGGTACTGCGCCTGCGCAAGAGGAAGAGGAAGCGGAAGAGAACCAAGAAGAGAAGGATGAAGCGCCAGCCAATGTCAACGAAGAGGAAGGAGAAATGCTAGAGGAGGAAGGAGGAATGCAAGAGGTACGTTTTAGACTCCCATCCTTCGTAATCTTGTAGATTATTGTCTGTTTGGTATGTAGACAACTAGGACAACTATGTAGTAACATGTATGTTTGGGCTGCGGACAAATAGGACAATTTTGTGGCTTAAGATTTTTTTGGTATTAGGACAACTGGGACAACATATAGTTATAGTGTATAGGACAACTGGGACAACTTAGAATTATTGAACGTGTGTGGACAACTGGGACAATTACTCGTTTACAGTATTTATTGGACAACTGGGACAACTTGTCGGACTAATATATATAGGTTACTATGGACAATTGGGACAACAAGTTTAACTAATTTATATTACTCTTCTGAAATTCAGGATGCCGATGATGAAATGATGCCAATGGGGCCTGAGAAGCTTTATTTTGGTCCAAGCGAATATAGCAAGGCGTGTAAAATAATTAAAATAAAATTCATCTAAATCTAAAATTGTATAAATAACCTAAAATCCAAAAGTTTTTATCTCAAATGTCCAATCTGGGCAAGTGTACATCTTTCTTCCTCGGGTGGCTTCTGACTTCGAATCCCTGATAACCATCAGGAGACCACACCAACACGATTCTCTCATACCATCTTCTCCATCAGCTCGGTAATATGAACTATCCCATGAGTGCCTAGAAGAAGAAGAACCCGAACTATAGCTTGGCATCTTGTTGTCCAGCGGCGGCCGCTAAACCCTAGATTGAGCTTTCGATTTGGGGGAAATTCTGTTTTTTCTTCTCTAAGAATTTCCTTATAAAGGAGCCTACTGATCAAAACGCTGAGTTTCATTCTAATATTTGCCGGCGCCGCAAATATTAATTTAACACGTGCTTAACGCGCTCAATACCGAAAATAACACATAGTTGTACCGATACGTCCTGTTGTCCAAAATTGGTCATAGTTGTCCATTTTGATTATTCTACTTGTCCGGTAACATAAATCTGTATTAAATAGTTGTCCAGGGGACGATAGACTCATGGTTACTATTTACTATTACATTGCAAGATAATTTGATCAAAATCATATAAATTTCGTTTTGCCCTTTGTAAGATGCTCCATTATGAAAGAGTTACATGTATCATATGAGGATGTTGATGTGAAACCCATACATTGTTTCAACAAACCGATAATATCAAAGAGTTACATGTATCATTTGGTTTAATTTGTTAGGTTAACAAGAAACCTTACGTAGTTGTACCAACTTGTCCAGAAATTCAGTACATATAAGAAATACAAAAAAACATAACGTAGTTGTACCAACTTGTCCAGTTGTCCCAAAAAATGCAAAATCCAAAAAAACTCTAAACATAACTTAGTTGTACCAACTTGTCCGGTTGCACCTGAGAGTTAAACTACATCAAAATACAAAAAAACATAACGTAGTTGTACCAACTTGTCCAGTTGTCCCAAAAAATGCAAAATCCAAAAAAACTCTAAACCTAACTTAGTTGTACCAACTTGTCCGGTTGCACCTGAGAGTTAAACTACATCAAAATACAAAAAAACATAACATAGTTGTACCAACTTGTCCAGTTGTCCCAAAAAATGCAAAATCCAAAAAAACTCTAAACATAACTTAGTTGTACCAACTTGTCCGGTTGCACCTGAGAGTTAAACTACATCAAAATACAAAAAAACATAACGTAGTTGTACCAACTTGTCCAGTTGTCCCAAAAAATGCAAAATCCAAAAAAACTCTAAACCTAACTTAGTTGTACCAATGTCCGAGATGTATTCCCGGTTGTGACTTGTTACATCCTTTACGGCGAGCTTCTCCGGTAGAGGGATAGCGCTTATCTCGCTTTCTTCCACGTTTCTTAGTGTAGTCCGGTGGTAAAACGACTAACTTCTGGATTTCATCAGGGATAATCCATGTAGACTGATGTGGCACCATATAAATAGTCCTGTAATAAGCCAGGGCCCAAGTATCAATGTGGTAATATTTTGAGCACAATTCATGTAAGTGGATTTCTCTTCTTCTCTCAGCCGAACGCATCATTGCAATGTCAGCGGCTATTGCATGAACACAGGGAATCTTGTCTATATCAAAACGCCTACAGCTACAACATTTACTTAACAAATCGACCAGATAACTCTTCCCATCATCTCCAATCACACTGTATTCCAGATGAGTAGCGTTAAGCTCAGTGACAAATAATCTTGTACCAATTGCACATAGACTATGCAATTGGTTCTCAACATAGGGCACCAATGTCTTCGAATCTGATGCATATGCAGTGTCTTTCCTATGCTTGTTGAACCATTCAGAGATTTTTTCAACATATGCATCAATCAACGGTAATAAGGCATACTTCCTTGCCTTCTTGAAGACACTATTCATAGACTCACATGCATTGTTTGTGTCCAAGTTGTACTTGTCTCCTTTAAAGAAGCACCTTGCCCATTTATCAACCGCAACATGCTCATCTAAATACTCAGCAGCTTTTGGAAACCATATCCTAAAATCAGTGTACGCACATAGGAACTCATTTTCAGTGTATTTGTGAGCGCATTCTCTGAATTTTACTGCACACAAATCTTTGCAGCCAATCCCAGCTTTCCCTCTCATGTTTTGCGACAAATGCCAAATGCAATATCCATGCTGAGACTGAGGGTACACCTCCTTCACTGCTCCAATGATGCTCTTATGTCTGTCACTCATAAAAACCAGTTCCTTATCATCAGGTATAACAGTTTTGAGTGTTTCAAAAAACCACTTCCAACTAGCATCTTTCTCACTATCAATAACACCCATTGCAATTGGATAATGGTGATGATTAGGATCCTGCGCTGTGGCAAATACTAGCATACCACCGTACACACTCTTAAGAAAGGTCGCATCCACAACTATGACTTTCCTCATTGCTCTAAAGCCTTCAATACTAGCGCCCAAAGCGACAAAGAGATACTTAAACTTATTTTTGGCATCCAGTTTCACACTGGTTATTGTCCCAGGATTAACAAGCTGTAACATGTAAAGATAACAATACAACTTTCGATAGCTTTCTTCTGGACTGCCCCTCACTTCACTAATAGCTAGTTTTTTCCCTCTCAAGGCTGTAGAGTATGACACATTCACGTGAGCTTCATTTTGAACAACTTTAATCAAAGCTTTGGGCGCAGGGGTGTCTACTTCTCCTGGATAGCACCCACGCAAAACATCTGCTACTACTTGTGGTGTGCCTTTCCTTTTATTCCGAATTGTGCTCGAAACAACCCGAGAGCAGGTATGGATATTCCTATACACCCTAATACTGAAATACGTAGAATCCACAATTCGTACGGCGTGTAGATACCATGTACAACCAAGTTCAGCTTGCCGGCATCTTAGTATGAGTCGCCCTGTATCTGACTTTACCGTTTTTACCTCAAAACAGCCCTTATGTGAAGCTCTGTCGACCAAAACGCGCAAAGCCTCCTTGGATCGAAATTCTTGACCTTTTTCAAACCCAGCTCCATCCTCCCATTCTAGAACAAACCGAGTTTGTTCCACAGGCCGTAGAGGCTCAACATGATCATGTTCATCTACATCTTCATGCATGCCACACTCCGCATTCTCCTCTGGTAACGCAATTTCACAGCTTACCCGTAAATCAACATTCTCCATCCTCTCAGTTTGTCCCTGTTGTCCCTCAATTTCACAGCTTACCTTTAAATCAACATTGTCCATCCTCTCTGGTTGTCCCTGTTGTCCCTCTGCTTCTTCCGGGTTGTAAACAATCAACTGGTCTCTTTGTTGTCCCTGTTGTCCCTCAATATCAGGGGCGTCTTCTGCTCTGGGAAGCTCTTCACTCTCTATATCTTCCATTAGCTCCACATTCAAAATGGCTCTAAGTCCCTCTTTATCCACTGTCGTAAGATACACATAAACATCACCATCATCAACAATACATGACTCTCTAAAAGGCTTAGCTACCAACGGAATATAGCTCAATTTCAGATTCCTCATACTGTCATTCAACCCAATCTTCTTGCATATACCATCTACAAGCACCGAATAGGTTAACTCCTCCATAGATAAGTTTCTAAATGATATAGCATATATGGAATTTTTAGAATTCCATTTAAACTCTTCTCCTTTCGGTGAATAATATCCTCCATACTCAAAATATATGTTTGTGGGCCTACTCATTCTCTCCTGCAAATACAAAAAAAACAAAATAAAAATATTGCCAATTGTCAGCTTTCTCTCAATTTATACCTGTACCAGTTGTACCAGTTGTCCCACTTTCTAAAGTTCTACCAATTGTACCAGTTGTCTCAGTTTCTAAAGTTGTCCCATTTGTACCACTTGTCCAATCTATCTAAGTTGTACCAGTTGTACCAATTATCCCGACACTCTTAGTTATACCACTTGTCCCAATTCTCGCAAATCTGACGGATTCATCATTCACAACCTAGAAGACTACGATTTAGCTCGATTCACCAACAACCATCCACTAATCGACCCATATAGTTGTCTTAAATATCCAATGTGCATGCTAAAACTAACAAATTTCACAAATCGACCCACAAAATTATAAAACCCCAAAATCATACCTGATGCTTCGCAAGGAGCTCACTCGAGTTCAGAAAACGAAGTCGTGCTGTACAGGAGGACGACGCGGTGGCTAATACGTCCCGACGAGCTGGGTCACGAGTCTAGCGCAAGATTCAGCTCGGATCGGACAAATCCAATTTCTCAGAAATGTCCAATTCGAAGAGAGAGAGAGGAAGAGAGAGGAAGAGAGAGGAAGAGAGAGGAAGAGAGAGAGAGTTTTGTTTTTCTTTTTTTTTTAATTAAACCAATAAACCAAAAACAAAAATTCAGCAATGCCACAATTACTTTTCATTAAGGACATAATAGGGTTTTCACTTCATTTATGGCACTGAGACTCTGTTGTGGCACTGAAGATTTTCTCCCTTCGTTTTATGGCATATTGGCCATTCTTTCAGACGAGTCAAGATGATGATGGCGGTGGAAGTAGAGTGTTTGCTAAAACGTGTCAAAATATGGGCCTGATAATCAAGAAAACGAGTCAAAATCGAGAAAAAGAGTTAGTGTTGATGGCAGTAACATATAATGGAGAAAACGAGTCAATATATGGGCCTGATAAAGCCCATAACTCTAATAAACCGGTTTTAGTGGCAACTTACAAACCGAATAAATAGTGTTTTTGAGATTTTAAATTAAAATCTTTCCAAATTTATCCTGGATACACTAAATAGTTTTTTTAGCATCTTATTAATTGATGATTATAAATTACAGATTTTAAATTCAGTGATCGATTAACATAAATTTTTTTTAGGTTTCGTATACTATGTGTTTTATGTGTTTAAGGCGATTGTATTTAATGAATTTTATGGCACAAAAAATAGGACAATTCTGTTTTTGTTCCCTAAAATAGTTTGAAAATGCCGATCTTTCCACGTGGAATTGAGAAAGAAAACGCTCGTTAAGTTTGAAAATTATCGCGCGTGCGTTCACATTCCAATAGCAGGGCGCGTGAAGTAATTTAAGAAGAAAATTACATCACTGATTTAAACGTAGAAACCAAAATTCCTCCACTCTCTCTCTCTCTCTGATAACGCTCCACCCTACTCTCCTTTTGTCCTTTCTCTCCTTCTCTCTCTTGCCGGCACTAAAAACACGAACAAAAAAAATTTGAAAAGAGAGAGAAAGCTGAGGGAGACCATACGAACAAGGCTGGTATAGATCGATAAGATCGATTTCGTCGGAGAGATTGATTTGTGAAAATGTCGGAGGAAGAGAAGTTATTGAAGGAGGCGAAGAAACTTCCATGGGAGGATCGGCTTGCGCACAAGAATTGGAAGGTTAGGAACGAGGCCAACGTCGACCTAGCTTCCGTCTGTGATTCTATTACCGATCCTAAGGACCCTCGTCTCCGCGATTTTGGTGGGTTTTTTTCTCACCTCGTGTTTTAGGGTTTTTAATTTTGAAGCTCAGATCTGATTGGGGCGGTCTATCTCGCTGCGGATCTGCTTTGAATTTGGATTTCGGAGCGGGAATGTGATGTGTCTAGGGTTCTATCAAGCTTTACTTTTGGTTGGATTTCTGATTTTTTTTTTTTTTTTGCAGGTCACTTGTTTAGGAAGACAGTGGCGGATTCCAATGCGCCGGTGCAAGAGAAGGGGCTCGATGCTTTGATTGCGTTTTTGAAGGCAGCTGACTCAGACGCTGGAAGGTATGTTGCTGTTTATTTTTAATGCTCTATATAATGTGCTTCGCGAGTCGTTCTTTGCATGTGAATAGTTAGTTAACTTGTTTCTGCTTTTGAAGGTACGCTAAGGAAGTTTGCGATGCTATTGCTGCCAAATGTCTCACGGGTCGGCCGAAGACTGTGCAGAAGGCGCAGGATGCTTTCTTGCTTTGGGTAGAACTAGAAGCCGTTGATGTTTTTCTGGTATGCCATTCATTCTTGCAACTCTGTAAGGCCTATCTAGATACGTACGCTTAAGTCTTAAACCCCTTCACTCTTATCTGATGCATAGACTGGTCTGGTGTATTAAAAACTGGATAGGTGAAGCTGACATAGAAATGAAAGTGCTTTATAACCCCGAATGCAACCATATACGGAGTGATGTAGGATATAGCATGTGACTCTGTTGCCAGTTTTGTGTTATGCTAGGTGTCTAATTTGAGAGAATAGGAAAGGGGCATTTTAAATAATTGACATTTCTCTTGACCATTCTGTATTTAAGGTCAAGAAATGGAATCTTCTCTGGTCTGTTCCAGTAATTAACTTTCTAGTTTTGAGTTGTTGTTACGGTGTCTTGATCTGTTATGGTCATTTTGACTCCGTTTGCCATAGATGGTACCTCTTTTTTGCTGAAGGAGATAGGAATCTGTATATCATCTTTTACCGTTGTTTTGAAGACGTCTACTTTAATTTTTTTGTTTTAAATACCCTTTCACACAGCAATTTTAAATTTACTGCCCTAGTAATAAGACCCCAGTTTAAGGTGATAACTCCACTTGATATCGTTTCAGTCATTCTGATTTTCAACTGTCAAGAAGATATTTAGTGGGAGTTGTGTCATTTATAGGAGAACATCATCCGTATACAAGTTAACAGATTTGGCATTATTGTAGGATACATTGGAGAAAGCTATAAAGAATAAAGTTGCGAAGGCTGTGGTACCTGCAGTAGACGTTATGTTTCAAGCTCTCAGGTCTGTTTTGAAGTCCTAGTTAGTTTTCTCCATTGGTTCTTGGAAGCTTTTGTCTGAATTAACCACACTATTTTGTTTTCTTTCGTAGTGAATTTGGATCAAAGGTTATTCCACCCAAAAGGATTTTAAAGATGCTTCCTGAACTTTTCGACCATCAAGATCAGAATGTCCGTGCATCTGCTAAAGGGGTGACTCTTGAGCTGTGCCGTTGGATTGGGAAAGACCCTGTAAAGTCTATATTGTTTGAGAAAATGAGGGATACAATGGTAAGATTATGTTGATCCGTAGATTTGTACCGTTGCGATGCTGCCAAGATGATATGAACTGGATTAAAATTGCATTTTTTTGTTTAGAGTTGGAAACCATGTTTCTTGTCATAACAGATAGAAGATAGACCCCATTGCAAATCAGAACCACGCCCTTGGCTGTTATACTGCCCGTCATTTAAAAATTTATTTGAGATTGTTTTCTTGAAGTTATGCACGAAATTCTATGGAAGAAGTTCTAGATACTCTTGTGCTCTTTTGCAAACGCTAATGTTTGATTTTACTGTTAATGTAAGAAAAAAGAGCTGGAGGCTGAGCTTGCCAATGTTTCAGCGGGTGCCAAGCCTAGTCGAAAGATAAGGTAACTACCATAAACTATAACAAATATTTTTTTAATCCTTTTTAATCCTTTTTTGCATATCTTGCATTGTTTTTGTTGGCACATGCATTTAAGACTTTGAAGGTAAAACCAGATCCAGTTTCACCTTTATGCAGCTTATGATTTGTGAATATTCAATTTGCTTTTGTCAAGCTTCTGGATTATTAAATCTATGTGCATTAGGAGTCTTCTTCGTTTCATGATCTTTTTGTATGCCTATTTTATAAGTTAAAACTACTAGCATGTATCTTGAAAAGCTGCAATTAAATTATTTCTCTGTATTTGGCTTTAAAGGTCTGAGCAAGACAAAGAACCAGAGGCAGAAGCTAGTTCTGATGCCGTGGGTGTTGGGCCCAGTGAAGAACCTGTTGCTGATGGTAAGTAGCTTGTACTTCAGTGACTTGTTTCTTTAATAAGTGATGTTGAGAAAGCTGCTTACTTTAACTCGTCTTTATCTACCCACTACTATCAGCGCCTCAGGAAATAGATGAGTATGATCTTATGGATCCTGTGGACATTTTGACACCTTTGGAAAAGTCTGGGTTCTGGGACGGAGTGGTGAGTTGTGGATTTTTAATGCCCCATTGTCATTTATATTATCGGTTGTTCTTTACTAAAAGAGCTTTTTATAAGATATTACTTACTTCCCATTTTGATTGCATGTGACACGTTACACAAACTACCTTTTTCTCTCTTTTAGAAAGCTACAAAGTGGTCAGAACGTAAGGAAGCTGTTGCAGAGCTAACAAAGCTTGCTTCCACTAAAAAAATTGCTCCTGGTGATTTTTCAGAAATTTGTCGGACCTTAAAGAAGGTAGTCAACTATCCACAAGAAGTTTAGGCAGCATTGATTATTATTTATATGTTATAATCTCTTTGTATGTTTTACTTTAGCTCCCTTAGAATATATCTAATTGGTGCTGATGCAGCCTACAAACATATGTTCTATGGATAATCTGAAGTTTGAAGTTCATTTTTTTTTTTTCAACCTTCAAATCGGCAAAATGTTTTCTAATTGCAGTTTAGTGTGTAGATGCTGCTGCTGCTAAGATTTAATCCTGCTTAACTATTTATAATTGCGACTTGATTGTATTTGTAAATCATTCCATTCGCAGCTTATCACGGATGTGAACTTAGCCGTAGCAGTGGAAGCTATTCAAGCTATTGGAAATCTTGCACGTGGTTTAAGGACACATT